GCGCACTGACGATAGCAGTGACAGAAACAACAGCCTCAGAGGGCCAGAGAAGACGGAGAACCAAGAGAGTAGATCGTTCGAGGGTGATATGGGTGTGGTGTGCTACAGGGTGACGTCTCGGGCGAGTAGCTCGAGGTCAAAAGCCCATAACCTGTTAGAACCTGTAGGGTAGAACACACCTCAGACACCGATAGACGAGTGAATGGATTGAAGTTACCTGTAGGGTAGAACACACTACAGGAAGAATAAGTACAGTAGACAGTAAAGTAGATAGATGTTGCTTACCCTCAGACACCGATAGACGAGTGAATGAGGGAAAGCGAGAGGCGCGTCCAACGCGCACAAAAGACCTGCCGGGAATTACCGAAACTGCGTTGTACGTTCGAACTCCGAACTCCAACAATAAGCGGTGCAGAGAAATCAGAGACATACCACAGAATACCCCAAGGACGCACGAAATCCCGACATGAGCAAAAAATAGTGTTTTATCCCTACACAACCACAGAGTATCATAATTTTACGCACGTGGAACGGAAGAGAAGGCGAAACACATACCTCCTCAGGATCTTCCACTCCCTTCCCGCCAGCATCTCGAACTGCGTCAAGAACGTCGTCGCGTATCCTTCTCCCGAGACTAACGACCTCCATCCTCTACGATTTCCACGCAACTTTCCTGGCTTCTTATTGTCTGGAAGTAGAACAACACCATTGATATCCCCCGCACTTCCACTAACAAGGCACCCTCCATTCCCCTTTTCCACGTCTCCCGATCCGCCTCCTGATCGTTCCTTCCCACTTTTATCCCGACTCGGACATCTTACCAGCTCAGAAGACAGACTCAAATCACCATCACTAGCGATCTCGAGTAAATAATCCGCGACGTTATAACCCTCCTGGTACGGGAGCCCCCGCGCCATGAAATGTTGAGCGGGTGCGAAAGAGCCAGGGCCGTTGTAGAGGGCTTGACCTTGGGACAGGAGGAGTATTTTGTCGAAAGTTTGATAGAGTTGTGAGCTGCGGGGGTGACGGGTAAATATACACAGGCATGAGATAAGAAGAGGGCCGCTAAGGGTTGGTTTACCTCGGCTGATGGATGGAGGCGATGACGGCCGTTGGGTTTTCGGGATCGTGGGCCACAGCGCGAAGGACACTCGCCACCTTCGACGCAGAAACTGAGTCCAAACCTGGAACGAAGTTGTCATATCCTCAGTACTTTATCATTGGAAAAATACGCTTTGAAATGACCACCCACCTGAAGTCGGTTCGTCCAAAATCAATACATCAGGACTACCCACCAACTCCAATCCGATACTAACCCTCCTCATTTCACCCCCACTGATCCCCCTGCCTTCTCCACTCGTCCCTCCGATTCTCACATCCCTCAAATTCGTTAGTCCGAGCTGCTCGATCACGTCCTCCACGCGGTATTTCTTTTCAGCATCAGAGATATGTTCAGGAAGACGGAGACGGGCGGCGAAGAGCAGAGCTTCGAGGACCGTGAGGGTTGCGGGGAGGATGTCTTGTTGGGGGACGAAACCTATTCGGGGAGGATGGGATGTGGAGGTTGAGTGTGAAGAGGGAAAGAGGACGGAGCCAGTGATTATGCCGGATTTATGTTTCTCGGAAAGAATCTCAACGAGCGTGGTCTTGCCGGCACCTGAGTGCAAGAACAACGTTGATGAAGATGGACAATGCGCAGAGAAGCTGGAAGGATCGCGTACCACTAGGTCCCAAAATCCCCATCATCTGTCCAGGCGCAACTTTACCGCTCACCCCATCCAAAACGACCTTGTCATGAACCGTATTCCTTCCTCTCCAATACCAACTCTTACCACCATTTCCAGGAACCACATATCTTAAATCCTTCCACTCAACCGCAACCCCCCCATAACCCCGTCCCGTACTCATTCCCTTCTCACCAGCCCTCCTCGATTTCCTCTGATTCCATAATCCTACCACCAATCCCAACAAAACCAGTCCTACCAATCCTCCTACGACCGCCAACCCCGCGATAACCCCCGAACTCAGTTGAGTACCGCCGCCACTCGTATCGCCACTCGGCGTGTTTCCTTCGGCGCTATCGACGACACCCTGGGCCACACACTCCCCGAAAACACAATCGCTCAAAGATAATCCTCCACTCCCGAACAAACTCGTCAGTACGCTTTGTTGGAATGAACACGTCGCGGTTCCATTGCCCGCCAATTCTCCACAGCCTATGGTCAGGTCGTCGCTCAATCCGTCGATCGTGTCGGTGAGGTTACTAACGGGAGCGCCACCGCAGAAGGTGGTGTTGGGACGACAAGTGCATGATAGGTCATGACATGACCAAGTGGAGGATCCGTTACCGGAGGGAGAGGTCTGTGTGCATGAAGATGCGGTACAGTAGAATTGCTCGATTCCAGAGTACCAGAGCTGGGCGTAGATGGATCCCGAAGAGCCAAACGAGGTGAGGCCTTGGGATGGTGTAAGGGAGGCGTTGAGTGTGCGGAGGATGGTGAGTGTGGAATCGAGTGGGTAGATAGCTTGGAGAGTTGGGTTCTGTTTATAGATGATGTTGCGTGAACTTCCAAAGGACTTGAATGTTTGAGCGAGAGCAAGAGGAATACGCACCACGACCTGACAGCTCATCTCGCCAGCAGCCCATATCTGTGGCTCGCTGTTGCACGTCAATGTGCTATTCAACACTGATGACGAGCCATCTAAACCATCCACGCCTGAGCTTGAAGAAGACGTCCCGTTCACGGCGGTGTACGCATTCTGACAGCTCGTCGTGCTCTTGCATACATTGCATCCCGTGCCCGTCCATCCGTCTTCACACGAACATGCTGAAGACGTTAGATTTCCGAAAGCCGTCGCCGACGCGTCGGAGATGATGCTACGATTTGTTCCTTGAAATATGTTTCCGCCACATGCCGGAGAGGAACATGTCGAGCCACCGAAGCCTGGGGGACAGGTACATGCAGAGCCAGGCGACTCGCCGTAATTCTCGCAGACGTTTTGCCCAGATGAAGGTGTGATGAGCGATACCGCAACCAGAACGAGGCTAGAGCTGAAGAGGAACATGGCCCCTTTTTGTGTGAATGTTCCGTGTTCACCTATACCCAGTAACGGGCTTTCGGGAAACCCGTTGAAGACCGCAAAGCAAGCTCAAGTGATACCTGTTGGGAGTTGGTGAGAACAAGAGACGGAAACTCAAAGCTGGAACAGATTTCGCCATTTGAGCGGGCCTCCTGAAATCATCGAGGCGGGATGCAAGAATAGCATGTCGGCACGCCCAGGCGCAACCCTAAATGAGTACAAGACGAACAAGTGGCGTGACATGGAATGGGACTAAGACCGAAAAGATCTCCCCACACAAACTTGTAGCCATGCAGCCAGACATTGTGGCGAGATATTGCGATGACAGTACTTTGAAGTTGAGGAGAGGAACGGTTTGTCCCGATGGGCTGGCCGGTCGAGCGCCGAACGCCGGTTACGCGTTGTTCCCACGGTTACCATACTTACACTCGCCACAATGATATCCGCCACATTTCCATGATAAAGGTTCAGAAGAAATGGTATATTGAATCTGCATAATACAAAATCTATGTGGGAAGTCTATGGTAGTCTATGGCACGATGCTCTATTGGGAACTCGAAAGCGCACATCACAACGCCTTCCTCCCCCTTCTCGCCATCCTCCTCTCCCAAACATCCCTGTTCATCCCCTTGGCAGCCTCCTCTAACTTCATCCTCAACGTCGCTTCCACATCCAACTTCTCGTTCACTTTGGCCAACACCTGAAAGACATGCATTTCTGCCGTACCGGAAATCCACTCCCCGAGCTCTGCACGAGGTGTGGACCCTGGGGTTGTGAACGCGGGAGGTGTGGCGCTGCCAAAGACGAGCGGTGAGGCAATTTCGATGTGGGAAGGACGAAGTGTTGGGAGGTTGGTGTGTTGTTTACGGTTGCGGGTGTAGTGAGAAGAGGCGGGGAAGACTCGCTGCCTCTCCCCGGTGGGCGTTGCGGCGTCGCTACTCGATGACGAGCTCGAGTCGGACCGTGAAATGGAGGGCATGGAGGTAATAGGGTAGGATGGCAGGATAACAGAAGAGCGTCCGATGATCGCAAACTTGTTCACAGCTCGCTGCCTAGTACCTGGCTGAGGCTTCGACGCGGCTTGCTTCTGAGGAAACCGGGTGTATGCAGTGAATTCGTCTTCAGATGATGTCGATCCATGTGCAGAAATACGAGGCCGTGTCTGGCGGCGAGGATCACTGGCGAGCGCAGCTCTGAGCTGTGAATGTGTCGAAGAGTATTTGGAAGAGCGTTCGTAGCTATCCGATGGTGTAAACACCGCGGATTCATCTGAAGAGGAGTCGCAAGAGCTCGAGGACGATGACGAGCTGGAAGTCGACAAAGTTCTGGTAAAGCTGGGGAGACGGAGTGGTTCAAAGGTTGATTTGGAAGGCATGCGAGCTATCGAAAGTCTAGTTAGAACATCGCCGCCAATAGGGTAAAGAGAAAACGTACGAGTCGCGTCATCATCCTCTGAATAAAAGGAATCCCTACTCTGGAAGGTACGAGACACATTTCCGAGAGTCTGAGTAGCCATTGTGGAAGACAGGTATTTGGGCTTTGGGTAGTAGTGTAAAGGTGGATGTGGTAAGAGTTTGATGGTTGTGGTAGTGGTGTGAGTGATAGTAAAAAATCCCCGTGCACAGGCCATAGACTTTATACGATGTCTATTAGGAGGCCGGAAGTGTTCGCGGGCTACTTGCAAAAAAAATGTTCGGCCGCGGTGAAGTTTTCATGGAACTGACACAGCCAGCAATTCCGCGGAAGTGGCAGTTGTGCTCGGCCGTTTCTACGGCGGAAAGGAAGGTAAAATGTCTCGGCACATGTAAGACATAGCGGAGGTGTGTAGGCCTTCCGAGGTCTCGGCGAAGGTTTCGGTAAACTTGAACAGGAAACTCCAACGGCAGAGAGGTGAGACCCCATGGGCCACCCATATTTAGGTTGCCTACATTCTGAAACCAATAAATAGCAATATATAATGCGGACACAGTCTTACAAGGTTAAGCTCGCAATAATGACATCACATAAATATACCAAGTGATGACCCTCATGTGGGAGATTAATTCCACTCCCAAGTAATGTCGATCCTGCCCAAGTCCTCGCTGGCGAGCTGATCGAAGGCACCCCTTGAAAAGTCAAGGTCGTAGAAGGCACAGCCGCCGCAACGGTCGACGACGGTGGCAGTCACGCTCTTCGACCCATCTATGATTGCGAGATTACATCAGGGCCAGCGGATGTGGTGTTTCGGGCGGCGAAAGTCTCGGCGCCACAGAAAACTGAAAAGAAGGGCGGACGTACAGAACGCGGTGAGTGTCTTGCCGCAGATGGGGTTGAGGTTCGGGTTCGCCGTTGCACCACTGAGACATCCAAGGCCGTGAGTCATTCGGCATTTATGTGAAAAAAGAGCACTCACGGCCATGTCTCATACATGTCGTCCGAGACAGCTACGACAAGGTCCGTCGCGACGTTCGTGATGCCACAAGCGCCTAAATATCGGATGTCAGCAGACGGAATATGTGCATAGAAAGGATGCAAACTCGCCTAGCGCAACGTCAAAAAACGTGCCTAAAATGATGATTAAATCGCCATAACAAAAGTCAGACAGAGTAAGAAGAGGTGATGCAGGTAACGTTGCGCACCTTGGCCAGTGTATGTTTGTCTGGCGATGAGAGCACGGTCGCCGGTTGGTGACGCACTAGCCGAAGCAAAGAGCGAAGTGGCCGTGAGGGCAAAGAGGGTAGTGAAAGCAAACATGATTGAACACGAAGGAAACTAGCTGTACAGAAATTTGGCGGCCTGTGTAAGGGAGAGGACGGCTTTTGGGGTGTTAATCGATATCCATTAATCAATCCACCTTATATGGACGACGGCCAGACTTGCTACCGATCAAAGAGCTCTGCATGCTCTCCATCGTAGCCGTGAGGTCTCTTTACCCATCGGTAATCAACAAGGGGCCGGATCAAAATCAAAAAGTCCAAGATGAGGATTGCACATGTCCGGCACGCGTACCGCACCTAAAAGCTGAAGAGAACAGACCAAAGGGTATACGTCGCATGGACTCGGGGGCTGTGAAGTGCGCTGGCATTCGAGGCGCAGAATGGGCACGAAATGCATATAAGAGCTCAGGAAGGTCCATGATGTAGTTATCCTGAGTGCCTCACCAGTAAGCACATGAGAACTACTCAGGGACACCATAATGTTGGAGGCTCGCGTCGTTTATGTGCTCTGAGGATGATCAAATTGGAGAAACGCAAGATTATGATGAAAATATGATATGAGCACCAGACCACTAGAATTTCTCCGACATACGTGAGAGCATTTGCGCCCTGGACTGTGATCGCGCTCCGTGAGGTATATTATGCGCGTGAGGTCAATGTGTGGAAGACGCTACTTGAACGCAGCGGATAAAACCGCCACATACTCGCGATACTCGTTAGGGTTGCAACTTCGGGGAAAGAACTGCCCTATACACCTTCATTCCGCCATCGTCAATTGTCCTCGCTCATTGTAGACTGGTAGATAAAATCATGACGGGACGAGGAGTCAGTCCTGAGCATGCATGGAGTTCGGCGGCCGGATGTTCGCGACGTCATGATTTTGAATTATGAAAGCGACCTAGGAGCGACCGAGAGAAATGGTGGATGGCGTGTGGCGGTCGAGAGGCCCTTGTCTTGGCCCGAGGAAAGAAGAGAGACAGGAAGGGACGAATGTGGGTGAATTAATAGGGATACATGTGTATTCGATGAGATGGGGTTGTTGCTAGGAATAAATGTGGACGAATAAGTGCAGCACAAGAAGCGCACACGGATGATAATAGTGACCAGACCAGAAATCCAGTAGCCCTTCTTCGAGTCACCCTCTGACGCTAAGCCAACGAGAACCACGGGCCTGATGGAGATCATGACTTTCTATACTTTGAAACCAAGCGCCCTCATACAAGCCTGATGTTGCTGTACAAGCTCCTTGCACTTGTCGTCGACTTCTGACCCATCGAACTTGAGGAAGCAGTCATCCCGAGCGGACTTGGTCTGTGGGCATGCACAACAGCTGCATGAGAAGAGTCAATCACGGGTCAAGTAGCAAAGAAGTACAGTTCAGCGCACGGTTTCAAGCCTTGGGGGTTCAATGGATTCTGCTTGGGGTCTGTGGGGTCGTACTTCCCCGAAGGCACAGGTGTTGAGGAAGGCCCGGACCACCAAGAAGTAATCTACATTGGAGGAGTGATGATATTAGTGCCATCAAATCATTCGTAGACTGACTGTCCTCACACTCCCAAACATATTGTCGGAACGAAAGCGACAGAGACAGATGTAAGGAGACAGTGAGGGACAAAGTGAGTTCGATGCTGACTGAGCTCGACGCTAATTTGACTGAGACAGTGATCAAGATTACGTAACCCGATCGGGCAGTAATTTCAAATGTTGAAAGGTGTCCTTTGGTCTAGTGGTTACGAGCAAGCCAACTTACGAGGTTTCTAACCTTGCGCTACTCGGACTGTTCGCGCAATACTCAGAATATTCATGCCATTAACCCTTTATCGAACCATATCTGTCGAGAAAGCACTGAGCTTGCGCATCAAAAGCGGAATAATTTAGGGATCGCATGCGATCAGGATACGGTACAGATCAACACAGTCACGGTGAGAACCGTAGTGCAGTGTACATCAACCCTCTTATAACGCAGATGTCTCCATTTCGTTTGGTTGTGTTTCCCGTTTTCATTTCTTTTTGAGGTGCTTTCTTGAGGTTCGAACTAAAATAGTCAGGTATTGCCATTCTGGCCAGTGCGCTAACGCACTTTGAAGGCATCGACGTTTATCCTGCAATTAAAGGTTAGTGCTTTCAAGCGACGACGGCGGTTAACCATTTTGGCCGTAAAGATTGCCCTCTTTTGGTGAGACCAGTCTGAGCTTCACACTGATCATCTCGCTTCTGTAGGCCGACTGTCCGATATATTTATTGACAAACGGGGCGTAGCTCCGGTAGGTCTTGTACATCCAAACGAGCCGTCGAGGCCTACCCAATAAATAACGATAGATAGAGACAGCGTGCAGAAACAAGTTAAAGAAATGATGTTGTGTCGCGGTCAAAAGAATGACGTTTAGTTGAATTGCCAGGTGATCTCGATGCGGCCGACCGACTCGTCAGCGAGCTGCTGGAAAGCGGACGGGGAGAAGTCGAGGTCGTACTCCGCGCAGGCGTAGCACTTGTCTTCGACAGCGGCAGTCACGCTCTTTCCATTGTCTATGAGCGATACACAGCGGCGAAGAAGTTAGTGTCTACATGTTGCATGTCAAAAAAAAAGTGAGGTGGCGTACATGTGGCCGTGATAGTCTTGCCACAAATGGGGTTGCTGGACATGGAGAATTGTGAGCAAGGGAGTGGGCAGAGATGGACGTATATACTGTTGTGTACTGACAGGTTGGGGTTGGAGGTAGCACCGCTGTGAATGATCATCGTTAGCGACAAGAGATGGAAAGACAGTGGAAGGGCGTTTGCTCACGGGTAAGAATCGTAAAGACTGGTGGAAACAGCGACTATGAGGTCCGTGTCGGCGTTGGTCAAACCGCTGTGTTTAACGGTCAGTTGAGGGCCGACGTTTTCCAAGAGAAACCAGCAAAATTTTACCAAGCGCCCAAACCTGGCGAATAGTAGGTTCCTGTGCGATTGTCAGACCTGCGATGCCAGAGGAGAAGGAGAGTAGATCCAAGAAACGTACCATCACCGCTGTAGCTTTGTCTGGCGAGGAGAGTGCTGTTTCCGGTGGGCACAGCGCTCGCAGGAACCAGAGAGAAGAGGGCGACAGAGGCCACGGCGATGATGCTGGCGAAGGAGAACATTATTGGAAGGAGTGATGAGGGGATGAAGTGACTAAAGAGTGGTGTAGTGTTCAAGAGGAGGAGTCGTAGAAGAATGATGCGGAGCGAACTGAGGAGAAAACAGAGGACACGTTATCCCTTTTATATGCATCAGCGGGCTACATTGCCATGTAGACGAGTGTTCAGTATGCAGCATTCGCACTGCCTAATTACCGCCATGGACGAGCTAGCGTGTGGACAGTCTCGAGAAGATCGCTGGCGGACCGCGCTCAAGTTAGTCCCACATGTTCGCATTGCCAAAAGGACGTAGAAACAGGCAGTGTGGCCCATGCTTGCTCGAGACGAGCTTGTCGATGCGTGTGCGTATGTGTGGCGATGAGAGTCAGATCAACATGTGGGACCGGATCAATATGCCGTTAATTAGGCTGCAGAAGTAATCGGCTCATAGTAGTAAGTTTTTGAGCGCATCAAAGCTTCATAGAGATCATAGGTGGAAGATTATGATGGATGCAGCACACCGGAGCCTCAGACCGTTTGAGTGCACGTCTAGCGCGTCATCGACAGCTAGCTAGCGCCAGTGTTCACGTTTGTGACCAAATCCTGACCGACCCACAAGGTAAGTAAGGCGCTCGACTGCGTAAACGAGGAGGTCACTTTGTGGTGCACAGTTTGGCGTTTCAACCTGAGCGGAAGGAAAGAAGGAAGGAGCGGAGTACAAGGCCCCGGGAGAGGGACACACAACATATAAGTTACACATGCCACGCAAGCCTTGCGCTTGCAGCAACATAAGCGATAAAATCCCGCTAAAGTATCCAGGCTTACCAGAGGCCCATGCGGGAAGAACAGCCTTATTGATGCCAGCCAGCAAGCGGTTTGCATACCTGTTACATCCGACAGCTGGCATGAACCTCTTCAGCATTGCTCGCTACGCAAATGATGCGGCGAATGGGCAGTCGCATTCGTCGTCAGGTAGAAAGCTCATCTTCAGCCTTCCTGTGTTTACCCCGTAAGACGAAACAAGGACCACAGAGTGTTCAAATGAAGTCGTCAACAGTAACAAATGAGTGCGAAGTCACCATGCGCAATGTAAGCCCGAAACTGGACGAGCTCAAATCAATGAAATTTCGAGGAAGATGGAGTTTAGGAAGCTGTACAAACGAAGTCACGAGTGTTAGCCAGGGCAAATTCGAAAAGAAGAAAAGCATTTTGAGCTTACCGTAAGGGGATTCCCAAAATTTCTGGACAAATACCTGCTCACGGCCATATGCTTGTACCCCAACGTTAATAGAGCGCATATTTCTTAGAGATTTTAGATCAAAACTTACGAGTGAGAACCATTGCTCCTCGTCAGAGAACGCTAGACGCTAATCGAGAGTAACTTTATCCCCCAGGGCCTGCTCCATTCTCCTCTCCATCTCCCACATACGACGCTGTAAAGAGTTGCTCTCCCGGCGTCTTTTCATCCTGTCCTTGAAGAGCATGACCATCATCTCCTCCACGATTCTCCAATTCGCTCTGTGGCTGGCCAAGAGTACTGCCTCCACTTTTCCTTCGTACAGGTCGTCGTGTTTGACTTCGTCGTGAACCAGATGCGAGGTGATAGAGGCCCTATCCGATTCTACAACGATGGCGGCGAGGTACTCCGCGATCTGCCTGCAGCATTCGGGAGACTCGGGAAACATGGCATTTGGCGAACACCCGACGTAGACGTGCTCAATCTGGTAGCGATGTTCTGGCTGAGGAACTTCTGGGGGTGATCTAGCGTCCATGTATAATCCCAGGCTCCAGATGTTAGGACAGTTCTGGGCGAATATATCGAGGGCCCGTAGAGTGAGAGAGGATGGCGACAAGGCGATGGGCCGTGGATTAAGCCAAAGGGTTTCGAGATAAAGCCCATTGGTGGCGAGATGCGTGAGGTCGTCTTCCGATACCTCGATGGGATGCGTATGTGCGATGATGAAATCTTCCAGCAACTTAAAGGAGATAATATCCTTAAAATGCTCGTATTTAAGTGCGGAGACAAGAGCGAGATCTGGGAACGTGAAGGGCTCCGTCGGATGGATGTTTATATGCAGAGAGCGGAGTGAGGTGCAGGCTTTTCCGAGGGAGATGATAAGATGTTGGACGTCCTCAGGTTTGACTTCCACCGCGAACGGCAAACGTAGGTGAAGAACCTGAAGCTGCCCCAAAGGAAAATGGGCCTGCGTAAGGTATGAGAGAGCTGTTTCGACAGTAATTGCGGGAATATAGAGGCTGTATAAGGCTGGAAAGGCACCGTCCTTGAGTGAAGTTTGTGGCGGACCGAATGAGCGTAGATTGTGTAGCTCGCCGAAGTAAAAAGGAGGTTCAGGAAAAGCCGTCCCTATCCGTTCTAAATGGTCCAATTCCGCGAGAGCAGACCAGATGAGGGAAGACATCTCGTATAGAGGGAGTTGAACAACTTTGAGGCAGGGTTGCGCCTGAATGAGGGTGACTATGTCTGATTCGGCGATTCGTGCGAGGTCAGGCCCCCTAAAAAGAAGCTCGGTCAGGCGAGGCATGCGTTCGCAGATATGTTGTATAAGCGTGGGCCTGTGGCGTGCTGCCAGCCTCTTGAAGACTTCTATCTCTGTCGTTGGAGGAAAAAGGCAGATATCGAGAGATTCGACGGTGTCGCTCATAAACAAGGCGCTGAGAGTACCCTCTTCAGCTGTGAGCCCGCGGATATGAGGAAATATGAGGTGGTTGGTCCGGCCTAGCGCCAGCTCGTAGATCGTGACGGTATGCAATGAGAGCATCCTGGGCGAGATAGGTGCTACGTTGAGATAGTGGACGCGTTTGGTATTGTTCAAGAATCGACTCCATTCTGACTGGGTGGGGGAACGTTCAAGCAACTGACGAGGAAAGAGGTCATTTCTACCGTATTATAATCGAGATCTTACAGTAAACCCACTCACAAGTACGGATTTCTCCTCCAGTAGTGATACATCCATAGGGGCCAAGGACTTGAGTATGCTGATGTCGACATTGTTCCAAAGTTCGTTCAAAGCAAATTCCGACCAACTTTTGCAGACGACGGCCGTCTTCGCGTTGGACCGGTCGTCTAGAAAGGAGAAGACGTTCAACAATAGTTCAGGAATGGCTAGTACTCGATGCATTATTGGGACAACTAATGAATGCCTGAGCCATAAGTTTGTCAGTCCCAGTAGAATTCATGACTTGTGGCATTACAACAACGTACGTTGTTAGCACCCCTTCACTGTGGCCCGAGTATTATGAGTGAGAAAGCGCAGGATATTTCGGCGAACGCAACCTTGGAAGAGAACAAACAGCAAGATACTCGACAGGGATGAAAATCGTCTGGTTGATCGGGTCTTGATCGACTCGGAGGCCAAATCGAGACGATGACGTGCGTGAGAAAAACACCGAAATGGGTGGCGTTGGGCCACAATTGAGACCTCGAGACCCCGCTTCGAGCTGCCAAGATTGCCCTCCGAGTCTCTATCGAGGGAAATTTTCTGGGAAAACTGCACATATTTGATTGAGTAGCCTACCAAAACCTCTACCGACCATTTCGCCTACGGCTCATGAGACCCCTCATTTGGAGTGCCCACGAGATCCCTCGTCTGAATCGGGCTCCCTGCCAAGTCCGCCGCTACAGTCTTCAGAGCGTTGTAGAAGTATACAGAGAAACCAACGCAGAGCAAGCTGAAGCAGGGGACATTGAGCATTCCAGAATCGAGACTGCTTTTTATGTCGAGTATTGCCGTGAATGGGACAGTATGGCCAGAAGTCATCGAGGCCGCACGTTGGACGCAGTATTGATTTTTAGTCTTGGAGCAGAAGACCATGGGGTCAATGTCCTCTAGTAAGCTCTACAAGAAATCCGAGATCGTCGGAGAGTAAGAGGCGTACTGCGTCATCAAGTATCATCCACTCTGAAAGTTGCATAGGATAATCTTCCATTTCCTTTGTGGTGTACCGGCCAAGATATAACCACTACACAAGAGGAAATCGACGACTTGCTTAGTGCCATAGAAATACTTGTACTGCACCGTAAATGGAAGGAATTGCGGACCTGACCCAGCTTCCCTTCAACGATCAGTTCGAACGGCTGATCAGGGCTGAGTGTGAATGGATGGCTGAACCAATATCCGTGTTGGCCGCAGGCTGTGACATGTAGAGGCATGCAGGCTGGAGGTCGGGGAAGAAAGCAGAGTGAACTACAGGCCAAGGGAATATTAGTGTACGACAGTCGGGGCAGGAAGCGAGATCATACCTCCTAGCGGTTCCATCTTCATTTTTCTTTACGTTTGCGTTTATGAGAATATGATGACAGGAAGTAACACTGATGCGACTTGCCCAAGGTAGTTTATCGACGAGCATTTGCATCCGAGATGGTTCGAGGGTAATGGCATCGTAGGCCACCGTTTCTGGGTCAAAGAAGGACCCAGAATTTGGGAACATCTCCGCCACCTTTCTCTGCCTATTATTTTGCGTCTCTAGGGACAATTTCTCAGCTTGCAAATGATGCATCTTGATCTAAAAAATAGTGACTGTCCGTCAGTGCCCGACCTCACAATCAAGCTGCCGTAGGAACTGCACCTGCTGTTCGCCGTCCGCTCCGGCGCTCTCAGCCCGGAGTAATTTTACAGCCACTCCTTCCTTATCCTTTTCCATGTTCTCGATTCTGGTCTTCAAGACCTGTAATTCAGTCTGTGTCCGACCAAGAAGATCGCGGAGCTCTTGCTCGTGCGTCCTGCGCTGTGCATTTTCACCCTGTACTCCTGAGATCAAGTCCGAGACTTGTCGAACTTCTTGTTGCAGGGGGCTAATATCATGTTGCGCCAGCGACATTCTTGCCTACAAAAAGCAAAAGTCAGAGAAAGACAATTCTTCTTCTGTTTCGAGGGTAAGGAAAGACGCTCGGGCCAACGAAAGAAATGCCCAAGTATTGACAAGACTTCGTACCTTCAGAGAATCGGCCTCCGCTTTGGCTATATGATGCTTATGTACCCAGAATTCGAGTATTTCTGGAGCGTACGATGCACTTAAGTCAAAAATACGCGTCTGCGTATCCTTGTTGGCGTCTGCGTCGACGGTGTGTGCGGTGATTTTGGCCGTCATGGATGAAAGTTGCTCAGTAGCAGTAGGGGCTTGATCTCGACTAGGACTAACGACTGGCGTCAGAAATCTTCACATTCACGGAGGCACTGGTACCCAGAAACGATAGCCAGGAAAAGCTCTCAGGAAAACGATAGTTCCCAGCTGGTGGTGAGAGGAAAGGGGGAATAGCCACTGTGGCGACAACACGCCACGTCAAGACGCGTAACCTTACGTAACATACGCAGTATAGCGCGTACACGGAAATAGATGGTCGACGTGTAACTTTAGAGCTCACCCATCTTCTCTCCTTACCACCACCGTCAGCCCTTATACTCTAGTTGGACAGTCCCGCAACGGTCTAGTGGGCTCAATCCGACAAAATGCTCGGCATACGGTCTCTCTTCGGTTTCGTCAGCGCGCTGGTAGCACTTCACGTCACGCTCGCGAAGTCTAGCACAGGAGACTCGGTCCTCGTATTCCTTCAACCAAGTGTCAAGAAGGAGGACTATTCGATATTTTTTGGCAATCTCGAAAGTGTGTATATTGCTTTACGGTCTAGGCACTATGTATTAATTCGCTATGGTATGGACAGAGCAAGGCTACGAGCTCACGTTTCGCGCGCCGAAGGAGGAGAGTCCGAAGCTCATTGAAGATGATATCCCCAACTTCTCGCATGTCCTATACTTCGCTCCGGATACCAAAAGTGTGTAGATCTTGATTCAATTTGTGCTTTCTTTGTCCCATTATTACTTTCTTCCATATCTATTCGACATGTGATGAAGGACCCCGCAGTGGCACATTGTAGCTCTGTTGTCCTATAATCTTCTGTCCCTAGCTGTATGCCTGTGTTCGATAGACCGTGCGGTGTGAAATATGATCACTGACGGAATACACTCTTTCTTAGGCTTTGGACCAGATGTGACCCCTCAATCACTCGTCCAAGCGCTCGAGTCAAACACCAACATCATCTTTGCTCTCTCACCCAAGCAATCCCTTGCTTACTCACTTGCCTCCGAATTCTCCCTCATCCTTCCACCTCCAGGTACCCCTCTCGTCTCACATTTCCCCGAACGCGACGCGCCGGCCACTGTCATCCCCATAACTGTTCCATCCAACCCTATACTGTCTCCCTCGATTGAAGGCAAGAAGGTCTGGTTCTCCGGTATCTCACATGCACTTGGCAACAACCCGCTATTGGTCCCTGTCCTGAACGCCCCAGCGGAGAGCTTCGCTGCCGACTCCACGGAGGACGCGTCTGGAGGTGTTGTCGTCGATGCTGCTGAGAAAGGCGGCGAGGGCCTTTGGGCGGGTAGTATGATGGGCGTTGTCAGTGGATTCCAGACAAGGGATTCAGCGAGGGTCATGTGGGTGGGGGGTATTGAGCTATTCAGCGACGAGTTTGCCAAGAAGGAGATCACTAAGTTCGTCTGCTCAGGATCTCATTCCGTTCTTGCGGATACTGATAGCGAACTGTGCAGGGGTGAAAAGTCGGCCAACGAACAGTTCGCGTTAGACATCGCGTCTTGGACGTTCCAAGAAAACAAAGTCCTCCGCATCGACAAAACTGCCCATCACATGGTCAACGAGACTGAACCCAGGCCTCATTATACCATCAACGACCAGATTGTACGTCCGCCATGTCCGACATTTACCGATACCATCTAACGATACACACAGGTCTTCGACGCGTACATCTCGCGCTGGAACTCGAAGACGTCCTCTTGGGAGCCTTATTCCGGCCTCGCCGACCTCCAACTCGACTTCACCATGCTCGACCCGCACGTTCGCACTCTCCTGCCGCCTTCGACTGACGGCATCCCCGGCAAATACTCCGTCCAGTTCAGGGCTCCCGACAGGCATGGCGTGTTCAAGTTTTTGATTGAATATAAGCGAAAGGGGTGCGTGCTCCTCTTTCTATTCTGTGGTTCATCACGCTAATCGGGATGATGATTCGAATAGTTGGACATTCTTGTCAAGCGCGACGACCGTGCCCGTCATTCCACCGCGCCACGACGGGTACCCAAGGTTCTTGAGTGCTGCGTGGCCCTACTATGCTGGTGCCATCAGCACCAGCGCTGCATTTTTGGTGTTCTCGGCGTTGTGGCTTGCTGGGGAGGATCGTGGCGGAAAGAAGGGTGGTAAGAAGATTGAGTAGGTTAGCGCTTCGAGAACGAGATGATATCGCTGCTCGAAAATTGGATACGTACTTCGGATAACCACGTTAAGTGATCTCGGAATGCGAAAACCTCTAGGCCTGTAAGCAACCCGTAAGCTAGAGAATGTGTGAAGACAATAGACCTTATATGTTTCAAGTATACCTGGAACTCGTTGGCGGAAGATCTGTCCGATCCGCCAATCAGCTTTCGCAAAAAGTCTCAAGTTTTCACTAACATATAAGCCCTAATGTCCGTGTCACGTTTCCTTGACATCACATTTGCTTCCGGCGGCAATTGCCGACCGCTTCTTGAAGCAGAAGGATCGCTTAGAATTAATTGTTGCGCATCCTCCTCAATATTAGGCCTGTGCCAGAGTTATATGTGCCACACATCTACCTAAACAAAAATATAACCACAAGTAAATATGCCCAATACTCAGAATCACGGCTCGTCTAATACCTCCACGTCGACGGCACTGGCACTGGCAGGACCCTCGTCTGGCCCGAATGGCGTGGCGCCTTCCCTCTCTAGCGGCGGTGATGATGATGCTTCGGTAGAAGCAACAACACGTTCCCCGGAGGCGCGTACTACGGCGCGTCCCACTGTCGCTTTCGACGCGGAGTACTCGCCTGAGATTGTGGAGTATTTTGCACGGAGGTATCAGGATGTGAAAGCAGAGTTGGACGGTCTCAAGGTGAGTGTGGTCATGTCCTCTTGTTGCACAGACGATGACTTCCTAGTCTGTTGCTGGTCATCAACCTTCCTGATTGACTTGTGCATCCACTCTAATTCTATTCTCTCGTCCAGCACCAATTATCAACACAGCCGGATCGCGATGCTCTGCATCTTGAACTGCAGAGTCTCAAGACTTCTCTCGCCCACTTGGAGGTCGAGACTATGAAGCAACGGTCAACTGAACAAGCACTTCGCGATATAATAAGTAAGGAGCAACAGGAACTGGAGAAGCTCAGAGCGAAAGCCGAGATCTTGGAGAAGGCTAAGGAGGATGGTGCGGCGAAATTGATTCAGATGGAACGTACGAATGCGGGCATGAAGACGCAGGTAAGAGAGCAAGTGACTAGTCTCGCTTTCGAAAATTAACCTCAATCGTGGATAAGATACAGAATTTCTATAGTCAGGCCCGTGCTCTGGCGGATGAAGCTGCCGCGAGCAGGAGGAAATTCTTGACTGGGATGTTCCCAGATCCTATCTCGTATTTCGACCCTAACACCATGGATTATTCTCCACTTACCTTCGATATCTCGCTTATGAACGCTGCCGTGAAAAAGCTGCCGTTGGTAAGTCTTTAGCGCTCCGTGTGGCCCCATATTGAGCCCTTACTGGCGTCTTGTTCATTCTAGCACGATCCGGACGGCAAAATTAGACCGTAAGCACCTTCATACTCTCGTCTCCGTGTTCTCTGCTCATAGAAGAATGTAGAAAGCTCTTTGTCCTACCCCGTCCACCAGCATGTCTACCTCTCCACGTCGCTGCATGTGGACAGCACGGCTATTGTTTCCAACCTGACTTCAAACTCACAGCCGATCAGACATTCGAGCTCATGGTCGAAGGGGAGGCTGGGAAGGTCTGTTCAGCCAGCCCGAACTCCAACAAAGTGCCCTGACTAACATTGCTTACTATTGCACCCCATTCTACACCAAATGTGTAGTGGTACTACCTCGGCCGCTTTATCACGGACGTGATGCAAGGTCAGGATATGCGACTTTCTGAGTGGTTGATGCTCGACGAGTCGGTGCGCTTTCCTTTTCTTTGTCGTGCACATTCTTCTTTTCCATCCTCAATCACATTTTACATCTTCACCGACAGACAAAATTGATGCACTGTATGCGATACGCCTCCGTTGACCTTCCACTATACCAATTGGCCTCTCATCCCGCCCTGATCGAGATCAAGCGCCGCTTCGAATGTGGCGAACTCCTCGTCCCCTGCTATTCTCTCTTCTGCATTGGATACTCCGCGTGGCTTTACGATGCTATGAAGGAGATCATCGCGCAAATGTCAGGCTCGACGAGATCAGACGATAGTACATCAGGAAGTCGAGCAACTGCACAGATCAGTCATGAAGCGGTGGCGGTGGCGAAAATTATAGGTTCTCAGCCGGAAACGGGACCGGGTAGCACCTCGACGTCATCTATTTCTGGAACAGATGCGCATACGACGGATTTTTCGGGCGTGGACGTGTCTGGCAGGGCAGCGAGAAGCAACAGTGATACAGGTCCTGTCCTCGTCCCGTGCAAACGCGTGAACGCAGACGCCACCGCCACCGGATCGAATGGGACGAATGGAGCAGCGCAAGGCCTAGGGCAGCAAGGCCCTGCCGGGAAACGAAGTAGAAATGTATCGGGTGGCCCAGATGTTGCACGTCTTAGCGGTGGCGTCGGGACTGCAGCTGTGAATCCGGTGGACCTTACAAAAGAATAAACACGGTGATTGGATGCTTTTGCGGTGGTAACGGCCAAGACTCATGTTCAGGCGTTCAGCGACCTTTTTCAAGTTGTCGAGCCTTATCCAATCTCATTTCTATGCTCAACTGTCCTCGGTATATTCTACCATGTTACTATACAACATTACCTTGATTACTCTATCTTTCCCGTCACCGTCCATATCTGTCTTTTGCATGCATTGTCGCCCCGCAGCATACTACTTACTCGTCGAACCGGATCATTGCTATACACTTGTCTTGTTTATCTTGGATTTATGCAGCTGTATCGTCGTGCTCTGCATGTGCTATATACGATATAACATATTTGTTCCTACTAGTAGCCCTAGTTTAAGGTCTGTACCGAAATACAATCGATAATTATGCCAGTGGACGGCATGCAAGTAGTATGTGTAAGTGACCGGCACGAAACGTCGCATCAGCGGAAACGTTGGTGTACTGCAAAGGCGACCCACTGTCAACATCCCAGATATTCCTTCATGTCAAGGCTGTTGTCGGGATCCCCACGAGGCCGTGTAACCCATCCTTGAATGGTGGTATCGAAATATAATGATATTTCCCAGCGTTCGTTACCGATCCATTGTTCATGCAGATAAATGTCCCACCACTCAATCATAATCTTTCGCTCGTTGGCAGAAAAATGGTATCCAGATACATAGGGTGCCGGTCCAAGGTACTCATTACTAGGGTTAAAGGTCAGATTTTGGGGATAGACGCTGGGAGTAATAGGCATCACGCACCGTCGCGATAACAGCCCATCCGTCGACACATAGTTGACTCCTGCATAGTCGGAGCCAACTCTTTGATTATAGAACTCAAAGGTTTGAAAGTTGAGATCATCACCCTCGTGAATCTGTATCTATTGGGCAATATCAATCACTGAATTGACGACAACAAAGGGAGAGTTACTAACCTTCTCATAGCCATGCTTTTGAGAGTAGTTGAGTGGCAAATATAGAGTTCCGGAGAACGGAGCTGAATAGGTTTCCAAGGGTGCTTTCTGTACCTAGAAGTTGATGATAGACAAAAGCGAAGCACGTTCAACAGCACGTCCGATCGGCCAGAAAGCAGGACGCTCGTGACTCACCGGCCAAGCGACTGTGCTACTATAGTAGGCCCTAAGTCTTTTGTTCATCTTTCTACGCTCTGTTGCGAGAGCATCATCGAGCTTCTTGCCACGCAAATCGCTAATAGCAGGAAAGCCGCTCGCAGCTCGCGCTTCGTCGCGACGCTGCTTCCAGCCTGCGGCAGAGCCTGCATTCCAAAGGCGTACCGTTGGTTGTACCATAGAGACGTTGGACATTGAGGACTAGCTAACGAGACGGTGGACGAAGATGGAGATCAAGAAGTAAGGGCCAAATGATCATCGTCGACTCGGATGACCCAAGGACGATCTTTATTGTTCGCCATATAAGGCTGGTGCCAGTGTTCACAAAGGAGCGAGCGGCGATCGGCGATCGCAAGGGCGCGCAAAAGTCACGTGCTCCGTGAGGCAAACTCAGCGTCAAATCTAAACCGAGTCGTGTCAAAGTTATGGCACTCACGCGTGTCCACATGTCCTCCGATTCTTACCGGTCTAGCGTGCCCTAGAATACTTAACTGTTTGTCTCTTTCGACTGCTAGGCAACCGCTAGGGCTACTGTCTTCGGCCACTCGGGCCAAATGAGTCTCAGAAGGGGGATACTGGACAGGGTTCGCCGATTCGGGGGCTATCATCCCCCGCCACTAATGAACCTTAGGCAAACCTTAGGTCGAGAAAAGACGGTGCTTTGTCTAGACACCCTACCAGGCTGGGCCGTGCTGGTATATTTTCTTCCTTCTTGGGTGGTGGCCTCATCAAGTTCCCTCGGGTTTTCCTCCGGCTACTATACTTCCATACTTCTGAACATCGAATACGATATGACCGAGGTCCGGGATCATGTCCAAGTATTAAGGTAGGTAGGGTGAGTACCACGTCGGATTACGAATTCGTTCATTCTACTAATAGATCGATAGCATCAAGAGACACGAAAACACGTCGATGCTCAGGTGCCATTACGCCAGTGCCTGGCTGATATCAGCACAGCACCGCGTCTACTTGAGATAGAAAAATAGGGCTACCTTGTGTTCTGGACAAACCGAAGACACTGCCGCTGGCGGGCTGCTGCCGTGGTCTTCACTCGTGGGCAGCTTCGGACTATGCTATGACAATGCGGCTATATCTGGCTTGTAAAATTGGGCCAGATACAGACACCGCGTCATACTCGGATCTACCAGCTCGGTTCAGACACGCTTCATTCTCTCGTGGTAGGTAGAAGCGACCTGGGGAGCCTTGTTACGTTACCGCAGCCATGAAGGGCCAAATGTGGACTTTGTTCTCAGTCTTTGTGCCCAAATGAAAGGCCTTGAGCCGTTATACATTTCGCCCATTGTGTACCCGGTGATCTGAAACATTCCGTAAAGGCCACTTCCTCAGCGCCCACCGTATGCCCAATATATATACGACGCTCGTTTACTACAATGTCCTCCAATACAGCGACTCATATCACCTCTCAACAAAGCCTTCCAGCCTACTGCTCACTGCTTATACACTCGCATATTACACAGCATGTATGTGTCTACATTGACACTGTTGTTCTTAAGGAATACTTCTAACCCACACATTTTTAGGTGCACCCAGCGCTACTCATGCCAGACATACTACACGGGCTGTGGATGCAAGCTCGGCATCCGATTGGGTGGATCGAGTCCTTGCGGTAAATCTTCATGCACCGGAAGTAAGTCTTAAGTCGGCCGTCTGTGTCTGTGATGTGGGCGATCGGCCGTGTTAACGATTGTCCTTCCCGTCTTCCTAGCGAGGTATGTCCTTGAAAAGGCTACCATCGAAAGTTATTATATGTGCGGGGGGCAGCATTGCAATAGCATCGGCGAGCAGCCATGAACGACCGCTGCTCGGTTCGGTATGTGGTACGGAAGTGCCGGGGATCTAGCAGTGATGACGACCATAGGTTGCGAAGAATGAGGAGGATGGGTGGAATTTTCTTGGAAAGGACGCTTGTAAATACTAATATCGACGTCTGTTCAGCTACCTTCCAAACAATTATGCACGTTATAATTTATCACCAGCCCTCGGACTATCCGCTTTTGGAGAGCCCTCGATCAAGAGGAGCAGCACACTCTGCCTTCTTGGTGTTGAGTGCGAGTGATACAACTGCGTGCCATGCTCGCGCGAACAGCGGTCCCTCGACACGACGGCCATCACCCAAGATATCTCCGAGGGAACGCAATTCAGCCTAGTGGAGTTGGTCTCAGTAGAGACCCTTCGGAACATGATTCAGATTTATAAGTGAAGGCACCTAGCCGGCGCTCTGACGCCTTACCATTGTTGCCTATCCTGACCTTCATGACACCATTCTTGTTTACTATTTGTCGCTAGCAAGGTGTAGCGATAGGACGACAAATAGAGATTTTCCTCGCCATGGAAAGTGTTGGGTCGTGACTCGTAGACTTTCCGTAAAGGCAGTAATCGAACCAGCAATTACTTAAAGTATCGAGATACCATGATCTCACTTCGAGGTGAGTTGTAGGGCTCAACACTCAGGCTGCTCAAAGACTACCAGCCTTGACAGTGCTCAGACAACTCGTTACCAATGTGCATAATTGTAAGAAAACTGAAAAGGCTCGATTACCTGGCATCAGTTATAGCATCGAAAAAGTGGGATACGAGAGGCTTCGTATGCAGATACTTCGTTGATATCACACACCAATAATTGTTGACACCGGCATTTAGTACGTTTTAGTTTTAATTGCATGCAAAAGTGTATACGCAATCTGCAGCAATGCAATGCTCTACATAGCAAGACGATAAGATAAGATTCCACATAATTATTCCCCACCAAGTACGGACGACGTACTTATACCGACACGGAAACGGGAAGTATTTTACTATCTGACACAGAAGCCAGTAAGTGTCGTTGTTCTAGGGTGGAGAGCGTGGATTCCTAACAAAAGACCACATACCATAACAAGCTGATAAAAGGATGGCACTTATTCATCTCACATCAACTCCATCCCGTCAATATCATGAACCCGAATCCCACGTTTCTTTAACCTCAGTAACACATTATCCCCCCCGTCCATCGAGCTTAACGCGGACAGAGTATACTTACCCTTTCCAGGATTAAGTAGCCGGATGTGACGCACTGCCGTAGGCGTAGATTCTGGATCTGGATTCATAAGCCAGAATAGAGTACCCAACGCTATATCAGCCATCAGATCCATGTCTTCTACTCGAGGGTATCCTTCATTGCGCATGATGAAGATCCCGAGGTGGGTCACGTTGGAGGGAAGCATTCTCCATGTGAGTTCTGACATTGATTTCATGTAAGGGAGGCATTCGCAGTCCAGAGAGAGGATGATGCGCCGAAGATTGGGACAGTGTTGAGTGAGGAGGTTGAATAGGGCTTGATCCTCCTGTGGCGCGAAGCCCTCCACGATCACGGTATGCAACGTGCGTCCTTGGACCACGAGAAACTGGGCGGCGAATTCGGTAGCAGTCGAGACGATAATAGTGGTCAGATTGGGATAAGGAGGATTCATCGGGTCACTATTATTGTCGTACACTGAGTGGGTTCCGTAGTCGTGTGTGAGCGCCAAGCACGATGTTAGGTTCGTCATATCTGGAGTACAAAGGAAGCACCACCGGCTGTTGGCCGCCATCACTTGAGGGTGCACTGTCCTCAGGTTGACAAAACGCCAGAGAATACCGAGCGGGTTCATCGTATATGCACCGCCATACATATCGTTTTGGGGTACAAAGAAACTGTTTTGTACGACAAAATCAAATCGACGTAGGGAGTTCCTACAAGCGCTCAACAAAGCATCCCAAGCTTGTTCTGGTATACGTGCTCGTCGTTCAACACGGGCATCGAGCCTGGAGTGCGCATCTGGGAGATTAAGCAGTGGAGAATCCGTTCCCTTCGTATCGATGACTAGGATTTGGAGTCTCGATAGGCACGAAAATATGGTCGTGATAGCATCGAGCAGCGTCGTAACTCCAGGGAACAGGGGAGTCATGCGCACCATAGCTAGATCTAAGCGACGAACGTACGATCCCAAAGAGAAGTGGACGTCTGTAACTGAAGCTGCATTGCCCCTGTACTTCAACAGGACGGCAGCAAGGGAGATGAGGTCTCGGCCCCGTTGAACGTGGACCGACCGGTATAACAACGGGATACCAAGGTCATACCAGTGTCTAGATACCCGCACGAAAGAGAGTTTGTCCGCATTGGACTTCCTGATGGATAGAAAAAGTGTGTCGACTGGGGCCCTCTCGCAAAGCGCGGTGTTGCAAAGACTATCCTCGAGCTGAAAAGGATCTTCGTGTTCCACCTCAAGGCTCATCGGGACAAAGGTAGCAAGATCGAGAATGCGAGACCAGAGTTCGTTCGGAAGATCGAAGGCTTGAGGTGGCTCCTCAGATGTGAACAGTTCTGTGTAGCCCATAGCCTAAGTAATTAGTAGTAAAGAACATATGAGGAACGGGAAGAGTACGTGCCATTATGAGGGAGAGACCTGTATTCGGGTGCTCGTCCTTGGGCTCTGTGTGCCATGGGTTGAAGTTTTTGAGGGCGCGAAGAACTGGTGGAGAACAAAGAACGATCCTTCCATTATTGGCATTTGAATCTGCATAATATCATGGCATGCTCTTTGAGCTCCGCCGAAACAAATAAAGCCAAACCGCTGTGGCACTCGCATACCCTGGACCGGTGACGGAGCAGGCCGGAACAGGCGCCACAGCACTCACTCATGGCTCGCGGCCGCAAGTGTCCTCTCGCTGCGATATCCAATTTTGGTTCGACCAGGAGGGCAGCGCAATAAGATAGTCCGTTTCTACTCGTGTATGTACATGTCTATTTACTCGTAGGCGGCGCCCTGAAAATCTTGCCCAAGTTATCCCAAACAACGGAGGGAGATTGCGCGGCGTCGATCTTCTGCCAGAGGCCCTTGGTCTTGTAGTACTCTACCACGGGACCGGTGGAGGAGTGGAAGGACTTCAGGCGCTTGGTGAGGGTTTCGACGTTGTCGTCTGAGCGTTGGATGAGGGGCTCGCCGGTGACGTCGTCGGTCATAGGCTTCTTTGGTGGTCTGATGGCAACATTTCAGTATAAGGACGCACGAAAAGCGAGGGAAGATGCAAATATACAGGAGAGGGTGAGAAGAATGAAGAAACCCTCTGCGGCAAGATAGTATATTGGAAATGATACGTACTGGAATTCCTTGTGGTATGTCCGGCCGCTGGCAGGATGAATGAGACGGCCGGTGATACGGGAGATGAGCAGTTGGTCGGGAATGACGAGTTCGACGACGGAGTCGAGCTTCTCCTTGCGGGATTCGAGCATGGAGTCAAGTTTCTCAGCTTGTGGGACCGTGCGAGGGAAACCGTCGAGTACGAAGCTGTATTAAAGGCAAAGTCAATCATATGGTACAAGGCCGAGTTACTTAGAATCCGCAAGTGAATAATGGGTGGAGGACAGAACGCGCTCAGTCCAGCGAATTCGGTAGGAGCCTGCCTCAATATTGAGAGAACCAGTCGTATCAACAGCTCTTCCGCCGACTGTATTCCAGAGCAACTTCGATTGCGAGACGAAGCTCCGCCAAAACCCCGACATGTATAAGAATACGCACCCGTTCTTGCAGGACTTGTTAGTTTCCAGCTGGTCCTTGATCATGTTAACCATGATGTCGTCGCTGACGAGTCCTCCAGCGTCCATGATTTTCTTCGCCTCCTTCCCGAGCTTGGTCTGCTTCTGGACCTGCTCACGCAACATGTCACCGGTGGCGAGATGGCACACGCAGAACTCATCGCGAATGCGGGGAGCCTGCGTTCCCTTGCCTTTCCGTCATACACGCGTATCTCGTCAACATGCAGCCCAGAATCCAAAGTTCAACACTGAAGACACGTACCAGCACCCGGAGGACCGATGAGAATAGTCCTGAGCTGCTGGGCAGGCGTCTTCGTAGGCGTCACGGCTGACTTTGCCTTGTTCTCGAGGCTCTGAATTTTGTCATTGAGCTGTGCTACAAGAGACTTGAGGTATTCGAGTTCATTTGTGGGTGCCATGACCACTCTATGAGTGAAGAAAAAGCCGAAGAAAGATGGTGGTGGGCCGAACGAAAGAGAGGCTGGCGAGCTCGACGGGTTTAGCGGCGCACAACGCGGAGGACACGTCAAATTCCTGACCTCCGATCCGCTCGAAATATTGCTCGGCCCGGAATAAACCCGGCCGACCCGCCAGGACCCGCCCAACTATGGGAGCGTAGTAAACCGAGACGCCACATCTGTCCGTGACTTTGCTCTTCAAGTTCGCCTCCACTGAGGCATCGACGTCCAAGATGGCAAACACGGACTCAAGTGGTGAGTACATGATTTATGTTCTACTTGCACCCATTTGATACTCGAAACACAGTAATCCCGCTAGCACTTTCTCCGGATACAACTCGCAGGGCATCCTATGACGTGCCGAACGAATTGTGGCTTCACATCTTTCACCTGGCTACCTTCGTTCAAGGCAGCTTGGACGCTGAGCACCATGATTCATTTGATCACGAAGCGGATCTGTGGAACACCGCTCTACAGTATTCTACGATCCCGCGCTTTCCCCTTATCAAGGCCTCGAACGCAACGAAGCTCGGCTTCGCCCTGGTATGCAAACGATGGCATGGCCTAGCGATTCCCCTGCTATACAGGACTGTGCATGTCAATAAATGCGACGACTTAAGATCTCTCGGGCATACGTTGCAGCAGTCCGCAAAGAGCGCGGCCGATGCATCTGCTGAGGGACATAACCCTCCTCTGGGCTCCTGGGTACTTCGTCTGGATCTGGCAATGGACGATCTCCCGAAGACGGCGTCTGGTATGACCAGTGTCCTCGAGAACCTCACTGCTATATTCATATCTCTCCCAAAACTCGAAATTCTGTCTGTAAATGCCCTACCCCCCCTGCACCTAGCAGCGACAGACGCTTCCAGGCCGCTTTCATTGTGCTTGGCCCATATTTCGGAACCGACATGGGATGCGTTGACTTCGAGCTGCGGAGGTTCATTGCTTCGTCTGCAATTTACAGCCAACCTTTACAATTCTTGCATTCTTCCACCACTTCCAAGCGGACAAGGCGGCATGCTCACAGGGTTCACCCGCTTACGAACGCTGGGCCCAGGATTCGACGGAGAATGCCCTGTTTGCAATGAGTTGCCGTCAACCCTGACATCCTACATCCGACCTCTTCACGGGCGTAACACACACGAATGCTCACTCGTGCGAGGTCTACCCCACCCTCAATGTCCTCGTCTGTCTACAATCAGTCTGACGATCCGGAGAAGTCATCCATCTTTATGCTCCCAGCGTTTCCTTGCGCTCAACGGGCTTCCGGTCACTACCATCCTCATTTTTTCCTCACGCTCAGCCGTAAAATATCGCCTTACGCTCGAGCTCATCCGTCAATATTGCCCGAATCTGACACGGCTAATACTTGTCGTGACCACCCTCGACCAGACGGACAATGCTTCGGACATCATACGACTCATGCCACCGTCCGTGACGCACCTCGGTGTAGCACTTGACTTGCCGCATTGGTACCGTGACCCATCCTCCACCGAGGCCATAGACGAGAGCGATCTGGGAAGGATTGTGGAATGGCTTTCCGAAGCACGCCTTGCGCTGTCCAGTTCAGCAGTGCGACTAGTGAGATTTTTCCATTCGAAATATTACGAGCGGCCTTCGAGGAGTGGGGAGACGCAGGTTCTTGGCTTGGATACGGAGTTGGGAGAAGCGCTGAAACGTTTCGAGGGTTGCCGTGTTCCTTTGGAGGGGTTCAATGGGCAGCTGTTGCGATGTGCCACAGAGTGAGTGGATGTGAGTGAATTTTCTGCATACGATGGATCTTGGAAGTGTAATTGCCTTCGTGCTTACTAGTGATCAAGTAGGATTGGGGTAGCCTCAAGGCCAAGACCTTGGGTTCGAGGTCAAGGGCGGTATGTAGTGTGGTGATATCGTCAATCTCCCCATGCGTGCCACCCGCCTTTGACGGAGTTAGATGTCGATGATTTTTGCGAGCATCCACCTCTCACGACACCGTCGAATTTCGTGCCTGTTCATGTCTAGTGATAGTCGTGAATTTATTGCGTCTTCTTCTTCGTCAAGGAGGCGGGTCGTATTGCCAAAGCAAAAAAGCAGGTAAGTCGGAACGTTGGTAGTGGACTCTTTAGAGTCAGCGGTCCGTCTAGCCCGAGTGTGCATGTTTGTCCGGCTGCAGTGGTGCAACCAGTGCGTTTGTGCCCATGACTGGCTTGATCGTATGTTCAATGCACTTCGAACCGTCCATGTCGTGAGAGAGGACGAATATAGGTTCGCTCATGCGATGTATAACTAGACATGACGCTGTTCCCAGAATACGATGCGTAACCTTGCGTACTCGTCGCGCATTATGCATGGCCCTCGATACCGGTCGATCCAACAGTTGGACAGCCATAGTATATTGTCCTTGATCCGTATCTGAAAACTTGTTTTCACTTCTGTACCCTACTCTCCCAAACCTTTAGATTTCCTTCGGCTTTCACACATGCATTCTACAGGACCTCTGCTACAAGCCTATGAAGTCCGTAATTTTCTGGGGACGAGATCGATTTTGCCGCGCCAAATTAGCGCGGAAGCCGAACAGACCACTTTTGACATCTTCTGATTTTCTGCTCGTCCATTCGCTCGCTCAGTACAAAAGTTGGCAGATGTTATAGGATATACATTCCGAGCATATGGTCAAAATGATGCGCTGGTAGCATGAAGGGACACCGTCAAACAGCTCATTTTTCACTTCTAAACTTTTCAGATCCGGGTCAAGGACAGTAGTATTCGAGCCTAGTAGCATAGAATCCCGCGGTGCCGTTCCACGACCTGGTTGGCGTTTTCTACTGGGAGCAGACATTGACGATGACGCTTTGCCGAGCACGGAAATGGAGCTTCTCGGATGCATACCGGAGTTCCAACCTTGGACATGAATGAACCGCACACCTGGCCTCCGTAACGACTGCAACCTTTCTATGCGTGTCGATCTCGCCTAACCTTGCGGTTCGGTCTGGAAACCCTCTGACCATTGACCGTTATCCTGGATGGCTACAAGAGGCGCACCAGCTTGTTGTATGCTCGCAAGTACTTGCACCTCTCCAGAGTCAACTGCCAGCCATTTTCCAATGCAGCCAGGACCGCCCCCCGACTATCGCTCAAATAACACCTTTACGGCGAATAATCCTCAGCAACCAGCAGAGATCCCCCTCCACGATGACACCACACCGAGTCATGGAGAGTCGAGACCTACTTACTCCCGGGCCTGTGACACCTGTGGCGAATGGGTCTCCGACTCGAAGCGCCACCGTAACTTACCTCCACACATGAAACTGGACGAATGGCCAGGGCCATTTCCCATACCCTTACTCCTCACGGCCATCTTCACTTCACTGTGTACAATCTGCTATGGACACAAAGATCTCACCCATGTATGGTGTACTAGTACTAGTACTGAGAAAGCCGAAAAAGAATGGTGAGGAAGGACCGTTTAGCTGTCAGGATTAACAACGTTACCGTCGTCGTACGCCACCTTATTGTTTGCTGTTTTCCTTGCACTGAAGGCACCTGACCAACACTCGATTTTCCTTCTCGTGGTAGGGTTCCCTGCTCATAGGCGCCAGTGCAGCGTTTCTTACTACCACCCCACCTCTCGGAGGTTTGCTCAACTTCAACGAGCAAGGCCCATATATCTGTCTCCTGCTGTCATTCGGTCTCACGTTGGGAGGTGTTGTTATCGGCTCGAGCCTTCTCTACGCCTTGCCAATTGTTCAGGGGACATGGCATCGAGATGTGAGTGTTGAGTTGGTATCTAGGGAGACGGGAGACACTTGGTCAGACTCTCATACTGCGTCTTCCAGAGTCTCATGGCATCCCGATCGCACGTCTGCTGCACATTAATCTTCCTCACGTACCCGTTCATCACCATCGGCACATCTACGGTTGTGATGGCCATGGGTAAGCATCCTTGCTAGATTCTCGTCCTAGAGTTTGCCGCGAAGCTAACCGGACGGAATTATATAGGTCTTCTAGCAGCTTGCTGGCAATCCCAAAATGAGCTTGTCAGAAAGAGTTGCAGTGCCGTAATGCTTGTTCCGGTCATGATGATCATGCTCTTTGTGTGGACACAAGTGCCACTTTTGGTGTCCATAATACGGCACAAACCATCACCGACTGCGCCTGGAGTAGATACCACAGACGCTGCTGGCCTTGCAAGGTAACTTCGCATTATGTGCTTTCTTCTGAGGTTTATGCGGACTGATCATGTGCTCTAAACATATCACCTAGCAGTCATGCATGAGTAGGTGGTTACGATGAGTATATACTCGTACATGGTCTCCACTCCGTACTTTGTATGCCGGCTGGGCTGTAATATGCGCGTCACCTCATTTTTCTCGTCGGAGAGACAGTTAGCATCCCTTTCCTAGCTTTGACCCGTAAACTAATAAATTCAGTCATGGGGAGAACTCTTCCCGAAGACTGCGCTCTCCTTGTCAGACTACGATACATGGACACACATACATGGTTCGTCCCCTTGGCCCATCTTGTAGTTTCTGAGCCTGCTACTATAAGGGCCACGCCTACTCCCTCCGAGCCTTCGGTTTGACATACGCAGTGACCTGCTCTGTGACTTCAAGGTCTCTCAACCTCCCCGTCTCCACCTCATACACCCAGCCGTGCACCCAAACATCGATCTCTGAGTGGTCCGGATCTCCCTTCGGAAAAGTATCCACCACGTTGCGCACCTGCCTCTTCACGCTGGCCTCCCTGAGGACTTTGATCGACGCCGCATGGTCTGGGCCGAACTGACCGTCCCGGTCGAGTTCACGAGCTAGCTCGGTGAGCGATGTGAGCCAAGTTTCGATAGGCGTGGGGGCGTCACGGGTGGATTCGGACTTGGGTGCGAGAAGACCACGAGAATCCTCTTGAAAGGCGAAACTCTCTTTGCCGTCTTGACCGTCGAAGACGGAATGCCCATGACGTCCTTCTATAGCGTCGTTGTAGGCGGCTTCGACGCCACCGCAATGGGTATGGCCCACGATTGCAACTGAGTATTGACCATCAGAGTTTTGTAGATCATGTGTCACAGTAAACCCGAACATACCGTGCTGGACGTGGAGATGCAGTACAGCATAATCTAGGACAGCGTGTGCTGAAACATCGAGGTCCAACGGGAGGAACTGGCTAGAAGACACGGGTGTGAGTGATCCTGAAGAAAAAATCATTCAAATGTATGTAAATTACTTGGCGATGTTTCGGTGGACAAAAAGGTCGCCTGGAGCAAGGTTTGTGACAGCAGTCTCCGGAGCCCGAGAGTCGGAACAGCCTATCCACAGGAGCTAGTGCATGGCAGTCAGTACAGGAGAAGGTCCACGCCTTCTTGAGACTAACCTTAGGTCTTTGTCCCTCTGCGCTCCTGGTAAATATATCCTTGGTGTATGGGTTATGGACCAGAGCATTGGCCCATGCCTTATTGCAGGAATAAAGGAGTCGAGGAACCGCTTCTGGCCCGACAAGATCAGATGACATTGTGTGAAGAGTAGCGCTTTCTGGATAGTGATAGGTCAGGAGTGTTCGTCGTTTACTCTTGGTGGACCCGAAGAGTTGAGAGAGAGCAGTGAGTGGGGATTACCTGTGGGGTGGCTGGAGGGTCTTTTATAGAAAACGAAAACAGTGAGGTCAGCACGCAGGCGAGCCGCAGATTCCGAGGTATCCTTTGTGCTGACTGCTGTATACTCGAGGTATGTTAGATAACGCTCCGATCATTACGAGGTTGAGTGTATCATAGTGACACTTGCAATGTTTCGCAATGCATGGTGGAGAAATGATGGTCTTGTGGGCAGTAAATTTGCGGTGTTCGAGGAGGCAGGCGCCATACAGTTATATTGAGCCCTTATCGTGGAAGTATGAAGTCCATGACCGAAGCTCCGTAGGCATAGAGGCGAATCTTTGGGATCGAACAAGCAAGTGATATCTGTAAGCAAGCCAGGTACAGCTAACGACGCCCGTTGTGCCTAGAGGTTTGCTTCCATACATTCTCTCCGGCATTTAGACGCGGGTCGTGATATGGAGAGAGTGATGTGAACAGCGTCAAATCACAGAGTGTAAGGTTCCACGAAAAATGTCTTTGCATGGAAAGTTGTTCGAGCTGCGAGCTGTTCGTTAAAAAAGCGCAGGGCCTTGCTGCGCAGCCTCCAATAGATGAGCCAGGCGATAAAGCAGGAATTTTAGAAACGGAGAAAGTTATGTGTGAACAAGGCGTGAGGCAAAATCTTGCACAAATCGTGGATGCTGCAATGCGAGGATGCTCTGGGACAAGGTGGTTTGTGGAGTCATCGAGTACACCTGTGACGGAGGCCAGAGATCATGAGGAATATCAGTCGAGGGAGCCACACTCTAGGCAAATAGAATTATCCAACGGTGAAGCTTAAACTCAGACGTAGGCTCGGGGGATAGCATACTAGTCTGTAAGAAAAAGAACGCGCATGCCGGTCAGGCTCGACAGGGGGGGGGAATCAAGAAACGACGTACAAGCCACGAGCCGTGCGCCACAGATTGATGTCTGAGCCCCTTACTTTGCATCCTCTTTTGGTTTCACGTATGCAACGCACTTCTCCGTAACCTCAAGGTCCCTTAACCTCCCTGTCTCAACGTCATAAACCCATCCATGCACCCAAACCGCCTGCTCCACGCCACCCACCGCATCTCCCTTCGGAAAAGTGCTCACCAAATTCTTCACCTGCAGCTTCACGTTCTCGTCCGTAAGCAGTGTCACGGAAGGCAGAGGGTGCTCTTCGTGATGATTTGGGTCCACACCGTAATCGAGTTCACGGGCCAGGTTGGTTAAGGGCGTGAGCCAGGTGATGATTGGGTCGTCTTCCACGAACTCGGCGGGAAGGAGGTGACGGTGGTCGTGTTGAAATTTGAAGTCTTTTTTGGCCTTCTGCTTTACACTGTCGATGGTGACGTGGCCAGGCAGCCCCTCGGTAGCGCGGTTGTAGGCGGCTTGGATACCGCCGCAGTGGGTGTGGCCCACGATTGCGACTGCAATCATACCACTCATTTAAATACCGAAAAAAACGCGACAAAGTGAGATCGCACGTACCATGTTGAACATGGAGATGCTTCACGGCATAGTCTAGGGCAGCGTGGGCGGAAAGATCAAGCTCTGAAGCGTGGAACTGACTGGAGAATGCGCAGAAGCGTTAGCGCAAGCAACGTGTGAACAGACATGACTTACTTCGCGATGTTTCGATGGACAAAGATGTCGCCTGGTGCAAGTTTTGTGAGCACGGTTTCGGGAACTCTAGAATCGGAGCAACCGATCCAGAGAATCTGCAACAGGACTTTAGCACATGGTGAAAAGCTCAGAGAAGTTCATAAAACCGAACCTTGGGTGACTGTCCCTCCGCATGCCTGGGAAAGAAGTCCGCCGTGTATGGATGATTGACGATGTCAGCGGCCCAAGCTTCGTTACGAGTATAGAGGAGTTGAGGTACTGCGGCAGCGTCAGAAACATTCATTTCGAAAACCATGGTGGATGAACAGGAATTCTAGATCGTGATAGATCGGAAAGTTTATCCGAAACTTTGGGTGATTCGGGAGGGCGGAAGAGACAATCGATTTATCGCAGCCTCGAGGAACCTGCTGCTTATATAGTTATCTGAGAACAGCGTGGTCAACGCAGAATAGGGCGGTGCAAGCTATTAATAGCGAGCATAGTTAAATATATCGGGCCTTGTCCAGAAAAGGTTGCGTCCAGGGGCTAAAGCCGGTAAGCACGTACGCCTGGAGGAGAGGAAGAAGCAGAACCGCGTCCACAGATAGACATACTCGTATTACCAAGTACATGTCTATGTATCATGTCAGAAGCACTCACATGTTCTGCACAGAGTCGAGGCACAGTGTGTGTACCGAAAGGAAGACAGTACCAAGCCCTGAAGTTTATTCAATATTGTGTTTTGTGGGTATTCGACGAGTTTCGCCGGTGTGATTTGCGCAAAAAAAATGAGGCAATAACGGGAAGCACAACGGAATATACCTTGCGTTCTGGACAATCGATCCTTCAGTCCTTTTGATGATTGACGGGAGTTTGAGGAAAGTATATGCAGAATGCGGCCTGTCGTGACGCCCACTGAGAACGACTGGCTTCGCGTAGCTGGATGCGGTTCAATACTCGGACCAAGTTGCATAAGAGGTTGAAGATACAGCATGAGATGTAGGGTGCAAGGGGAAGTGACTCTATTCCAAGGACAAGACGAAAGTAATGGCAAGGAGAAGTGCAATATCATGTCAAGGTTAGACGTGGAGGCTCCTGGTCACCAAAGGCAAAGCACGCATATTCGTCATCGTATTCAATAAAGAGATGCATGATCGCGACGTACCATGAACAGCACGATATCACCGTTCCCTCACCATGTTCTTCAATGGTCTGACCTTCCATGGCTTCACTGCCGCGAACATTTCCTTGGTCAATGGAGGCTCGAGACGGATATTTGATGGGTAGCTCGCTCCAGCATCAATCCTGCGTTTTGACAGGATTTCGTAGAGTGTCGGACGCTTTGTGAGCTCTCGGGGAACCTCCTCAATGATGGCCTCTGGGGCGGTTATGGTAGCCCGAGGAACGATCCGGATTAAACGCGGAAGAGACGGTCGCATCTCTAGGTATCCACAAGACATCAGTTAGATGTCTTCAAGTAGACTGGGTACAAATTGAGCGACTAGGGCAACATACCTGTCTAACTGGCGGTAGAGAGCAAGAGCAATTTCGAGTATGTCACAGGTGCTACCGAAATATTGTCACGAGAGTGATGTAACGCGTCACTTGGAGTGACAAATGTGACCTGTCGTGTTCTTTCGCGTCGCGCCACACATTCACAAGAACTCTCATCTCTTTTCACAACGACCACCAGCTTCTGGGGAGTCGACGTGACCTGCCCTCATATACACTACATCCAGTCCAGTTTTTTGGCATAATAATACAATGGCAGAAACCTCGAAACACACCGGGGCCTCCGCCTCTAAGAGCGGCCGAAAACGCAAGGGGACCGAAGATGAGAGCGAAGGCCCACCCGCCGCAGGAGGAGAAAGTTCTTCCCGGACAAAGTCAGCCAAGAAATCCCGAAAGTCTGTTAAGGGCAAAGGAAAAATGAAAGCCAAAGGAGAAGAAGAATGGCCCCAATACTTCCAACATGTTGGTTTTCTCGTTCTCGCTGACGGTGTGGCGACTCACGCGTTGCGCTTTCTTTCTTCTTCTCGCGCAGCTTTCCAAGGTAATACTGGCTAGGACTGGGCTACATGCAATTAGTGTTTCAACTAACAGTTTTGTATCATCAAATAGGTCTTCAAGGTAGGATCTATATGCTCAGTAACGAAAACAAGCCTCATCTAGATATGTAGGCTTTGAACACCGTCCTTGCTTTCTGCTCTTCTCGGAAACATCTGGCGACGACCTTCCCGGTCATAAGAACATCAGTAGAGGGTCTACTTAAGGAGTACGGTAAAATATTATTTGTGCGTCATAAATCTGAGCCTGACAGCCACCCAGGCCTCTGGAACTCACGAAGGTGGCTGAATTGAAGTATGTCACCCCTGTCACTCGAGCCAGTAAATCACTGAGCTTTGCGGACTAGAGCATTACTTCCCGACATGGTAAAGCTCGCCTATACCACTCCCGACGAGCTACGCATCAATTCGACCCCACGACCCAGCAAGTTCCGCGAGAAATCCCCAGATTACGGAAAGTTCATGCAGGCCGGGCCTTCAAACTACGAAGCAGAGGAGCATGTTCTTGTCCTGGACCTCCTTGATAATGTGAAAGGAAGCAAACCCGGTGGTACAGAATCCTTCCAGTAAGAGTCGTCTAGCAATTCCGTCATAAATTATGCGCTAAAATTTGCCATAGAACGCTAGCTCTTCCTCCATCCATGACGCCAACCCAAGTGAAGAAGTTAATAGACAACAGAAACAAGCGTTTCACCCTTGCAGTCGAAGAGTTAGCTATCGACTCTCTTCAAACTCCTCGAGATATTGAACTTGCCATCCTATAGGCTACTTCAAGCAACTCCTCCAGATGAAGACCCGGCTGCGCTCGTACAAGCCGCTGCTCGAGAACACATACCTCTTAACCCTAAACAGAAATCTACCGAATTCGGCGACATCATGAAAATGCCTATCCCGGCCCACGACGTCCGACCATCCATTGATGAAGTTCTTACAGAGATTCAAGAGGAAGGCTGGTACAAAAATCAAATAGTGGACCGGAGAATTTTCGAAGCTAGGGAAGGCCAAACAGGTGAGCTGAGATCCCCTTGACTGTCCGCAGGTGTAAGATACTGAGAGGATATCTTAGCTAATCTGGACCATCCGCTGTCTGGAACAATTCAGCAGGCACTTTTAGACTCTAGGAAGATCACTTCTCTGTACACTCACCAGGTCGCTTCTATCAATGCCTTGCAGCAAAACAAGCATGTCATAGTTTCGACGAGCACGGCTTCTGGAAAGTCAGTGATTTATCAGGTGAATCTCACGTACTCTGCCCCATTTGCTGTTAACCGTCTCTGACCTTGAAAAAGGTTCCGTTACTACGTTTCCTTGAGGAAGACAACTCTGCGACCGCGATATTCATATACCCCACAAAGGTTTGGATGGTTCCCAGTTTCATTCTGTATTCTGTAGCTGAATGTTACGTGCAGGCGTTGGCACAGGATCAGCGAGCTGCATTGGAGGCATTGCTGGCTGCTTGTCCGGGTCTTGAGCATATAAAGGTTAATACATCAGCATCAAGCATGTTGTAACAGAATATTGAATGGACTAGGTATCGACGTATGACGGGGATACGCCACAAGAGCAACGCAGTGGTATGTCAGCCTACTTCGTTCAGCGTTCCGGATTCCCAAATTATGTCATGTAGTTGTCCGCGAGACTGCTTCAGTCATATTCACGAACTTTGTGAGTGTATTTCTTGGAATAACCGCTTTCTAAGCTAAAGATGGCATTCAGGATATGCTCCATGCATCCATACTTCCACACGAGGATCTGTGGCGCAGGTAAGCCCTGTGAACTTTGATTCAGCCACTGTCTACTGAGATCCATTTTACGCAGCTTTCTAAAGAACCTCAAGCTGGTCGCCGTTGACGAACTCCATTACTACCATGACCTCTTCGGAAGGTTCGTTCAACCTTGTGTCCAGCGGGTAGGATAGCGCTCACGAGAGTATCAATAGTCATGTCGCTTTCGTGACCCGACGTCTGCGTCGTGTCTGTGCAGCTGTCGGAAGTATGTCTTCCCCACTTCAGCATCATTTCTTCCAGCTGATAAATTGATAGACCGCCGTCTCCACTTCGTCTCCTGCAGCGCCACAATCTCCAAGCCCAAAGAACATATGAAGAGGATCTTTGGTCTCGAGGTGCGTCACATCTCTTGAAATCTTCTGTCCGTCTAAGAGCTCACTGACGCCTACTTTGCGCAGGACGTGGAAGCAATAACTGAGGACGGTGCTCCTTCGGGTCGGAAAGACTTTATCATTTGGGATTCTCCACCTATAGATGAGATGGCTCCGGAAATGGGTAGACATAGCGCGGTCACGCAGGCGACGGGGTTGATGAGATATCTGATGAAGAGGGGTGTGAGGGTCATCATGTTCTGCAAGGTTAACTTCCTCACAACTTCGTTGAATTCGGCAAGGGTGCTGAAGGACATTCTCGTGCTGACAGATCAGAAAATCATGCGAGTTGGTACGTAATTCAACGTTTGCCACTGAAATGGAACCATGTAACGGACATTCGCTACATAGGCCATGAAAACACTCAGAGCGGAATTGAGTGAAGAGGGCCGTCATGACATTCTAGAGCGAGTGATGTCCTATCGAGGAGGCATGAACACTACCTCTCATCCCAGGTCACTGAATATTAATTATTGGAGATAGGTTATGCCCAAGAGGATAGGCGTAAGATCGAGGCTCAGGCATTCTCAGGCCAATTACTGGGCATCGTTGCCACGAATGCCCTCGAACTGGGCGTCGATATTGGTGTGCTCGACGCCGTGATCATGATGGGGTTCCCCTTTGGCGTCGCTAATCTTGTAAGCCATTGAACCTCGCTAACTAGTTCGTTTTCTACATCCTCCTCTTCCTCTGAGTATCATGCTATTACAGCGGCAACAAATCGGTCGTGCAGGTCGTCGTGCTCGTGATGCTCTCGCAGTACTTGTCGCAGATTCACTTCCCATCGACCGGCACTATGTCCTGAACCCTCAGGACATATTCGATAAGCCTATGGACGAGTTGATTATCGATCTGGAGAGTGATTGGATCGTGGAGGCGCATCTGCAGTGTGCGGCTCATGAGATGCCGGTGTCGGCTGTGGAGGACGAGAAGTGGTTTGGACCCTTGACGAAAGAGATATGTAAGACAAAATTAGTCAAGGACAAGGATGGCTGGTCAGTTCACCTAATGTGTTATTGAGTGAGAGGACAGCTAATGAAGCGACTTACAGGTATCACACGCATTCGAAATTCTTGCCGTTCCCTGCAAAGTATGTGTCGCTGAGGGGGGCAGAAGAGGAGAAGTACGTGTTGGTCGATGTGACGAAACTGCAATCGGAGGGTACGGCCAAGATCCTAGAGGAAATCGAGATTTCGAGAGCTTTGTTTGAACTTTATGAAGGCGCTATTGTATGTTGGCACTGGAAATAAAAACTGACCTCCGCTAATCTTTCTCTTCTAGTTCACTCACCAAGGTTTGACCTTCCTTGTGAGGTTCTTCAGTCTGGCCCCCCATGAACAATTTGCTGATCTTCAGGTCTAGATAAAGGAAGTCAGCCATGACCTCAAACGGGCGAAAGCTATCAGGACGGACGTCAGCTGGACAACATCGCCCAGGTGAGGAAATCATCCAGCTTCCCATAGCTCTAAAATCTCATTATTTCCTGGATATTCAGAGACTTCACGTAAGCACCAACATATTTAGCACTACTACAACCTCTGACTATCGCTTCAGAGATGTTGACGCTGTCCAGACGTATCGAATCCGAGAGATCAAAGAGTCACCACGACGGGCTTTCTATGGTCGTAAGTCTCCACCCTTGCCCTCTTATGGCTCTGTTACTAATCTACAAGCCCCCGTCTTGACAGGCGTCGATGTGATGACTGTTGTTTTCGGTCAGTTCGTAGAACATCACTTCTCGATCCAATCAACTGACATGCCATCCTCCCAGGATATTTCAAGCTACGGTATGCCGCCCTCGTCCTCCACGCAAAACACGTACTGACCCGCACGGTCTAGCCTGAAAGTCATTCTAGACGTCGTAGACGTCGAAACGCCTCCCTGGGAACGCACCTCCACCGGCTTATGGATGGATGTCTCGAAATCCATCCTCGACCTCATGAATGACAAAGGCATCAACCCCGCCGAAGCCATCCACTCCGCACAACACGCATTCATGAACAGGTTCCCTATGTCTTCGGAGCTGAGGACGGAATGTAAGGCGCCGGAAAAGGAGTACAAGGCCACGGAGTCGCAGAGAAAGAGGCCTGCTAGGTTTGTCACTCGGTTCGCCATACCTCAAGATGGTTTGACCATTGATGAGGGCCGTCTCGTACAGGCTCATATTTTACGATATCCCCGGAAAAGGTGGCGGGATCGCTGCGAAAGCTTTTGACAATGGTGCCGTGCTCGCTACTTAATCATCTTTTGACTTGAACTCATATCTCATTAGTATCTAACATTCTCCGCCAAGCACATGATACCATCGAGTCGTGCGACTGTGAGGATTCAAGAGGTTGTCCAAACTGTATGCTCCTCGCAGTCATATGTACCTGGGCCACACTGACGCCACATTTCAATCCAGGCGTCGAGAGTACCTTCTGCAAAGAGAGGAATGAAGTCGCGTCCAAGCTCGGAGCGTTGCTCATCATCAAAGACCTCCTCAACATCCCCATCGATCCTGATAGGATCCCACAGCAATTCGATTATGAGAGGACGGACGAGGCGCACCAGACGATTGTGGCGGCGGAGTTCGTGAGGCCGATAGACGATGTACAGGTCGAGAGCGCATAGATGTACATCGCGCTTTGTATTGATGAATTATTGAATGTTTACACGCGATGCTATCGCATATAAATGTATCGTTTGTTGGTATGGGTATCCGACTATCCAGTCAGGTAAAATTAGCACAAAAACAAAGGTCTAATCAGCTCTGAATCCTCCTACAACATAAATTACCACGGCCAACCCAATGACCGTCACACCCTCCCCACCGCTCCTATAACTTTAAGCCATAGCAGTGACTCCCGCCGATACGTATTACGACTACGAAGTCCCATCAAGCCAACGGATCGAAATCGCCCCAGTCGCTCTTCGAAAGCTGACCCGTCGTCCCGGCCCCACCTCCCCAAGCAGGCTGCACCGGTTTACTCGGCGTCAACAAATCGCCCATCCCTATCCCCATCCCCATCGTTGGCGGCCTCGCAGCAGCAGCAGCAGTTAACGGTGGCGAACTCATGCTCATCCCCATCCCCAGGCCGTTACCCATCCCATTCCCCATCCCATTCCCCATCATCCCGCCCATCCCATTCCCGTTCCCATTCGTGTGCGTGGCCATCATGTTGTTGGTATTCGTGCTCGACCCAAACGAATTCGACAAATCGTAATTCGGTCCACTCTGCGCAGGCTGGATCGCAGGCGCCGACATCGCAGACGTGAACGCAGGTCTCGGCGGACCATTCGGCGTCGTCGCTACGTCCGCCAACGAGAGATTATAATTCGGTTTCGCGCTTCCTCCTCCCATTCCCGCTCCCATTCCCAGGCCTAGCCCGATTCCGTTATTCGACGAGGATAAGGACGAGCCGGTATTTGTAGGCTGAAGAGGCTGCATCATCCCACCCATAGCGATGCTAGGTTGTGATGAATGCGTCGAGGGCCCTGATACAGGCGGAGGAGGGAACGCGGCTGTGTTGAACGAGGACGAATGGATCGGTTTTGCGCCGAGCGGTCCTTTGCCTGGTCCCATTCGTGAAGAGGAAGATGTGGATGAGGAGAAGGAGCGTGTGGAGCTGGGGTTGAGCGTGCTTGGTGTGCTGGGGAAGGAGTTCGAGTTGGAGGTTGTGCGTGGTGGTGTGGGGAGAGTTGGAGGGCGCGATTGGGGTTGGGGCAGGGGGGCGGGTGTGGGAGCGGGGAAGGAGGACGAGAAGGATTGGGTTGCGAAGGGGGAGGGCGAGGTGGGGTTGTGTGCTTGTGAAGCCTGCAACGCGTACCACCCAGAAAACAGCAGTTCAGTTCGACCATCAATATCAGCAGATATGACTAGGAGAAAAAGACAGACCTCAGTCGGCGAAGCCAAAATACTCCCCCATACATCATCGCTCCAATCCGTCCCTCCTCCTGCCCCCGTACCTCCCGCCATCGCCATCGAATCCATCCCCACACCAGCACCAGGATTATCAGCCTTAACCGTCCCACTCGCCCCCGCCACCAAACTCTCAAAGTCCACCGGCTGGCCAAACGCACCACCACTCCCACCTATCCCCGAGCCATTCACGGTCATCGCCGATCGATCCTCGTGACGCTGCGAGTCCCGAAGATACTGGTTATGTTCTTTCTCGACGCGTTCGCCGAGTTTTTTGATGACGCCCATGAAGCGGGTGAATTGGTCGACGTTGAGGACTGTTGATCGCCATGTACGTCGAGTGTTAAGACCAGTGAGATATGAGGAAAGGAGGTAAGAAGGCACGTACGCGGTCCCATCGCCATAACCCACAACTGCGGCAACACCAGCGTCGCGACCGCCTCTCTATCAACTTTCATGCCCATCGCTTCCTGAACTTGTAGCGTTCCCATCTAATAACCCGGCCCACCCGTTCCATCATTCAATTCGCTCGTAACATGGTAATAATGAGGAGATGGGGAAACACACCGTCACAGCGGGCTCTTTCGTCCGGATCTTGGACAGGAGGGGAACGAGTTTCTGTGTTAGGCTTGTCTGTCGTTTATCATGGGTTATTGTTGGGTGGTTGGTTGGTTATTAGTTATGCTTGTTGGATAGTGGAGAAGGATGGAGGAGGAGAGGGAGAGGGAAGAGACGGACCTGGTCTAGGGTCTTGACCATGCTCAGGAACGTGGCCAGCGTCGCGACTTTAACGGACAGGATCCTTGTTTTTGTGAATACCATCTAAACGGTCCCATCCCAATCAATCAGCCCCTCACAAAAGACAAGGTAGAGTGAGTGCGCAAGAGGACTAACCGCAACCCTGGGGAACAAAACCCCCTGCACCTCCGCATAATCAATACTCTCACACAACTCCGGCACCACCCCCAACGCCCTCTCCTGCACCACCGCATGTTCGCTCTCCAGCGCATTATACACCAGCGGCAACACATGCTCCCGGAACACGACCTTTTCGGTTTTGGATTGGAGGGTGGAGAGGTTGTCGAGTAGCGTGAGCATGTTTTGGGGCGGCTCTTTGATGGCGAAGAGGGGCTTGAGGGAAGGAAGGACGAGGGAGGCGAATTGGGAGGGGGTGAGGATGCGGGAGATTTGGAAGATGTTGGGGAGGAGGGAGGGGAGGAGGTGGGGGTCTTTCATCTGTTTGCACCAAGTCCAAGTGAGTGTCAGATCGTTAGCCCCGAGAAAGGGCGCGGGTGGGTCGGATGAATGGAATGGGGTAGGATGGGATGAGCACGCACCTCTTCCAGCAAGGAAGGCAAGATCTTCCTGATCCTCAAGCCCTCACTGAACCGCTCCAAGACATTCGCGAGTCCCTTCATGAACGAAACTTTCTCCTCCCTCGTCTTCCCCGCGAAATTGCTCCGATCGAGGAAATTGAGCGTCGAGATGGGTAGGGAGGAGAAGAAGGCGTGCGAGGGGAGTGATTCAGGCGAAGGTCGGGAGTGCGGTTGACGGGTGATCAGTGTGGATAGCATCGCTATAGACATTGCACATCAGAGTCAGCGAGAGGTGAACGTTAAATTTTGGAGTGGAATGGATAGGATGGAGGAAGAGAAACGGACATTGCAGGTCCCGGTCGAATCTGTCCATTCGCGGGACAGGCCTCCCGGCGTTGTCTCTTATGCTCCCCAGATTCCCAAAGTTCTTGAAGGGAGCGTCGCCTTTACTGTGTACGGCATATGTCAAGCATCCGAGGGAATACATATCAGAGGCGGTCGTCAGGACCTCGTCCAGCGCGTATTCCGGTGCTAATAAGGATCCATTGTATGAGTATGTAAATTGTTTGTGAAGGAAAGAGGATGCCTTACCGATATAATCGAACGATCGTTGTGTGTATGGGTTCATCCTGCTGTCGAACGTTGGGAACTCCCAGCTCGTTGCGGATCCGTCAGGGCGTCTGAGAGGGATAGTCAGACCGAGGCCTCCGAGTTTCCAGTCGCCCTATAAATTATGTATGTTCCACGACATCAATATTCAGCCCTCATTCGGTGAAGTCAGACGAAAGGAGGCGTACGGCGTTGTTGATGAGGATACTCTCGGGTGTGATGTTAGAGTGGATTATCCGTGCGGAGGTGTGCAGGAAGGCGAGGCCTTTGCATATCTGGAGGATACCTTTCTGGATCTATTGGACAGTCTTGTTCAGGTCTTTAGTTACACATTAGAAAGGGGACGATACATACTTCGACTTCATCCAGGTCGACGAGTGGCGAGTGATGTGGCGACGCAGGGATGGATAGGTATAGAGATGAGAGGAGGGGTTCCGTGGCGAAGATGAGCTCGCTGCGTGTTTCTTCGAGCGGTTCAACGACCTCTTTTTCAAGGACGAATAAATACGCGTAATTTCTGGCGTATAATAGCTGCTTGAAACTGACCTAGTATGGACGGATGCCGTAGCCTACTCAAGGACGACGCCTACTTCACAAATGAACGTCATATTCTCATGCCGGCCAAAACAAAAACAGAACAGACCTCAGTCTTCAGCACCTCCATCGTCTTCTCCTTCGCTGCCGCCGTCATCCTCTCCATCTCCGCGCCCCGCTTCTCGAACGTCCACACGCTCACCCTCTTCCCCGTCGTCTTATGCGCCGCGCTCTGCACCTTCCATAGTCCGACCTGGAACGGAGGGGCGTGTGCGACGGCTGGGAGCGATGCGGACCCGCCTGAGCCTGATGAGTTTTGGACTGGGGTGCCGGAGCGCGAGGAGGTTGCGGAGGAGAAAGAGGTCGTTGAGGAGGGTCCGAAGGTGTAGTTTTGGGAGATATTTGACCGGGAGAAGAAGGATGAGGCGGCGGCGAGCATGGTGTTGTATTATCTTATCGTCCAGAGTTCAGGTTTACACGCTCCTGGATGGCCTAGAAGATGGTATCGCGGCCAGCAAAGTCGTCTGAGCAGTCCTAAGAGGTGTTGGAAGCACTCGAAACACAGATGCCTCTAAGATTCTGTGTGCGGCGAAGTCCGAAGGGGCCCTGTGGCCCAATCCTCTGGTGGCGAGATACTTACAGGACTTCAGGCTTTCAGAAAGATGACATCCAGCGCACAGACAAATGCAGATAAATATTACATAAAATATAGACTAACGAAGAAGTGTACGAATGAGAACGTTGTTGTACAGAAATTCACGACAAACGGTAAGATAGCACGACCGTGACTTGGAGAACCAGAACCCCACCACGAAACCCGTGCATAATGCAGACATAATCTTGCAAACTATCCCACCAACATCCTCCTCCACTCGAGACTAAAGTGCAGCCATCAAGGTGTCCCCCTCTGGCATGCACCAGCCCCGCACAACGACGGAGCATCCTCCGTGGCTGTACGCGACAGGTCTCGTTCTCTATCACCACTCTTTGAGCCCTCCAGACTCTGATTCTCATCTCCTCTTGTTCTGCTCTAGCAATACATGCCACATCTTTAATGCCGTAGATGGGTGCATAAAGGTCGTTAGCGAGTGTCGCCTTTTCGTGCGAGTATCGAGACGGTTCTTGTGCTTTTGTAGAATATGCTTTTGTGTTGTAGAAATAGCGACAGGACGACCAAGGGTGTGTTGCCCGTGATTTGATGTACGGAGTTGCGATAGCTGCGGTCCGTTGGAGGAGGCCATATTTGTGCGATTTGTGTGGGAGGCGATGACGGCGTGGGAGATGGGAAGTTGGAGGTAGAAGCAGGGGCGAGGGTGGCGATGAATGCGGAAGTTGGGATTGCGACTGGTGCGAAGGAGGGCGTTGGTAATGTTGAGCCTATTTTCTGCGAATAGAAGTCAGTATACGTGCAATAGACAAAAGATGAAGGGATATGGAGACGTACGTGTTATATCCTCTCTCTGCGCCCCGATATATCACCTAGGCCGTGCACCACATATCTCATCCTTCCACAGTCCCAACACCGACCACAGCCATTCCTCCTCAGAGACCACGGCGCACACCGTCAGGGCGTCCCCATCAGGCATATGCGAAGCCGCATACACAGGCAGGGCGTCCCCCATCTGCATACACGGCCCGTCTCTCCCTTCATCCTTCCCTTCCTCCATCCCTCTCCTCAAACTCCTCACTACCACTCCCCGAACACCCCGCCCCGGAGCCTCATCTCTCACGAATCGAACAGACTGTCGTCGTCCTGCATCATCGTCGGCGTCATCATCCAGTCGACTTCTTCGAGGATGGGGTCGTACAACGAAACGTTGCCTTCCATCTCCTTCACCCACTCGTCGTCCTCGTCCTCATCCTCCTCGAAAAACGCCATCTCCTTAACCCACTCCTCATCCTCGTCCTCATACTCATACTCATCCTCGTCCTCATCCTCGAAAAACGCCATTTCCTTAACCCACTCCTCGTCCTCGTCCTCACTCTCATACTCATACTCGCCCTCGTCCTCCTCGGCGATATACCAGAGCATCTCAAGCTCCGGGTGCGAACATTCCCTCGAGATGAGGTTATACTCGAACAGAGCGAACTCGCCCTCCGAGTCCCAATCGTGCGCCAATCCCACGATCCCCTTCTCCTCCTCCTCCTCCTTCTCCTGCTCATACTCTGACACCTTCTGCTCATATTCACCCTCGATGTCGACGTTGTCCTCATGCTCCTCGATGATATCGCAGAGGAACCCAAACTCCGGGTGCGAACACGCCATCGAGACGAGATTATACTCGAACAGAGCAAACTCGCCCTCCTCCAAGTCCCAATCGTGCGCCAGTGCCTTGATGGGTGGGAAGCATCCCGTAATCTCGGCTTTGGTCCCAGCGAGAAGACTCTCCAACCTCTCGTCCGCTTCGTCGATCTCTTTCTGTGCTTCGGGAGAGATAAGACCGAGCGAAGAGATGAAGGAGATGTCGACGTCGGCGAAGGAGAGGTCTGCGAGGGAGTTTGAGGGGCTGGGCTCCGGGAGCGGGAGGAGGAGGAGAGATTGGGTCGCGCTTGGGAAGGCGAAGATGGTTGAGGTGGGGCTGGCGGTAAGTGTAAGGACGGGGGTGGGAGGGTCGACGGTGATGGCGACCGTGGGCGTAGAGCTGGGACCGTCGAGGGGCAGCCTGAAGTTCGCGAAGGCTTCGTCGTCGAGCGCCGGTGAGGTGGTCAACATCCCTTCCTCGGAGGCACGGTTCTTCTCTTCCGGTACGGGGAGAGCGATGGCGGCGACGCTGATGAAGGACACATCACCAAGGGGGAGCGAGAGGTCACCAAGGGACAAGCTGGAGCCCGGGAGGAGGAGAGACTGGGTGGCGCTTGGGAAGGCGAAGATGGTTGATGTGGGGCTGGCGGTGAGGACCGGGGTGGGAGGCTCCAGAGTGACGACGGGTGTCGGGTCCTCGAGGTCCATCCTGAAGCTCGCGAAAGCTTCGTCGTCGAGCGCCGGTGAGGCGGTTAAGGTGCTTTCCTCGGGGGCCCAGTTCCTTTCCGGTACCAGAAGAGCAATGCTGGCGACACTGATGAAGGAGACATCACCGAGGGGGAGGTCACCGAGAGACAAGCTGGAGCCCGGCAGGAGGAGAGACTGGGTAGCGCTTGGGAAGGCGAATATGGTCGACGTGGGGCTCGCAGTGAGGACAGTTGACGTGGGGCTGGCCGTAAGGGCCGGGGTGGGAGGCTCGAGGGTGACGATTGGCATAGCATCGTCGAGGGGCATCCTGAAGGTCGCGAAGGCTTCGTCGTCGAGCGCCGGTGAGGCGGTTAAGGTGCCTGAGGCGAAAGTGTCCTCGGAGGTGGATGTAGGGACCACGAAGGGCACCCTGAAGTTCGCGAAGGCTTCGTCGTCGAGCTCCGGCGAAGCGGTTAAGGTGCTTTCCTCTGAGGCACGGTCCTCTTCCAGTACGGGGAGAGGAATAGTGGCGACGCATGACATGAGGGAGCTGAATGTGGTTCCGGTCAGTAATTGTGATCGGTAGATAGCCCAAAGAATAAGTAGACGTACAAGACTTGGGGCTCGACGGCCTTCTCCTTGACGGATTCCTCGAGGAAAGACAACGAGGAGTTGGAGAATTGAAGTGGTGCGGCTGCCTGGGAAGCGAGACATTGCTTGGCACATGCGTTAAGAGATCTACAGTCGAATGTTTATCAGTCAGACAGGTAGACGTAGATAAATCAGAGAATGAAACATACCCAATCCTCCTCTCTGTGCTCTTCACTTTCACTAGGCCTTCCAACATGCTCAACACCGAGCACGAAAACTCGAGCGTGGGCAACTCCTTCTCCGAGGGCATAGAAGGAAAAGGCACCGAGTTGGGTTTAGTGGGGTCTGAGGTAGAAGGGCTGAACGAGAAGTCCGCCAGAGAACCGCCGACTAGGGAGATGGAGCCGGAGGTAGTGAGAGTACGAGTGGGAGCTGTGTTGCATGGGCTGAGATGGTCCATGATGGTAATAGACATATTCGCAGTAAAGCTGTGGTAGTGTTGGTGCTGATAGATTGAAGTTTAGCAACTCGAAGATGTGGAAGTAAAGAGCTGGATGATGAAGGAAACCTCAGCCCCCAAGCCAGATTTTATATTTCTCTGGAGACTCTGCTAGGAAGTCTCGGGAACGCGCAAGTCTCTAGATATCCGAGGACCGACAGCCTACTTGGCGTCTGGGACTGGGAGATATGTCTTGGAGTCAGACCAAGACCACTGTCAGGCTCGGACCTTGACATAGCGGTTTGCAAAGTGTCTCACTCCCAGCCAAGTGAGGTGTCGCCGAGTCACCGACCCCAGCGGGACTGCAATGTATGGACCATGGAAGAGATAGCAAAACACGAATAAAGTTATAACCCCCGTGTAATCCAGTTCCAATGAATGTGATGTCCTTATGTTTTGTGGGCCATTTCTACGGCTAAAACAACACGGAGGAGGTGGCGGTTTGAGACGAGTCGAAGACGCCACAGTCACGCTCAAGATCAAGAGAGCGGCCCGTGCGGCCCGTGTTACAGCACCGTGACGATCCTGACGCGTCGTGTCACAAGAAGCGCTTGACCTCGCTTGACACGCGTTTGCCGCGTTCGCTCATTGTTTTTGCATCCGGAATTAAAGCTGAAGCCTAGGAGAGGTAAGTGGTCTTCGTGGAGGTATAAATAATTGGATTTACTGCTTATGAAACATGTTCTTTTATTGTCTTTAGACTGTGTGACCACACCCTAGTCGCAGTGCCAACCTCGACTCGGAATCTTCGCGTCGTCCAAGAAGCGAATGCCAGGGAGGACTGGCCGTAAGAAGTCCACGTAAATACTTGGCAAGCCTACGCAAAGCTATATTCATACTGATTTATGTCAAATATCAAGGAGGAGTTCGTTCACGACTGATGAAGACAGTCTCCTCGTGAAATACATCGCCAAGTACGGGCTCATCTACTCCGCGACGGGGCAGAAGCTCTATGACATATTAGTGATGGACGTGCGTCTTCAACCCTTTGCTATTCTGTTTCAACCGTGTACTGTTCTTTTTGAAGAATATCAGACTACTGACGATAGACTCTCAAACAAACAGAAGGACTCACTCTGGCCATGGTCGGCTGAGCATCCCCCTAGCTCCTGGAGACAACGCTACATCACATATCGTCATGAGTGGTTCGATGAGAGAATCGGTAACTATCGGAAGGAAGAGGGTTTCACCGAAGCTTCCGTTGCTGAATCTCTCGGTCTTATTGCCCCTTCGAGGTCTGAAGGAACTCCCGAGATCCAGGCAGCGCAGGAGGAGGGCGCGAACACGATTGGGAAGAGAAAGAGGGATGCTGGCGAAGGAGATGATCAGAGTAAACGGGCGCGAGTGGAGGGCCTGACCGGAGGTGAGAGTTCGAGCCAGAAAACGTAAGTCTTTGCATTCACTTTCACATGCCGAGGAAGATGTGTTTCGGTTTGCTTTCATTGACGTTACATTCGCTATCCAGGTGGACGGAATTTTCGGAAGCCGAGAAGAAACATTTAGTGAGATATCTTGCTGAGCATTCACTGAGTAAGAAAGGTCGAAGTGGAAACACACTGTATAAAGGTCTCGTCGGTGATGTGTGTCTTTATTTCTATCCAGCATGCTGTCTGCCTGAATGATACAAGTGACTGACGAGTTTGCCTTCTTGACAGCCAGCGACTCAGTGGTGGTCTTTCAATCACCCATGGGCGTCTTGGCAGAATCAGTATACAAAAAACCCCGTTTCCTACGATAATCGTATTCTGAACTACCAGAAGCGGATAAAGGCCAAAGCAGCGCCGAGGGTCAAAGGTCCGCATCCCGCTTCTGTTGAAGAAGATGACACGGAACAGGGCGAGATAGAAAAGATTGTGGAGGCAGATAGAAAAGATGAAGCAAAAGAGAACGAGGAGGAGCGAGACCAAGCCCAAGAACTACAACAGCAAGTTGGCAAGGAGCAATTGCCTGTCGAGGTTCCGCGACCAGAGGACGACGCCGCCGAACCCGTGCAAGACGATACAGAAGAAGCACCCGTTCAAGAGCTCCAGAACCCCGTCGCGTCTACTTCCCATACTGCACACTCTGATCGACATCCTTCATCCGTCGTCGCCTCTCCCCAAGCCAAACGCAAGAAGCCCCCTCCATCGACAAGTGCCATAGCAGGACCCGGTCCGAGCACGCAACTATCTAGGAATCGCGCTAGTGAGGAAAACGCACCTCCTCTTCAACCACCGAAAGCGACACAGCCTCATCAGCGTGCCGTGGGCCAGGGTGTGGTAAAGGGTAACCCAAAATTGTCCGCGGACGCCTCATCGAAGCAGCATACGGATGAGCCAAAGAAGGGAAGGGGGAAGGACGTAGCGAAGAAAGTGGTTGGGAAGAAACGGTCTTACCCGACCTCAAGTACCGATGAGGACGAGCCTGCTGCAACCTGGATAACGAAGGATGTGATGAATCCTGATCGCCATCGCCGTATGCAAGAGGTGGAAAGGCTGTTGTGTTCTGGGCCTAGCAAAGTCGGCTCGAACGATAGGTAAGTAACACGTCGTTTTCTACAGGATGAGCACTCAACTCAATACGATGTTTTCCTTAGGCCTACTCAATCCGACCGTACTTCTGCGACTTCCAACCCTTCTTCCGCCGGAAATCGCCCTGCCTCACTCTCATCCCAGCCCAAGCTTGCCCATCCACCTCATCTTCAGGTATCACAGGAACCTACACCCCCACAATCTGGCGCTAGCGATATCTCGCGCGTCGTCACCCCTGGTCCAGGAACTGAGCGTGCGGTTGAGCCGGCTGATCGTTTCTCAAGCCCTTCGACTGTTGTTCCGGAGGACGACGCAAGACCCGAACCTCCATCGGGCGAAGTTACGGCTCCGAAGCCTCTCGTCAAACGTCGAAGAATGCTCAAGAAGAAGAAGGCCAGTGCTGGCAGCGATATGTTCGTATCCTCTGACGAAGGCGAGAAGGACGCCACTCTTTCGCAGCCGGTTCAAGCATCCGTCCCCGAGTTGGTACCACCATCGACCACACCATCTTTACCGCCTCGCCGCGAGGAAGGTCCATATATCAGTGCTCTCTCTGGCCACGCAGGTGAACCGAGGCTTTCGCCTGGTGGACGGCGACTGAGCGGAGTCGCTGAGGATGAGCAACCAAAGAGTTTGGAGGAAATTTCTTGGTCACCAAAGCGTCAGGACGAAGCGCGTCTATCTCAAGCGTCTCAAGACAGCACGAAATCGAAGCCAAAACCTGGGGCGACCGCAAGAGTCACTACTACTGCGAATGTGGCCTCTACCAAGTCAAGCGCTGGAAAGCCATTGGTAGCGGAGTCGAAGAAGCCTGCTTTACACTTCCCGGAGCCGTACAAATTGCAGGATGATTGGGCGTCTGCGACAAGTACCAACGTCTCGCCCACACCTGCTCCTCGTCATCAAACCCATGGGCAGCAGCAGCAAGTCGCTCATTCGCTGGCTGAAGAAGAGACTAGGGTTCCCCGTTCTGCGTTGGAGAGGTTCAAGGCGGATCGCGTGGCGTCAGAGAAGCAAAAAGAGAGCCCGCCTCCATTGGTCTCAAAGAAACCGCCTCAGGAGAACGCAGTGGCTTCGTCTTCTAGAGTTCAGCTGCCACCGTCGAGACGGTCTGATCCAGTCCCTAGGACTGAAAGCTTCATGGACGAGCCGACCGACCTTATTCCTCAATCTATCAGTTCTCCTGTTCGACCTCTCCCCGCAGCGGAATCGTCTCCGCACAAGGTTTCATCTACCCCAGGACAGAGCATACACACTTCGAAAACTGTTCGTATATCACCAGATTCTCATTCGGATGAACGGGGCCGTCGACAATCGCGTGGTGCCAATACAGGAAGCAGAACATCGGGCGTAGTTCCATTCGATTTCAGTACATACCGCAGTGGTTCTCGTGCCAGCCTGAGACCAGGACAAAGCAGACTTCGACAGTCACTTTCTATCACAGATCTTACCGAGGACACCAAAGTAAATTCGACAGACCGCCTTTCTTCGCCTGGTCTTTCCAATCAATCTCGCAGTCCTCCCAGGGACCTCAGACGCTCGAGCCATGCCTTTACTCCTATACATACTCCTCGTGCACAGTCCCTAGTGCACACCCATCGTCGTCGTGCGACTTCTTCCCTCTCTCATGCCATGTCCGGCCGGTCATCACCACTGCAGCCGGACCCCCGTCGTGAGTCGATAGGCCTCAATCACGGTATACAAACTCCGTCCCCTCCTCCTCTCCCTATCCAAGAACGCACTTTCATCCACAACTTCGGCTTCCAGAAGATCATGGAACAGCTGGTCAAGGACTCCGGGTTCTCTCCGGAGACGGTGTTCGCCGTGCTTGAGCAGACGAAAAGCTTGGAGGAAACCGATCGGAGGTTGACGGATGCGAAAACGGCCGCTCTGAAGGTTTTGCTTGCTGAAAAGGCTGCTAGAGAGGCCGACGCTGATACCGAAGAGGAGGAAGGAGAGAGCGGCCAAGAAGAAGATGATGAGAGACCCGGGTCCGACGACGAATTTGCCGAGTTGGTCAGAGAAGCTCGAGGTATTCCCCTAGGTGTCAACGACAGCAGTACACCTGGACGTTTTCCCCCTACCACTCCCGCATCCCAAGGATCTTCTACTGGTTCGACGGTGAACCCTTCACCTCAACCCGTGTTTACGCCAGCTGGGAGGCGCGCACAAGAATTTGTGGAACTGGTATTGAAGGGTCGGATACAAGACGCGAAAGAAAGGGAGGTGAGGCGGAGCAGCCATGGTCTGATTCGGGACGATTCGGTGAACGCTGAGGAGTCGTTCAGGGATGACGGTGAGATAGGACAGGACGATGTAGAAACCGAGACATACACCGACGAAGAGCAATCTGAAGAGGTTGGAGAGGAAAAAGAAGAAGAAGATCGAGGCGGGTCAGAAGATGGAGAAGTTAGGGAGAGCTCGCCGATTTCCGAACTTGCAGTGGAGGACGATTTGACTCGGTGCGTATCTGCCGACGCGAGTCAAGAGCGTGATGTGGAAGATACTGTGGCACTACCGACCGACTCGGATAGTCCTGATAACGACGACGAAGAGGAGGAGAATGACTTGATTCGTCCGGAGGACTGCGAATATCATCCAGTACAGCCAGAATCACAGTCAACGGACGAAGAGCAAGAGGAGGACGAGCAGGATGAAGAGGAGCTGGATGATGATGAGCACAGCGGGTCGGAGTTGGCTGAGGAAGGACAAGATGAGCAGAATAAGGCAGAACGGGATGACGAGCAGGAAGAGGAAGAACGACTCCAAGTCCATGTTGGTGCGCAGGACGAGGAAGAGGACGATCAGGAGGCAGAGGCAGAGGAAGAGGCCGATAAGACCGATCAGGAGGCAGAGGAAGAGGAAGAGGTCGAAGACGAGATAGAGGTCGAGGAACAGGTCGATGAAGAAGAGGTTGAGGAACAGGATGAAACGCACGACGAGAGATCGGACGAGGAACCGCAGGACGACACTGAAGACAGCGAAGTAGAACAGAACCCATCTGGGGAAAGCGATACAGAGGAGAACGATGTTCAACTGGTGGATGAAGAGAATGGGTCTGACGATGCGGGTTCCTTTGAGGAGGAGGATTCGCAAGACGCAGAGAGCGATGGATCAGAGGAACAGGAAGGTGAGGAAGGTGAATACCTTCCTCGCCTCACCGAAGCTCCTTCACCTCCACTCAGTCCGCGCACTCTCAACCGGAGGAGACGCAAGGCCGAGATGGACGAATATATCAGGGCACGGGTAAACCACGACGAAGAATTGGCCAACGCTCTTGATGCTGGTGAACCACAATTCTTGTGGGCGATTAGCAAGAGACTCCGCAGCAAGTTTCTTGTACCGGAAGACCAATAGCGTCTCCTTATAGGCACTCGCTGTTCAGGATACATTTTTTGTCTTACACTAATGGAATATATATTGTAAAAACTTGAATTTTACTCGCAGCAAACCAGTGTTTATCCCGTGAAGTAGGTCTGTGACAAGTCTAGTTCTCTACGATAGTTGTACATGTTACTTTCGTGCCGATGGTTCTTTCTCCTGAACTTTAGACGGCTTTAATAGCGATCTTCACCGCAGAACGGCTTTTCATCTTGTCCAAAGCCTTCTGGAAATCGTCAAGGTTGAATTCATCGGTGACCTATTCATATGATTCTCTCAGTCATGATCATCTCGACGTAGGAACAAATGACAACAACGGGGACTGACTATGCCTTTGGTCTTGATTTTACCGGATTCGAGATAATCTACCGCACGAGGGAAGCAATAGGCCTGTGCGAAGGAGCCAAGGATCTGTGGAAAGAGCGCTATCATGAGCTAGTTTCATGAGAGTGTGCAGAGGGACTGACGGTAATCTCGTCGCCGAAAATCTTAGAAGGAGGCCAGTGAACGCGATCGGCATTGGCGTAGACACCGTAGATCAAGAGCTTTCCTCCCCGGCGAACGTAATTGATCGATTCATTCGCAATGCTTTCGACTCCAGTGGCCTCGACCTATTGAAATATGAGCTGTTAGTGGCAGTGCGTTTGACCTTCGTCTTTGGTCGGGCCTATTGTACTTACTACGACATCGAAACCATACGGATTATTCTCCTTCAGTTGTTTCCACTGCGCTTCGGGATCAGACCTATCCAGCTCAACGTACTCATCCGCCACATCCAGGCTCTTGGCGATATCCATCTTGATACCCTTGTTGGCCGCCAGCACCACCTTCGTTGCGCCGTTGATCTTCAAAAGCTGGCACATCATCAGACCAGTGGGTCCAGAGCCAATCATCAGCACTTCAGCACCGACAGACATCCCTAGCTTGTCCATTCCGTGAATGGCACACGCGGCAGGCTCGAGGAGTGTGGCTTCTTTATCTGACATATTGCTGATCTTGTAGACCTGCTTTCCGGCGCTTCGAGTCGTAAGCAAGAACAAGGTGAATGTCAGCCTTTGCTGATACTGAAGGGAAAATGAAACAAATGTAGAACTTACAAGGTAACGAACTCGGCGAACCCGCCTGCCATGCTGACACCTTTGCCCTCGAAGTTCTCACAAAGAATTCCTTTGCCTCTGCGGCAGTAGAAACAGTCGTCACACTAAGACAAAGTAGACGGTCAGCTTCGTTTTCCACAGTGTTGTGACGGTTGAGAACATCGTATGTCAAGCATACGTACCAGAACACCAGGATCTGCGACACACCGGTCGCCCACAGAGAGCCCCTTCACATTCTTCCCTATCGCCTCAATCTTTCCGACGACTTCGTGTCCCGGAATGAGCTGTAAATTACAAGACGATTGGAGCACCATGAATATACATGAGAATTCAACATTCTGTGCATCACTCACTGGAAACTTGGATACGAATTCGCCTTCGTGGACATGAGAGTCGGTGCCGCAAATACCTGAGGGATGTAGGTGTCAATGCCTTTATTCCTCTGACCTGATGACAAAGAGATTACCGCAGTAGGATACTAAGAACCATCTGTTAATACGATTATATCCAAACAAAGCATGTGGTAGTGCTAACCTTTAACCAACACCTCTTCGTCCCCGATTTGAGGTACGGGCACCTCGAGTATCTCAAAGTTGCGAGGCTGCAATGGAGTTTGGGAATTGCTCAGAGGATCATCGCAAGATCGAGGCATACCGAGTGATAGTAGACGGCCTTCATTGTCTCTGGAATCGGCATTGTATGTGGTTTAGATTATGAGGGCGTCGACTCGAGTGAGATTGTAGTTGGATAAGAGAACGAGGAACTGTCCAGCTGACGTTGTCAATCTGGACACGCTGTATATATACATGACGAGCTGTTCGCCTCGTTTCCGGGAAAAGACAGAAGCGTACAAGACCAATCAAGTTGATCCTGGACACGGTTGGATTTCTAGAGAACGGACCGTATACGTAGACCAATACGATTATCTATCGGTGTGATATGTCTCCCCGCCCTTCCCGCCACACAGGCACTGAGCACTCACACATCAGGACCTATCAGGACCAACGCTGCGGTCTGTCGCTGGGTGTCCTCAAGTTCACAGTGGGCCCAAAGAACACGTACGATTGATTTTAATCAACCGTTTTTGGATAAAAGCGACTCGGTGACATCGCTGCAAGGATGGAGTGGCGTCGTGGCAAGAGCGAAATTGCAAATGACGCCCAACGCTCGATAATACGCGTTTCAATCTCCGCCCGAACGCGGCGCGTCAGTGGCGAGCGCGTCTGAATCACATAGCTTGCAACTCCTTCTTTACCACCACCAGCTTCCCTTCCTCTTCTCCTTTACGACCTACTCATGGCTGAGCAGGCAAAAGTGCAGCTCAACGCGGAACTCTTTAACTCACGACTCAAGCATCTAATTGAGTCCTGGACAGTGCGTTGAGTCCTCTATGTTTACCCATTAGCAGCAAAGACTGACGAGATAAAGTTGCAGAGGGCCGGAAAGAACGATGACTATAGCTCGATAGCTGACGTGGATGGCATCTTTGTTGCTGCTGGTGACCCTGCCGGAGAGGATGAGCCTGTGAAAAAGGGGGCGGCGTTCCAGGTGCGTGCTTTCGGGAAGGCTGATGCATGGCGCTGTTAGTTGACTCGGAGATGGTTTCCATATACAGACATGGCTCTTAGGGTATGAATTCCCAGCCACTTTCTTGCTTTTCTCTAAGGAAAAGCTCTCGATCCTGTGCTCGGCGTCGAAAGGTGCGTGAGGCTTGTTCTCGACCAGCGTGGCCATCCTCACATTGTCTTTATAGCACGCATCCTCGACCAGCTCACGAAGCATAAAACGTTCATTCCCGTGGAGATCTTTGCTCAGGCCAAAGCAAAGGAGCCCACGAATGATGCTATGCCCAGATTTTTGGCCGAATACACATCACATTCTCGTGTCGGGACCATCATCAAGGAGACGCCGACTGGAAAGCTCGTGGATGAGTGGAATAAGGCCCTTAACGCGTCGGCAAAGAAGCCGGAGGTGAACGACGCCACACCTTCGGTCTCCTCAGTGATGGCGGTCAAGGACGAAGAAGAATTGGTGAGTTCTCTTTTGTTTAGTGTTTCCGACGCAGGAGTAACCCGACCTTGACTTCAAGAAAGCGACGCGGATAGCTGCGAGCCTCACATCCACCTTACTTACGCATCACATTGCCCTCAAACTCGAGCAAATCTTGGACCGTGAGACCAAGATTACGCACGAACAGTTCGCTTCGCAGATCGAGGCTCGGTTAGGGTATGGCGAAGGAGACAACGCGAAGGGGCCGGATATGAAGGTGTGGAGCAAGGGACGTGGACTAAACGAGGTAAGTCTTTCTCTCCTTGGTACTAGAATTTCAGTTCATATCCGCGGTAGGTGGACTGGCAATCCACAGAATTCTGTTATTCCCCAATCATTCAATCACGAGCTACAAAATCGGGCTACGACCTGAAAACCACAGCAGAATCCTCGGAAGACAACATGTCGCACAAAGGCGTCTTTTTGGTGTCCGTTGGAATGCGTCACAAAGCCTACTGTGCAAATGTTGGTCGGACACTTATCGTCGATCCCGATAAGGTGCGTATACAGGTTCTGCGTGGACGGATTTTGTTGCTGAACCTTCGGCTTCAGGAACAAGAATCTATCTACCATCTATTGCTGAATCTTCAAACGGACCTGCTTTCGAAGATGAAGGACGGGGCAGTCATTCGGGACATCTACCATCACGCTCTTTCCTACATCAAGAAGCAGAAACCTGAGCTCGAGAAGCACTTCGTCAAGAATCTTGGTTTTGGCGTAAGTTTGCATATGTTTACGGTCCAGCGCCTATACCTAGACTCATCTATGTGCAGATGGGTATCGAGTTCCGCGACTCGGCCTATCTTTTGAGCCCTAAAAACGGTCGTCAGCTCAAGACGAACATGATCTTCAACCTCTCTCTTGGGTTCTCTGACCTTGAAGACCACGAGAAGAAGAAGTAAGCAGGTTTGGCTCCGACGTCAGCAGATTGCTCATAAATCATCCATCGGCAGGTATGCTCTGCAGCTGAACGATACCATCAAGATCGGACAGGACAAGTCCATCTGTTTGACCGAAGGCGTCAAAGCCGCAAAAGACACTCTTTTCTTCCTCAGCGAGCCTGACGAGCCTAAGCCCGCCAAAAAAGCGCCAGCCAAACCTGTCACCAATGGCAGTTCGCCCATGAAGAACAAGACCGCCGGAGGAAAAGTGTTGAGAAATAAGACGCGTAGCGCTGCCCAACAGGAGGTATTGCAAACGGCCGCAGCGAGGATCCACGAGCATCAGAGGGAGCTTCACGAGCAGCTGCAAACGAATGGACTCGCGAAGTACTCAGAGGAGGGAGATGGGACAAGCGGGAAGGAGGGCAAGTCGTGGAAGAGATTCCAGAGTTACAAGGGCGAGGCTGCGTTACCGAAGGAGACAGAGAGTCTACGGGTGCGACAGGCTTCTTCCGTCATGGGTGTTTGGACGAGTGCTGACGCTCAGTGTAGATATTTGTCGACCGCAAGGCGCAGACCGTCATCTTGCCCATTCATGGATTCGCCGTTCCGTTTCACATCAACACGATCAAGAACGTCAGCAAGAACGAGGAGGGCGAGTTCACGTTCATTCGTGTCAACTTCCAAACTCCCGGTCAACTCGCCGGGAAGAAGGAAGATACGGTAATGCGGTCCTTGGTTCGAGCACTTGAGCGAATTCTAACCATCATCATTTCACGTTATTCTCATTCGTAGCCTTTTGAGGACCCAGACGCCACCTTTATCCGCTCGATCACGTACAAGTCGAGCGATGGTCATCGGTTCGACAGCGTTACGAAGCAGATAACGGACTTGAAAAAGGAGATGAACAAGCGGGAACAACAGAAGAAGGAGCTTGCGGATGTCATCGAACAAGACACGCTGATCGAGGTGAAGGGCCGGAGGCCACATAAGCTGCCAGAAGTATTCGTACGGCCGGCCTTGGACGGAAAACGGTTGCCTGGTGAGGTTGAGATTCACCAGAACGGTTTGCGCTATCAATCGCCCATGGGGACACAGAAGATCGGTGAGTACCTATGTTCTTGTCGTCTTCGCAGCTGGATATTTACTCTTCTCGTGTCGCAGATATTCTTTTCAGCAATATAAAGCATCTATTCTTCCAGCCGTGCGACCATGAGCTGCTTGTCATTCTCCATATTCATCTGAAATCGCCTATCATGATTGGAAAGAAGAAAGCTCACGTATGTTATCATCGCTCTATCTTGAGACAAGAACCCTACTCATTCCGTCTGCTCTAGGATGTCCAATTCTTCCGCGAAGCCTCCGATGTCCAGTTCGATGAGACGGGGAACCGGAAACGCAAATACAGATATGGTGACGAGGACGAAATTGAGATGGAGCAGCAGGAGCGCAAACGCAGACAGATGATGAACAAGGAGTTCAAAGCCTTCTCTGAGAAAATCGCCGAAGCGTCCACGTCATCGGTAGGTTTCGACACCTGTCCTTCGTTTCGTTCTACCACTTCACTAACATTTTTCTCAACGGCCTAGACTGGCGACACACTCGAACCTGACATCCCCTTCCGGGAGTTATCGTTCGAGGGTGTACCCTTCCGCACCAACGTCCGCCTTCAACCCACGACAGAATGCTTAGTTCACCTTTCGGATCCTCCTTTCCTTGTCGTCACGTTATCCGATATCGAGATTGCGTCACTCGAACGTGTCCAATTCGGTCTGAAGCAATTTGATGTTGTGTTCGTCTTCAAGGACTTCACCAAGCCACCGCTGCATATCAACTCGATTCCGAGCTCGCAGCTGGACGATGTCAAGAACTGGCTGGAGTAAGTCGTCACGCTGTGTATATATTACCGACGTGGTGCTCGGACTCATTGGGTTTATAGTTCAGTGGATATTCCGATGGCGGAGGGCCCCGTTAACTTGAACTGGGGACCTATTATGAAAACTATCAACGACAGTCCTTACGATTTCTTCCAAACTGGTGGCTGGCACATTCTTCGGGGAACTGGTGCAGCCGATGTAAGTCATCGCCTCACATACCCCTAACATCTAACTGACTCGACGGTCCTTTTACAGAGCGACGAAGAGGATGATTCCGATGAAGAGTCGGTCTTCGAGGCTGGGGATGTCGAGTCCGAAAGTGAGGAGAGCTCGGACGCAGGGAGCGACTTTGACGACTCGGATGCCAGTGAGGACGCCAGTGGATCTGACTTCGACGACGACGATGAGAGCGAGGGTTCGTTTTCTTGGTTTCGCTCCTGCTTATGCTTTTATTCCTGACTGATTTTTGCTTGCAGGTGATGATTGGGACACGCTAGAGAAGAAAGCCGCGAAGTGTAAGTGCTTTGTTATTCACCTTGCATTCGTTCACAACTAAACGTTATCTTTCTCCTTTATAGCGGACAAGAAGCGCACCGAGGCTGGTATCGGTCACGACTCTGACGATTCAGACGACCGGCCGAAGAAGAAGGCTCCTGCCAAAGGTAAATCCAAGGCAAACGGCAAGGCGGCTAACGGCAAGGGTAGGCGTTGAACGTTGAGCCTTGCTTTCGTCGTGCATGGTGTCTGCACTCCTCGTATCTGTGCGGTTGAGTGCGTGTATAGTTCTTCCGTTTGTCTATCTGCGTCCTGCGGCGTCCTGTTCTTGTATCTCTCTCAGTTGAAGTGCAGTATCTTCCTTGAATTTCCGCGTGTAGTAATGTCGTCGTTGTCGTCATCGGTTCTTAAGTTCGAGTGTCTGAATCTGATCTCATTCTGCGCATGGCTACATCATCCCCCATCCTCGGATGGTTCATTCATCAAATCCACGATGATGGGTTGTCCTCCCCAGGCTATCGCGGCATTCACTGACACCCGATTTCTATGAGGAATAGTCCGATCTTCATTCTCTTGTTGCTCTGCACTGTTTGCGGGTCCTATCCTGTTAATATCGACCCCATGCCCTTCGTGAATGTGTCCGAAAACATGCAACCGGCAGCTTGAAAGTGCGTCCATCTTGGCCCGGAGGTGGGGACATCCGGCGTGGACACCTTTGAGCGTTTCGTCCTGGATGCCGTAGGGCGGTGTGTGGGTGAGAAGGATCTCAGTATCCGATGGGATGCGACTATATATTTCTGTGGGGTGCAAAGATGAGGATGGTCAGTTCATTCGGAAGTGGCCTTGCGGATGGGTTAAGTTCACTGACGGTCTGCTTCTGTCGCAGTTCGGTACTGGAAGGCACCAGATGCGTAGCGCGGGGCTGCCTGGTCAATCCGTTAGCGCACTGACCGCCGCCAACACAAGGGTGAACTTGAAGAGCTCACTGGCGAGCCGTAGAACTTCCATGTCTTATCCTGTGAGGTAGTGATTGAGACTGCTTCATGTTCTAGGTAGTGTATGCCGGCTTCAGTGGCGGCTTCGTCTGTTACTGTCAACTGTGCTTGCTCTACGTCCTGTAAATAATTCAAACGGAGTCAGATGCTAGAAGTAATGTACTGGTCGCGACAGCTTACGGCTAGCGATATACCTGTGGCACCTCGATGGCGCCGCGATTTCGCCCAAGTGCTGTCCAAACATAACTTCAGAAATATAGTCAGCGCCTTGACTAACATGTTGAAGATAGAGCTCACATCGTGATTTCCAGCGATAATCCTGATGAGTTATGAAGTACGTTAGTTGCCGATTTGCTGCATAACAAGGTCATACCGCCTACACTTTATGTGGATGAGGTAGTCTCCTTAACCACGCCATAGTAAGCTTGAGATCATACAGGTTGCCGTCGCGGCAGAGGTCCCCTGCATGAATGAGAACATCGCCATCTGGGATGCTCCAGGTCCATTTGGTCTTGGAATGCGTGTCAGAGATGCAAACGAATCGCGTCCACGTTTCTCCTGGATGATTCGGAGGGTGATGTGCATCGTAGTCCGTATAGACTTGGTGAGTGGTATCGAAAACTTCATGAGGCTCGGCCGCCATGGCAGGAGATGTAGATAGCTTAGTAGTGACGTTCTGTCTTTTCAACAATACTAGTAGATTGTTTGCAGGCACTCCGAGTCAGCATGAGCACTGACCAAGCCAAGACCAAGCACTGACTCGTCGACGAGCAAGGTGAGCGTAATCTTTCTTCTCTGGTACTATATTTTCATAGAGATTCAGTCAAACGAGCTTGAGATACTGTAACATAGACCTTCAGAAATACCGAGGAGCGAACTGATCAGTAGTTGGCCTTTGCCAGACAATTGCCAGAGCACAGAGTCAGTGCGAGATGGTTGAGGGCTGAAGTTGGGGGCCACCAAAGGGCCACACAGCGTAATAGACGCGGTAGTTGCCGATGGGCGGCATGTTCGCCGTATCTCCATTTGTAACACAGCTCGTTTCTTGACCTTCGACCATCACGAGCAAACCGTTCGCAGCAGCAATGCGCACCGCTGAAATATCATACACTCACTATAGGCCTCAAGCTGGGTGACACGATGCCGGACAAAGACCGACTCGAAGGAAGCCGCCGGGAGCATCAAAAAACGTGCTCGCAAACGCTAATGAACGCCGCTTTCGTTGATTTCATTTATTTCGGCTGCTTTTGTGGTTTTGCCTCGGATTCCGACTCTTAGCGAACCTATTTCCGGTACCGGTGGGGCTCCATAAATTGCCAACCCTCGCCTCCTCATTTCTTCTTTCTCTCCTGCTCGCGCATAACGCTTACCTTTAGCCATCTCTGGCCCCAACTTCCGGAACCATACCTTCTATGAAGCAGCCGCCATATCTCTCTCCTGAAATTCGCCAGACGTTTCAAGATGCTCACCTCAGCTCATCGCTTTCCGTCGGTGATACGCTCACGAAGTTCGTGTTCACCGTATCATCCACCACAGCGAAGTTGAAACACGCCATGAGGAAGGATAGTACAGGCAACTTGGTCTCTCATGTATCTTCCTCTTCAACTGCATCCCAGTCGTCCTCGTCGTCGGATGAGCCGAGCGGTCAGGAAGCTCCGGTGAAACAGGATCAAGAGCTTACGGAGGAACAGGCTACGTATGTACCTCGGTCTGCCTTACTTCTCACTTCGTCTGCACGTTCCAAAGTACTCTTGTTCGCTCCATTCAGTCAAGACAACTCTGATTGATGTTCCCCCTCTAGCGCTAATTCGTCCGCAGACACTACGAATATCACAGGACCCGCGCGTTCTACATCCCCAGAAGTCAACACGATTCCGTTCCCCAGTATCTCAACCAAGACAGATTCCAAACTCGTATTGGACAATGGTTTGGGTCTACGCGAGACGGAGTTGAAGGTCGAAATCAAAGGAACGCAGTCTAGGTTCGTAACACTTTCTCATCCCGAACCAGTGATCACGCTTGTTGATGTACCCGATTAAATTATCCAGTTTTCTCCGTACCACCTCAACTACTCATACAGAAACATCTTTAACGCATCGAGAAGCCCCTCACGCCGTCACTTTTCCTGTCGAACCTGTGCCCCCTCCTAGGATACGCACACGCTCTAGTTCCTTCGTACGACGGAAACCCGGAGATACTGCCCAGGAGCAAGCTCCATTACAAGATCCCTTGGTTGCTGACGCCGATACCTCTGATCCTTCATACGAAGAATTAGACGTGGCGGCGCCGGATCTCCCCGCTCCAGAAACCAATACTTCTTCACGATGTTTCCACCCTGGCCCTTGTCATCACGGACCTCTCGACGATGCCATGCAATCCATGCTGCTCGACCTCTTAACCACAGTCTCGGACGGCGAGGAAGAGGGCGAGGGAGAGATCGGGGATCTGTCGTTCACTCCCGGCCAGGCGGAGGGCGAAGATTTGGAAGACATGCAGGAGATATGGGATGAAGAGGAGGTAGATTTTGGCACTGCTCTGTGCGAGTACGGGGAGACTTCCTCTCACGTCATTGGACCGCTCTGGCGATTTGAAGCGGAAGATGGACAGCAAGAGGATGAAGAGGAGCAGGAAGCGGACAGTGCAGAGGGAAGCGGTGATGACGGGAGGTTGAGGGTCTCTGCCTTGGTAAAGCGAGATACTTCGACGAAGGATGGTGTGCCGACATACACCATGGTTTCAAGGCAAGTCTCGCACAAGTGGTCAGGCTTGCTTGCGATAGTCGATGAGGAGGTCGAGGAGCCTCAGGTAGAGGGTGAGGCGCCGGACAGAGGTGATAGTGAGGATGACGATGCAGCCTCTAAGATACATGAATTCCCGGATTCTAATGGTAGTGAAGAAGCCCCTCGGCTGTATCGACCTCTCAGTGGGGTGGATTGGATGGAGGAGGACGATGATCTGCCTGATTTATCGGACTTTTGAGTATATGATACTGATATCATCTCTTGTTGTTTGCTTCCCGTATGATAGCTTCCCCACATAATTAATTATTACACTTCACAGCATAACTTGAGGATTATTCCATGGGCTGACGGTCTTTCACTCCGACCATTGGTTGGGCACTGATACTAGCGGCGAACCACGTTCACCGGTAATTGCCGCAATAAAAACAAGATTTCGACCCCCCACCTTCACACAACTCGGGCCTTCACCAGAGTACCACTCCCTAGGGACCTTTACAGTAACATGCTGAACTGCGCCTTCCATTCCGTCTGTCTTCGAGAAAACGGTCTGTCCATCGATTCTTCCTGCCTCGCCAGTGCATAGTGCATACCTGCGCGAGTCAACTCATCGGAGCCAAGTGGAGCTGAACTGTCAAACTCGGGCTTGGGAATTCACAGCCTTGGCAACTATCGAGATGTGCTATATAACTCGGTAGTTGCTCTTTTCTAGCCGCCAAAGACTTCTTTCCCCATGCCCGTCTCATTTGCACCAGCCACGCACCAAGCAAACCCAGTCCGTCTCACGGGAGGAGAACTCTCTCCGAACGAAATCCTGAAGCAAGCATGTCCATCGCAATGGGAAAAGGTCGATGAGATGTTGCAGTCCTCGTTTGGGGGTGCGGAATCTACATCGAGCAACGTATCCCCAAAGAAGAATGGTTTCGTCGATACAGTGGTCCTGGCTTACAACCAACATTACGCCCTCGTCATTCGTCCTGATGATGTTTGGCTTGCGATCCTATCGTACGTCTCTCTTCCTAATAACATAGTCTCAAGACACTCTCTGAAACAATAATATCTCTGGAACGTAGCCAATTCAATGCCTTCGTTAACGCAAATGCCGAACAACTTCGTTCCGTATTCGTCGCACACGAAGGCCAACGTGAACTTACCGTCGTAGCTCAAGGGAATCGGTATAGCGTCGACTTCGGCTCGCTTTCGCGTCAGATGGTCGACTTGATGTCCGACGCGGTCGTCGACAAGAGTCTGACCGACTGGATCATTCCCTCCTTCACTACCACCACTCTCAATGACAAGACTGTAAGCTGCATGTTGATGATGGCGACCATGAAGGCGTACTTCTCGTACGGGATGATGCTTATGTGCGGTATCCCTCGAGTGACGCTCGAAGGGACGAAGGAGGACTGGGAGGAATTGAGGAGTAAAATCGAGAAACTGAAGACTTACGGTGTGGAATGCGTGGCCTGGTATCACCTGCTTGGTCCAGTCTTGGACCGCTTCGTGTGTGCATTCGACGAGCCAGACGGCGCTGCGAACATCGATTTTTGGCAGCGGGTGGCACATTATGAGGGTGGCGGGAGTGGGCCGACTTACTTGACTGGCTGGATCACCGCGTTTTGTGCATTTAGTGACGAGGGGAAGTGGCTTGGAAGTCCTTTACACAAGGTACGCGTGTGCTTCGGACTACTGCTGGGTAGATGGACTGACTGAACTGATAGGAGGTTTCCGAGGTTCCTCGTCCGGAAACCCTTTCTGCTGAAGAGTTCTGGTCGGCGTTCAAGGTCGCAAATCGTGCGCCACGTTTCGGGGAACCGCTTGAGACATTGACGTTGGACGGTACGACCTATCACAGTATAGACACCGATGACATACCAGTCAGCTACGCCGAAGGTGAGCTTACATCCACCTCTCTTCCTAGCCACGGCGTCGCCGCTCACGATACGGGATATGTAGTGGACGTCAAATTGGACGACAACGGGGTAGAGCTCAAGAGTATGATTGTCGCGGGCCTGGTTGGAAGTGAAGTCCAATCGAGCGGAGACGCAGAGCTGAGCACGGCGGGAGTGAGAGATATTGTGAAACCGCTCGCGGGTTGGTGGATGTTTACGAAACGAGGTGATGTGGAGAAGCCGTGAGGGACTTGGGTATGATACCGACCGGGGATCTATAAGGCTGAACAGCTCGGAATGTAGTTGTTAGTAACTGTGTCCTCTGGTAATTTGACTGCCAGAGTTTGTGGCTGCAGAAGGGAAAGGGAGCCGATGATTTGGGCAAAAGCTTCATATGAGAATGTGGACACAGTGAATTTGCGTAGGTCAGAGAGTGTGACATGACAGAGTCAAAGTGAAAAATGCAATGATTGTGTGTCGATGAGTGAAGAATATGACACAGCAAGAAATCTATCCATCCGATTAGACAGAGGCGCCCGAACTCGTAGATTGTCCCACAACCTCGTAGTCCCTGTAACCGTGTGCCACCATCGCACGCGTGTATCCAAGTCGCCTCAATTGTCTCGCAGTCCCCTCCAAGTCTCAAGCTCACCCAAACCTACTTACCAAACCACACCGGGTGGATCTCCCGTAACCGTACTCCACTCCTTCCCACCCGGGACACTCCAATCCCCACGACAAGCCCATTCCCAGTCCGTGTTCTGTATGATCTTCTTCTGAGACTCGACGAACGTCGGGATGGGACACATGCCGTGTTTGTCCTCCGGGCAGCCGGCGATGCCGGTGAGAGGGGCGACGGCGTCGTTGATGATGACGCGGATTTGAGGATCGGGAGAGGTTTCGCAGGAGAGCACTGTGGATAAGCAAGGGAAAAGATTTCGTGGTGGTTGAGGTTAGTATTGACTTTTCGGAGGAGAAGTATGGGACGGAGAAGGGAGTGATTACGCACGTTGAAATTGGATGTTGGTGGAGAAGGGCGAGAGTTGGGACGAGCGGAATGTTCTGTACGATGGGATATGATCGCTCGGTAAAGGACCCGCCGCAGCGAAAGATGAAAGATTCAAAGCCGTGATGACTATTCGAAAACACGAGTCAGTGTCTTTCCAAGTACGGTGGATAGATGGAGTAAAAGTGAGTCGAAACGCACTGTTGAGGACGACAACCTCGTGCGTCGCGTCAACGTATAGATTATGGTTGAGGGGGAAGGTGATAGGGTCGTCATCGAGGGTGGCGTTGGTCGAGGAGTTGTGGGTCGCTATCGGCGTTTGGGTAAGACGGGCGACCATCTCTTGGATGTAGCCTATGCCTTGTACACGGGAGACTGGCGAGCCAAAGGCAGAGTCATACCTTGCCATATGAACGATAGGATCAGAGCAACGAAACCCAAATATTAATCGAAATAACTCACCAGAAGTAGATATCGAGGCTGTCAAAAGCGAAAGAGCACTCCCCGTCAATTTGGTTCAAAACGTCGAACAAATGGTCATCAACTCACGAGTAGTCAAATCCTTCCCATTCTTCCTGCGTGAACAGTTCGCAGAACTTGGAGTACCCGATAGCGACGGTCTATCGCCATTTCGTAAACCGAGTGTCAGATTCAGCACATCGCGCCACACCGACAGCACGCCTTTCGCAATCGAATTTACCTCATAAGCACACATCTGCTGCATCGTATACACATCCTCAATCTTCAAATCAAATCCGTCAAGCTCAACCTGCAACCTCTCCCTCGCATCCTTCAAATAAATCTCGGCCCATTCCTTGACGAAAGCAGTTCCACGGTCAGACTTCGACCTGTCGCGCGAATTGGGACAGGTCATGTACGGCGAGAGCGTGTTGTTGTAGCCGCTCTCCTCGATGGTGATGCTCTGCAGGTATTTGTCCTCGTACGGGATGCCGAAGAATCCGGCGGCGAAGTTGAGAGCGGATTTGAGCATGCGGTCTTGGGACTCTGTGCGGAAGACGGGGAGGGAGTCGGTGAAGTTCTGTTGGAGTGGCGGTGGCGCCGGAAGGTCAGCGAGGGACCAAAATAGTGAGCATTAACAGTCAAACCTCGAGCAGAAATCCGTATTTCAGGCGCATAGAAATCCCGAGGTCGTCTGTAGCACCGTCAGTACTGACGTTCTAGTAGCGGATATTATGGCGCATAACTCACAAAGCTGCTGTCTACCAAACGGCGTTAAAACTAAGAGGGATGAGACGGGCGCGTAACATTCAATAATGCAATGCCAGATGCATACCTTCTTCTCCCAGCTTGTATGTCCTAAGTTGATTCGTGAGTAGATGGTAACATAATCTAGTGTACGCAGGCTCCATACCATTCGTTGAGGAAGTCCAAGTCTCCTTTGGCTGTCCAGTTCTCGGCGTTGTGATTCAAGCGTCCAGCGAAAGCGGCAGGACCACCATAAGAGGCTAAGAAAAGAACGTTCGCTATCAGTCAAAGCGTCTACTCAGCCAGAATTAAATACACGCACCCCACTGGGTCGGATACCTCGCCCCATGACGATGCAAGAAGTGCAGTCCAGTGACCGTACACTGCTCCGGTGCCTCCGGACCCGAATCAATCCCAAACGTCCCTCTGGGTACACTGTACCATGGCGAGAGGTTGCCCCAGGACTTGAAGAGGTCGAAAGACTTGCTAGTGGATTTCTCGCCCGAGTGTAATGTTACAGGCAGGACTAGCTGAGGCGCGCCGGTGTGGACGGGATAGGAGGGTGCTGTGGCGATGAGAGCTGCCTCCGCACCAGTTGGCGTCGCACCTGGGTATCCAACGTCGGTGGGGAATAGAGTAGGGTCCGCATTCGTTGGAGATGCTGGAGGCCAATTGTGGACTTCGGTTGAACCGACGTAAGGAGGCGCGAGCGCGTTGAGAACATCCTCCTCGAGGCCGTACGAATTAGACGACAGACAAGACGGCCCAATAATTGCAAGTTGGATTCCAAGACAAGCAATGCCGCCAGCTACAAATGCCAGGATAAGCTGAGTGACCGAGAAGTTACGACGAGGTGAAGGCTCGAGGCGTGCGGCTGGTTCAATGTCTCTGGAAGACTCTGGCAGGAGAGCTTGCTGCTCCTCCTTATACTCATCGCCGACCTCGACGTCGAGCTCGCGTCCGCGCATGGTGGTTCGAGTTCAAGAGAGAGATTCTATCGAACCCGAGATAAGGAGGACGCGTTCTGACTCCGAGAGTAACGGTCACGAAAGGTGTAAGGAAAGTGATGGTAGTGCACTACAAATTATTTGTAGCCATTTGTAGTGAGCTTCAGGTCCGGGGTTTAGTTCAGTTACGTAAGGTCATTTCAACCGAATTGACTCGCGATTATTGGTTCAGCCTGCTTCTCTGTTTCCATCTTTTCAAGGTTTTCTACATTGGCATGTACTGCTCATAACATCGGCTCTTTGTCTCTATCGAAGACTCCATATATAATTGTTCTGTATACGAACCGTCACAAACATGGCCGACGAGGACACCGCGCGCTTGTGCGTGCAAATAATCCACACCCACTTTGGGCCACTAACATCAGTGAGTGGGCCTTTACTATTTTGTAGGATAAAATCACAACGTCGATTTCAATAGAAAGTGGCGTCCACTCTCCTCACCCGTGGTCGACTATCATTCCCCCATCTCGTCCGCTTCAGCTCCTTGAAACCGCGCACCGTCCGCGCCTCCATTCTCGTCCTCGTCCAACACAATCTTCTCTGGCATGCACAGTCCGACGACGACGGGGAAGTATTCGAAGTGAACGTAGAGGACTGCCTGACGAGACTACGATATGGGAGATACGTGTGGTTGGCGGAGCAGTTATTCGGGAAGGCGGTGTGTGTTCACGTTCGCTCGTGCGTTATTCGTTCATGATGGTAAACAGACATCTTTTTGCTGTTTGAACAGGCTGCGGATATTGTACAACTGATACTGGATCATGGAAAGCTTCGTCCACCAGATATCATTTCTCAAATGCCCATCTTCCTCGATGCTAAAGGTGCGTCGCATTGTGCCTTTGTGCTTGGACCGTCAAATGTGGCACCGGTGTGGCCCAGAGCACAAACTGTGTTGCTGACCTCGCCCTTCACATAGAGTCCGCAAAATACACCCAAGCACTCTTCACGCTCGTCTCATCTTCATATCTTAAACCTGCCACAGCTCTATCGCATCAGTCCACAACAGACACGCGCCTCAAATATTTCGCGGAAGAGAAGGCCAAAGTAGTGGGATACCCGACAGCAAAGCAGCTACGAGAAGCGAAGGAAGTGGCCGATTCGAGGCTGAAGCGGGAAGAGGAGGATGCTGAGAAGATTGGGCTTGTGAGTTCACCGTATTAGGTAGGTCGATAAAGTGCTGATATCTTTGATGGTGGTCTAGAAACGGAAAGCGAGAGAGCAGGGCGGCAGAAAATCGTCCAAAGTGGGTGTTTGATTTCCATGTTTTGAGCCTGCGCGTGTATTGACAAGCTGTAGCGACAAGCGGTCGAGGAAGAGGTAGTCGATGTAAGTAACACACCACATATCTTTGTTGTCGCCCGACGCTGATCTCGAGACCGATGCAGGACGATGTCTTCTTCCGAGTGAACGCTCAGAAGTTCAACATTCACATTCGAAATAAGGTACATACTTACGACCTTCTTTATTTACTCTCACTCACACCGATGGGTCCTTCTGTGAAATAGCTCATCGAGTCGGCTGCACGAGAACGTTTCAATGACGGCGCGGCGCTGGTCATGCGTGCCGCCCTAAAAGCAACAGAATCTAAACAAAAGTCTGTTGCCGACGTTCGTTCAGGTCTGTGAACCCTCCATCCTCCCACCTCACCCATTCACCTGCATCCCTAACAACTCTCTTCTCTTCATACCCCGCAGATTCAACCACCGTAGCCACCATCGCCATGCATCTCTCCGACGAAGACGTCTCCACGCTGTCATCCACCCTCATCACCTCCTCGAAATCCACCTCCTCGTCCTCATCCTCCAAAAAAACAATAACACTCCTCCAAAACTTCCTCGGCATGCTCTCCTTCGCCGATAACCCCACCGCGGCAGGCCGAGCGGCGTCTTTCGTGAGCTTCAGCGGATCGAAACTCTTCGTCGAGTTTGAGACGGTCGGGAAGAGGTTGAGGAGGCGCGTGTTGGAGGCTGTGACGAGGGAGAGGCATGGAGAGGATGGGGTGAGGGTGTTGAGGCTTTTGATGGATACGGGGAAGGTGGATGAGAAACAGGTGCGTTCAACCCCGGCGGGAACGTTCTAGTCCGAAACTGACGATTCGAAATGTTCGTAGATCTCGAAGGTGGCGATGATGGCTCCGAAGGATTGTAGACCACTTCTGTCCGCTATGTCTGCGGAATCATTGATCAGCATCCAAGAAGTGCCGAAAAGCGCCGACCGGAATCCAACGCGGACTTTCTACCTCTGGTATGCCTCTTATCCTTATCCTCTTTTTTTCGCCTGACCACGCTTACCAACGCTTTAATCTTACTCACAATTGACTTGCATCACGAATCTAGGTACGTCGACCAACAAAAAGCATACTCCGTTCTCCTCCTCAACCTCTACAAAACGCTCTACAACATATCTCTCCGCAAACTCGCCGAGTCCGAAGAGCCGCTCGTCAAAGCCGTCCTCGCGAAACGGGAACGAAAAGACGTGAGCCAGGACGAGGGGCTGTTGACGAGGAATGAGAGAGATGTGTTGAGGGAGTGGGAGGATAAGAGGGAGAAATTGACGGTGTTGGAAGCGAGGGTGGAGGAGGCGGTGTTTATTTTGAGGGATTTGGGGGCGTTGGCGGCTGGCGGTGGGGAGGATTAGATGTGACGTCGTGGGTACGATATGTTGTGGTAGAAGAGGTGGCGATGTGATGTGTGTACTGTTTTAGGGAAGACGAGGTAGATGCAGACTATGCTGTTTAGTATATGTATGACCTAGACCAGCGTCCGGCAGCTCTGAGGGTTATTTTCACCCACACTCTTTGGGAAAAGCGTCTCATACGAATATGTATCTTACCATGCAGTGCCAGTCACACCGTTCACAAGATTAGACTGGGTATAATATTGGGTGGCATGTCCAAAAGTATCAGGCTTACGTAACACGCGACGCGACTTGCCCACTTTCTCCCACTCGACGCGTCGTGCATCTATCGTTACCTCTCCCAGCATCAACTGTGGCACCATGCCTCGAGAAATTGTAACAGTCCAGCTAGGACAATGCGGCAACCAAAGTGCGCATCTTTCAACCATCGTAAACCTAGCAGAGCCTCTGACTATACGTCGCGTGCAGTGGGCTCGGTTTTCTGGCAACGCCTGTGTGCAGAACATGGTATCAACAAGGAAGGTATCCTTGAAGAATGGGCCACAGAAGGAGGAGACCGGAAGGACGTGTTTTTTTACCAGGCTGATGACGAGCATTATATCCCCCGCGCTATCCTGGTTGATCTTGAGCCACGGGTGCGTCTGTCTGGCCTTCGGTCATATGCTGTTTGGGCAGGCTGTGGTAGGCTGCAGTGCTGATGTAAATAGATCATATCAACATACTAGGTTATCAACAACATCTTGACTTCTCCATTCGCGAATCTGTATAACCCGGAGAACATATTTGTGTCGAAAGATGGAGGTGGCGCCGGGAATAATTGGGCGCAGGGATATTCGTTGGGAGAGAAATTGTACGAGGACATTATGGAGATGGTAGACCGAGAGGCTGAGGGGAGCGATTCGTTAGAGGTGCGTAACTTTGGCCGTGTATCTTTCGGGCTGCTGGGCGTCGCTCTTGCTGGTGGAAACTTGGCTCTTGACGGCGAGTGGAATGTGGCGTTATGATCCTTGCGAGCCCGGCGCTTGACCGTTGAACCAAGCGATAGGTCTCGTCGGTGGAGTCTTCGTTCTGAATTATCGGGAGAACTCTACTTTTAGAAAGAGCCAGCGAAGCTAAACCCAATGTTTGCATCCTCGTCCTGTCTCGCCACAATTGACTACTGTCACTCTGGTTTTAGTTGAATAAAGTCAGAGCTCGAGCTCGTGCACTCCGATTTCATCCTGGGTGACTGTTCACAGGACCTCTCACCGGAGGACGACGTCTTTCTTAATCTTTCATCTTCGAAGGCCCACTGAACAAAGTGTGAATTGCCCGCAACATATCGAAGTCGTTTCATGGTTTGGAAATGTTCTGCTCTGTCTCCTGAGCGCTGTACTTGAATTATCTATCTTTCCCCGAGTCTTTAATGCTCATGTTCATCCCATACTAACCAACTGTTTTTTTGTATAGGGGTTCATGCTCCTGCACTCAATAGCAGGTGGCACCGGGTCCGGACTCGGTTCCTTCCTCCTCGAACGTCTCAACGACAAATTCCCCAAAAAGCTCATCCAGACATACTCCGTATTCCCGAACGCACAAGAAGGCGATGTCGTCGTACAACCGTACAACGCCATGCTCACGCTCAAGCGACTGATTAACCATGCAGACTCGGTTGTTGTGCTGGATAACGGTGCATTGGCGAGGATCAATGCGGACAGATTGCACGTCCAGACGCCATCGTTTGATCAGACGAATCAGCTCGTAGGTTTTTGTTTATTGGTGTAATCGCCTGGAATGGATGTTGATGATCGGATGGCGTGACTGTTATAGGTATCTACAGTCATGGCCGCAAGTACACAAACACTTCGGTACCCGGGTTATATGAACAATGACCTGGTTGGAATCATTGCCTCACTCATCCCTACACCGCGGTGTCACTTCCTTATGACTTCCTACACCCCCTTTACCACCGACACCATTGACAAGGTAAGCCATTCCAACCCTTATAACCATGCTCCATACGGGCGAGAAACTGATGTGTCTTGCGATCACAGGCCAAGCCCATCCGACGAACAACAGTTTTAGACGTCATGCGTCGTCTGCTACAACCGAAGAATCGCATGGTGTCGACGACAGCAAGCAAATCTTCATGTTATATTTCCATCCTCAATATCATCCAAGGTGACGTCGATCCAACAGACGTACGTTTCTCAAAATTTCGTCTCTTCCCTCCCATCTCTCGTGTGATAGCCCCTGTGGCGTATGCTGATATGTGGCCCGTGGTTGTTGTCGATAGGTGCACCAATCGCTACTTCGGATCCGAGAACGCCAACTGGCGAACTTCATCCCTTGGGGTCCTGCCTCAATTCAAGTCGCGCTGACGCGGCGATCACCATACATCACGACTAATCATCGCGTCAGCGGGCTTATGCTTGCGAACCACACCAGTATCGCCTCGGTATGTATGACTCCAGTTACCCTCTCATTCCTTTGGCCGTTCAAATAGAAGCGAATATGCTGATGGAATGTGACATTATAGCTCTTTAAGCGCATGCTCGATCAGTTCGACAGACTGCGGAAACGAAACGCTTTCTTGGAGCAGTATAAGAAAGAGAGGATGTTCGAGAATGGGTTGGAGGAATTCGACGACGCACGGTACGTCTGCATAACCTCATCGTACCCCCATCGTTCTTCTTATTCCTCAACTGCGGCTGACGTATATATATCTGTGTGATAACAGGGCAACGGCCGACGAGCTTTTGAAGGAGTACAAAGCGTGCGAGAGCCCTGATTATATATCTTATGTGCGTTTTATGTCCCTCATGACGCCGTTGTCATGCTGAACATGGTCTTTTACCTATTTAGGGCTCTGCGGATGGTGAACAAGGCGGTTGATCTCTTGCATTGAGTGATGTATTTGTTCTGACTGTGGTGGTTCGAGTCATGTTGTTTCTCACATTTGTTCCTGGTTGAGTGTATACCACCGTTGTGCATCCTGTAATTTGCTAGGCTTTTGTTAATGATTACGCAGATCTTTTGATCATAGAACACTACACAGGAGCCCGACTGAGCTTTACATGAATCTAACTACTTTCTTGGAATACATAAGGGTGACACGTCTACGATTTAAATACCATTCCACGCAACTCTACCGAAAGGATCACACCGACACCGTCTCAATATCTCCCGCACGCTGAAGTGAACGCTGAGATGAAAAATCACGACACTTTCAATCAAAGTACCATAATCTTATAGCACTGGAAACACATACCTCTTCCTTCGGTGCTGCTGTCGTATCTCCTCCCCAAGAATCAGGACTCCGATCACCTGCACCTCGCCCACCTCTTTCTTCATCCTGCGACGCCACATCTGCATTCCCAATAATATTCACAGTATTATCTTCCTTATCATTGAAACTCCCCACATCGGTCGGACTGTCGTACTCGCCACTTTCATCATCGTCATCATCCAAAGTCCTCAAGGGTCCCCCGATATTGCCCAAGATCCTCCCAGGCGCTGCGCCAGCGAACTCCAGTTGGCTCATCTCCGCTGTCCTGTGTTTGCTGGCATCGGTAGCGTTGAAGTCGAATGTTTTGAGATTGAGGTAGAGTCTGCTGACGAGCATGTTGGGTATGCTGCGTATAGCAAGGACGAGGAGATGTGAGTTGCCATATTGAGAGATGTAATGTGTTCCGGTGAGAGGAAGGGGTAATGCGTACGCGTTGTAGAAGGGCGTAAGGAGGAGGAAAAAATCTGAGGAAAGGCCCATGGACTACGAATGGGTGAAGATTCATCAGTGGGATCAACAACGAGAAACCGACGGCGAGAATGACGTACTGGATTGTCGCTGAACGTAGAATAGAGCTGGGTGGTTGTTACTGCAATGGCCGTCAACAGAGACAGACTGAAAGAAGATCACTGATTAGCATAAAATCGATGACCCATAAAAGCTCTAAACAACAAGAAACTTGCAAGAAATAGATGGTGCCTATACGTATCCCTGACTGAGCAAAATCAATCGCAGGAAATTTTGGGGAGGCCATACTTACCATCGCGTAGCAAGAGTTGAGAAATGCTCGTCTGACCCATCCGCTGCATGTGACGGCCGTGTTCGAATGTCTTTGCGACGGTGAGGACAAAGAGGACGATGTCGAAGACCAAGGTCGTCAATACGATAGATGTTTCCACTGCAGGGGATAAGTTGGTAGTCAGTACAATGCTCTATGCTCACGCCACCGTTCGGGGGCTTACACCTAGAGGCCACAAAAGTCAGTGAATAAGATAAACCATCCGCACTGTAGAGAGTGCCCACCGAGAAAAGGGAGTCAGTGAAGCGTCTGTCCTCGTCGTGAAGACACAGAGTGAGATATTAGGATCGGGCATTCCTGTGTCTTCCACATCGGTGACTGCGATGCCTATTGTCAATGCTATTGTCCACTGTGGATGCAAATATTTAGCGAAAAGTTGCAGAGAACAATACAGAAGTAAGTGTCGCTCACGATAACTTGCGCTTGATGAGCGAGGATCAGTCCTCCGAGGACGACTGCGACCCAAAGTGCTTTATCGTACAAGACGATGACCCTGAGGGCAAATAGGCCTAAAGCTTTGTGAGCGCGTGTATCTTCTGTACGATGATACCTCGAATACCCACAGTATGTTGTAATTCCTGCGATGAACTGGGTCATGATCGGCGCATAAAAAAAGTCGTGGCAACTAGAGAATGGTTTGTTCTATGATGAGTCGGGCGCGTTTCGCAACAAGGAGTTACTTACAATGACTCAGATCGACCTGGAACGAGAAACATAACAGTTTGACCGATGCATCCGAAAAAGAAGCAATATCGGTTCACGACAAAGAGCGCGGACATGAGATTCCATCTTTTACACCAGACGCTCGGTATTTCCATTGTCAGAAAAGTGAGCATGTACTCGTAGATGAACAATGCTGAAGGCAGACATTTGAGCGTTTATCATCACAGTAACACGGATAACACTCACATGTAGCTGCCGCCCACACATAGTTGGACAATTGCCTGTCAAAGAAGCGGTCAGCGGCTCGCACGCATCACAGATATTGACTAACTCACGCAGTCTCGTACTCGAAGACGTTTGAAGCGGAGTCCGACATGGCAAGGATGCGAGGTGAGAAGTGCAGGGCGGAGCAATAACGAATGAAGTCCCGACGATGGTCTTCTTATGTCTGGGTACATGTTGAGAAGAGGTCTTTGCAAGGGGTTGAAACCATCATCGAAAAGGCACTCTAAAATGTTCATGCGAACATTGTAGAGTTCTCATGGGAAGTACACAGCTTCATGGAGTTAAAAACTGAAGGCTTCTCTGAAGTTCTGATGATGGTCACAAAACGCAGTCTTTCAGAGGCTTTCTTATCAGGCGAACTGGCCGTCAGGCATCCATGCATTCCTAATCATTATGCCTGCGTATGTCCTTGCCAAGATGATTGTTTCAAGATGGGAAACGACAAGCTCATGCGTGCACCGCTTTGCTGCAGGAAGTGATGCTTGTGACCTTGGTATGAGAGAGTTCGGAGATACTGACAAACAGGGCAACTCGGATATCAGCCACACGCTGCATCGTGGTGGGGACGTTTCGTACCTTCACATTTCCACGGACGATAGCTGGAGTTAGATCGGAGAACTGTTCGAAGCAAGCAATATCTCTTGAATACCTCGTTTAGAATAGAATATTTAAAAGCCTACTAATCAGACGTACTGATCGGTAGGGTATCTCTAGGTATGACTGGTACCATGTAAATGGCAGTCTTGTTTTCATCGATCCGTAAAAACAGTACGATCAATTGGTGTCCTTCGCCCCCACGAACTACTACCAAACGCAAACCAAACATCGCCGTCCGCGAGTCACATCAAAGTCACATAGACCACATCATGATCAAGGAGAGCGCTGACTCACCGTAAGGATCAGCCAAAGAAGCCGACGAATGCTTCCTTTCACAACAAGTATATATCAGCGAGCAATGATGTTAGTATGTGGAACCGTATCGAACGAACACGAAAAAAGCAGACCAAGTAGTACATGTACTGATACTTGCTACTACAAATTGCTTTGTACTCACTGCGTCTTCAGCTTGCTGGCAGCTATTGTGAGCCTTCATCCGCTTAGATTGCGCCCTGGTGGCACGTAATACGGTAGAGCCTTCGTGCTGACCGTCCCTATGTGGATGAGGCTACCAGTAAAGCGATCCAGGTGAAGTAGTTGGTTGTACGTGTACTCCAGCTTGGACCTGCTTCCCTTTTTTTCCCGAGCCGGCGGATGCCGGCCCATGCTTAGACTCGCTCGTCACCGACACCCTTAGATGAACACCTCACCGCCGAACAGGTGTGCCAGTAAGGCCAACGTCGAACCAAAGAAGAATTCCGATGGACTGACGCAGCTACTAGTCGTATCGAAAAATTATTGTGGACAATAGAAGGGCCCAAGTCATTATCAATCTCTCCATCAGAATACATCCTCCTCATCGCTGACAGAGCTCCATAAACGAGACCTAGCTATAATGCGTATCAAACCAGCAGCTATGCATAACACTCTGAGGCTCCCAAAGGACTATCTTGTCCGTGGCCGCGGACTTCTCAGTTCTCCTGTGGAATATGATATCAGTCACATATTTTTACGGTCGAAGATGTGGGGAAAATACCTTGGTCCACCCCGCGTTGTTGATAGAGTCCAAAAGATCGTCAATCTGAGTGTCCTTGATGAGTGTGATCGCATAGTGCGTATCGTGGTCGTTGACGGGGTGGAGCTCCCCTGTGTCGAGGTTGCCCGAGTCGATGGACCAGACGTTCTTGTTCTGGTTCGGAAGCTTAGTCTTGTCGCTGTTCGTGGACATCTAAAACAACATAAGCCTCTACCGCAAATTCTGGGACCACATAATTAGGATGAATGAAGGGAGGAGGACGTACCCCCTTGTTTGGGTTGGCCGGCACAATATTGTTTGTCGGATTGTCGTAGTCCGTTGGTGTACGGACCTTGTTGTACGCCTTGCTGGCTCCGCCGTTGCGGTAAAGCGTCACAGCCAAGGCGGACTGGGCAGTGAATGCCAGAGCAAGGATGATGGAAAAGGTGAACTTCATGATCGTATGGGTAGACGATTGAACGAGATGTCAAGGAACAGTGGATAAGCTGCTGTTGATGAGAGGGTCTGAGCATTCCGTGAGGGTTTTATACCTATTCGTTCAACTCATAAACGAATGCCGACCGAGGGGATGCAATGCTCAACCAGCCGCTATGGAGGAAGGGACGGGAAACCATAACAATGCTTCTACCATCGATCATAGTCGGGTGTAGTTGAGATCACCCGAGCTCCACGGCGCTCGGTTACTGACGCAGGTAGGTGTGCACCCTGTAACACCAGAAAAGAGAGTGTTAGTGGAACCCTTTGTAACAGGAAAGAGACGCCATATGCTAAAACCAGAGCGCTCATGGTTCATTATGGCTACGAAATCGCAAATATTGAAGACGACGATTCAGCACACTATCCACTAACCTCATATGACACCATCTATACTAGTTTACCAAGGCTTGCATCGAGCCCTCCTCAGCAGCCTCGAAGACTTGATGAAAACATTTGTTGCCCATTGTATAGAATTGTGTCGTCATGCCGCATTCCACGGGTCTGTGGGCGGCTATAAGCCCTGATGATTCTTGCAGGGATTAGTTTAAACTGTCATAAGCGTGGGCTTGAGCGGGCAACTGACACAAAAGTCGAAGAAATGTTCAGCGACTTACAATGATTCCAACGAGCAAATGATGAGCAAGCCTTCCAGGCTGCAGATGGTGGTGGAGTCGTCGAGTGTTTCGGGACACCGTAGTCTGCTTTTGCATTAGACGAAACGCATAGATATTGATCTCGCGAATATTGGGGTTCAATTGGATGGTTTCAAGCAGGAAGAGACATGTGCATGTAGTGCTAACACAAAGCACGAAACAACAACAAAGTAGGAGCATTGTGTGGTAACAGCAGGTATAGCTTCGCCAAGATTTCAGGATCGCCTCACAAGAAGAGAAGGAAGCTATGCAAAAGCATAGCTGTAGAAGGCCATGGAGATCAACTGACCAAATCGGATCACAACCTTGTTGCCAGAGCCTGATCAGAGCATCAAAGTCCGTAGGAAGGGCCTTCTGTAGCGAGAAAGTGGTGAAAAGCAGGGTTGGAGTCCTTGCCTGCAAAGGCCTTCAGCTTTGCCGAAGAGTATCAGCGTCTTTCATCAGAATTATTTCTTGATGCTTCCTCTTGGGCCCTGCCCGTAGCAGCCCGAACATGGAGTCGACTGGAACGAGGGTAAAAATCTTACCAGATGACATCATGCGCTACACACACAGCTTATAAGCAGCTCCAGAGTCACATCAGTAAAGGCATATAAAGCAGCATCATCCGGTGCTCACCCTCCACAACACCCTGAAGCCACAAAGACACAATTGTCCTCCATGACAACCTCGACGCCCTACTTCACTCTCGACGGCCAAGTCCGTTTTCCGTCCTCGGCTCTACTCTCTGTCGCTTGCATATGCATACGCAGCCTTCATTCCCACTACGAGACTCGTCGACGAAGCTGCGAGGCTGCAAATGATGAAGATGGGGAGGTTAACGCTACAGAATCTCTTGGGGATGTCGAACATACTGTTCGCGCTATCGATCCGCCGTACTGGCAAGAGCTTCTATCTAAGAGGCTGCAACCCAATGGTAAGAGCATCATGTGTCGAGGCCAAGAAAACTGTCATTGACAATGTGCATTGCAGACATCCCAGCACAGGAGATTGACGAGCGTCAACGTGTCTCTAACTTGTTCGCGCTCGGGACGATTCCGAAAGCAGAATTTGTGATCGCTGAAGCGGTGCAGAGGTGCCGAGAGGCGAGGGAGGCGAGTATGGACAAATCAGAGTCGGCCAAAGAGGACGTGTTGTTAGACCTCCTAGTGTTTCTGGCGAGTAAGCGTGAGAGGGCGGCGCTGTTTTCTGTGGTTTGATAGTCGGTTCAAGTCCATTCTGACCTGGATGCCGCGTCTCTTTTATTTTCTTCGTTTTGTATTGGACATCTGCAGAAGTAGATAGTGATCAGTGAGTCTTCGGCTGCATGGTCACCCATACTTGAACCAATGATACGAGCTTCTTGAGTCCAGTTTTTATGCTTTCAGTCGCCCGTCCATAGCGAACGAACGGCCGATCTGGTAAAACCGAATTAGGAGTGATGGCATCGAACGAGATGGTCTAAACAGTGATCAAGTCTTCAGGTAAATCACATCCTGTGCTCACGTGACTTGGGCGTTGAGTAAGTAGTGGGATCAGTTCTTCTCGTAGGCTGTCGTAGCATCAATGACCCAGTTGGCAGGACGAGCACATGGGCGAACAACACCTGCAATGGGGCGGTGAGAGCTGCTTGTGCGTACGGAGTTAACCCACTTCATGAAGTCATCTGAAGACCAGAGAAACGTAGATATTGGAGACTCTCGGCCGCCATGACGAAGAACTCACATCTCAGTGGGCGACCATCGTCGTGTTTCAGGAGTTTCCAGAGCTGTGATGGTCTTCGAATGAATGATCCGACTCGAACTTAACCTCATGTTCGATTTCTCGTCGATGACGCACCGCACTTCTATTCACTAGTGTGGATTGCTATGCAGTGGGCCCATATAAGTAGACAGTAGTGTCCAGGATTCAATAAGCAGCGACTTTCCTTTACCCCTCATCACCCTATAGACGTCAATTTCAACGCAACAACATTCCATTCGGTCAGCCAACAGTCCGCGTTAACGGCATGGAGAGTTGACCATACTCACGCTACCAAAACCTAGATTACAACATGCAGGTTCTTCGCGTCGTCCTTTTTGCCTCTCTGACGAGCTACGTCGCTGCGTGGAGGACCGGCGACTTGAGTGCGAGGGACAGCTGCTGCGACGATCCGTGCAATGCTGCACCATGCATCTACGACGGCTGTGCAGTGAGTGTCTGCCGAATAAGCCTCGAGCGTCATTGTGATACTGACCGGGATTCACACAACTATAGGGATGTGGAACAGGATTCGACTGTTGTGGTAGCTCTTGAATTATCGAAGATGTTGGAGAAAGTACACAATAAGTCGAAGTAGAGTTTGAGCAGGTTGACGAGTATGCTTTTCTGCTGCGTGCGCACTTGGCCAGATGAAATGTTAGCTTGAGCTTTATCTGGCCGGTTGGAGAACATCAGGGATAGCAAACCCATTATTGGCCCTTGGTTCGTATTCGTAGTTCTTTCAATGAATCGGCCGAAGTGTGGAAGGACTCTTTAGCGATGAAAAGGTCCTAAGTACTGCAACAGTCACCAGATGGCTACTGGTAGGTCGTTAAAAATAATCCTAGGCTACCCCGAACACGCAGAGGACCTTCGGCTACTCTGCGGTTGACGTTTTCACGGCCAAATGAGTGCTATATCTATCTGGTGAGGTAGGCTAAGAATACCTGGCCTCAGCCTGGGACTATCGCGCCCGATGGAACTCACGATCCGCGATGGTTTGAGCATGTTGAAGTCGTCTGGGGGCAGGAGAACGAACGGTCAACCGTGAAGTCCAACGATTCGGGTACCTTCGCTCGATCTTCTTCCGGAAGGTTCCCAAAACAACGAAATTTCCGACCTGAGGTATGTTCTTTCTACGCAAAGGTGAGGGCTTTCAAGTTGGAAGGCAAGGGTGGCGGCGGATTGATTTTTTACACAACCTCTCAATTTAGGAGATGAAATTATCGACGTACTATTGTTTACTTCCTAAGTTCATGTCGGTGCTAGAGCGCAACGCATGCTTGTAAGTAACGGAGGAGTCGTGGCGCTTTGAGCGATCTTCGAGGAAGGAAATGTGGAAATCTCACGCCTGCGATTCGCCGCCACTGAAGATGCGGGGAAATTTCAACTCCGCTTCGCGGGGATCGTACTTACGCCCCGCCACAGTGGTTCGATAACTGCCGGCATCGGACTCGCCGCCACCGTGACTGGACTGATCATCTCTGGATCATCTTCCCTACACCCTCTCGAGAACGAAAATATTAGTCTAATCTTCAACCCATTCCTGTAGACCCAAAAGCAGCGTGGATAATGGTACAGCTTCCGATAGTGCACTGGAACGATGTCTACAGAGTTCGACCTCAAAAGATCGATCCAACATCCCCCGAGACCATCGACTCCACCCAATTTGCAGCTCTTCTGGATGATATACGGGACAAGTGGCAAGAAAGACTCGATGGTAAGAAGGATGGGCTGTCGCTGTTCTCTGGAGATGTCTTCGCACCGTCAGTAGAGAGTTCCGTCACGAGAGGAAGCCATATGGTAAGTCCAACGACGAGTGCGGGGATGCCATTGACACAAGTGCTATGTCCCTGTATTTCATGTTTGACTATTGTTTAACTATTTTTCTGGATCTCAGGTACCTGTGATGAACCAGATGGCTCCGGATGTGTCTATGGCAGGTCGGTTCATCGGGCGTCTTTGCTCAAATCCTCGGAGCACGACGTCGCTGACGTTGCATCTTTCCCTTATATACTTAGGGAATCATGACTTTGACTTTGGTAGCATGAGTTATCAGTCAATAATATGTGCTGTGACTCTAATAATGCTTTGCCAGGTTACCCTCACTTGTCAAAACTCATCAAAGACACCAAGTTCGTGAGTGCGGGCTCTATCAAGCACCCAATCTTAATACTGACTGAGTGGCTTAGCCTTGGCTTCTTAGCAACATAGTGGACAATAGTACTTCTCAAGTCCCAGAGCATGTCTATGAATTTCAAGTGCTAGAACGAGCTGGCGTTCGAATTGGAATAATAGGCCTTGTAGAGAAGTACGCAGCCCCGGCCTTGCTAATGCACGAATTGCTTACGCAAAGATGGGTATACAGGGAATGGATCGGAACTGTTAACTCGTGGCCTTCGAATTTCGAGTACAGAGATGCTGCTGATGTGGCTCTAGACTTGTCAAGAAAACTTCGGGATCCGGACGGCGAGTACAAATGTGATCTCATCATCGCGCTTACACACGCTCGGTATGTATCTATTCGTCTCCGAATTATATCACTGTGATAATCTGATTTACAAGTCTGCTCACAGCGTTCCCAATGTGCGTGCATTTGTCTATATGTATACAGGATATTCTTAATCCGAGCAACGCTGTCAGGATGTCGCTCTGGCCAAGAAGCTCAAAGCTCTGACTCCTCGCGCCCAAGATTCGAGCTTTGTCAGATCTCACGGAGTGGATATGATCTTGGGAGGACACGACCATCTCTACTTCGTCGGCAAAGGCGTGGACTCATGGGAAAACTACGATCTTACAACTAAGGTCCTTGGTGGCGAAGACGACGAGGGTGACGTACTTATCGTTAAGAGCGGAACTGACTTCAGAGATCTTAGCGAGCTGGTGCTGGACATAGAGGATGTCACGGACGAAGGTGCCGTCAGGAATAAAGCCATCCGAAAGATAACAGGTATCGACGGTCCGTCAAATATTCACTCATAGGGTGGCTCATAAGACCTGTAGGTATACACCATGAAATCAAGCCTGGAATGCGATCCTGCGACAAGCTCCAGAAGATCCTTGATAGCGTTCTATCGGTCGTCGACTCGAACTTGGGCTCTCCCCTATGCAAGCTCGCCACTCAGCTGGATGTCCGATCGCAGTTCATCCGCGTTGAGGAGGTAAGTAGGTATTCGCTCTTCGCTCTTCGTCTTCTTTTGACCCTTTTTCGGCGCTACAGTCTGCTTCAGGGAATTGGTTCGCAGATATCTTGCGCCATACATATGATGATGCCCTATGCGTGAAAGGCGTCGATGGGGGTGCTGACGGTGTATTCATATGTGCTGGAATGCTGAGGGGCGACTCAGTCTACGGCCCAGGTAAGACCTCAGAGTCTCCCACCGAGTCTGCCTACTGAAAGGGCCAAATTGGCCATCCACAGGGTATCTGACGATGGGAGATGTTCTGGAAATTCTTCCGTTCGAGGACCCACTGGTCGTGATTGAAATAGATGGTCATACCTTATGGGAGACCCTCGAAGTTTCTCTCGTGACGTGGCCTGCGCAAGAGGGGTAAGTACTTTACTTGTTTTGGGAAGTGCGACGTAATGTGCCAGTATTTCTGACCATAATTATGCAGCCGATTCCCCGTAATCTCAGGCTTCCGTGTCGAATGGGACTCGCGCAAGCCTCCTGGTCAACGCGTCTTGAACGTCTGCTTGCAAGACGAAGTCCCAGACGATGAATCTAGTACCGCTGGTAGCGAGCCTGGGACACCGTCCGGTGCTGCTACTCCAGCGAAGTTCGTCGACGGTGAGCCAGTCAAGAGAGAGAAGGGCGGGAGGAAGTACAAGATTGTGACCCGGTAAGCTCTCCACTAGCTAGTTGATTCCATAGAGTTGATTTGATCTTACCATCCCGATAGCGAATATATGGCACAAGGACGCGACGGTTTCTTGCCATTGAAGGACCAGAAGTATCTGATCGACGACGAATCAGGACAAGTAACCAGCACCGTTGTTCGAAAGTATCTCCTCGGTGCGTCTTTCATCTTAATGGCACTTGTCCCATGCATCTTAACAATCGTTCAACAGGAGCTCAATTTATCAACAAACTCGCCCGTGTCGACAAGTCTCAACCGCACCTTCACCCCGACACGCACGAGATCATCGCCTCCGAGCGTCGCCGCCAAAAGAAGCAAGACGACAAACACAGAGCCCATCGTCAACCATCTAACGCTGAGAAGAACTGGGTGAAAGCCATCAGCTACGCATTGCACTCTGCGAGGTCCAGTAAACACTACAGAGATCACATCAACGTGAGCGCGAAGGAACACATGAGTGGGGTGGATTGCTTTGATGGGGAAAGCGTAAGGAAGGTGGACCACCGTGATAAGGATGAATCTGGGAAAGAAAATCAAGAGGAGAAGAAGGATAAAGTTTTCAACGAAGAGGATATGTTGGTTGCGCACCCTGTCGTAGACGGGAGACTGAGAAATGTAGGACGGGAGTAGTAATACACGAAACGGTTACACACCAAGGACCTACATCAATGGAATAACAACACGGACTTTTTTCATGTACATACAAGAGCTTCAATGGCATTCCTCCTTCCGCCAGTTCGTCACGATGCTCTGCGTCTGCAAGAGCAAGCCAAGTTCCAACAGAGAACGGTATCAGGGTTGAAATCATGTTTCACGGTACGTAGAGACGTTAGTGTGCAGCATCCTGAGGTGAGTAACACAAGTCAGTTCGAGACCAAAGATAACTCGGTCTTCAACCTCGGAATGAAAATGGGACATGTTGGTGATGCTGTCTCGGGATATGATGCGTATGACACTTGAATAGCGCCTTTGAAGCTGTTCGAAGAGCCACCGGCGATTTTGAGAGTGAAGGATTCGACGAGGACCGTCGCTGTGAGGCTTCCAAGTCCCTCGAAAGACAATGCAGATAACGAAAATGAGATTTCAGAAACAAAAAGTATAATGTTACTTTCCACAAGCAAAGAATCGCATAGAAATAAACGCCCCTCCAAACCCCTGGACCTACTAGAGCCCCCACGAAACTTCAGCATACACGAAACAGCTGTACCCAAGATGTAAGACGTAGCTTCGCAAAAGAATACGAAGAGGGAAGAAGGACCACAGAATTATCAGATCACTAGAGGGAAAAGAAAAACAAAACAACTAATCGCCGGAAAGAAAATCGAAAGAAGCAGCGACCCTCCCCCATCCACCACGGCCGTGAAGCACAGAACAACGTCGACACCGCCCTCTTCCACAGCCCCACTCGCGCACACCACCCCTTCCCATCTCGACGCTCCAATAGTCTTAGCAGGCGAACCACGAGAGCCCGATGCCCTCGTTACACAAGCCATCAGATACGAAAAAAGCTAGCAGCCAAACGATCAGTGTGTGCGCCAGCCAGCGAAAACCTCGATCAAGAGACATAGACCCCGCGCACAGTGGAGTCAAAGCTGTAAAAGAAAGGTCAGTAGCATAACGCGCCCCACGGCCCCAGATCATCACTCGTCCCCACCACGGCACTACGCCCGCCCGCCTTACCACCGAAATTGATACAGAGAATGTGAGACATTGATACATGCGATCGAAAGCCGCGTAATCTTGCAGGAGAAGAATTGAGACCAAACCTTGAAAAAGCGAGGTTGAGACTGGAGTGAAACGGTCGAGAGCGTCCTTGAGAACCGGGAGGGGGTGGCGACCGTGTGGCCGCAGGATGTCGGATATCGAGAACCGGATGAAAACCTTGGAGGTGAGCGGTCGAGAAGTCGGATAGTTGAAGACGAAGGAAAAGACTATGTGCGGATGGGGCCAAAGTAGAAGGCACCGGGGAGATAGAGGGGGAGCGACTCAAGATCGTCCTTGGTGAATGCCACCTGGGCCCCCGTACGGCGATAAAGCGCCGTTCGCGTACAGCGACGATGGCGCGGGTGGCGCTATCCGTCACTGAACGCGAGCACGCTTCGAACCTACAAAAACGTGAGCGTCCAACGTTAGCAAAAGTCTACATTGTACAAGGCCAAAGAGACGTACCCGGCGACAAATCACCCCCAGCCTTCACGACCACATGCTCACCCTCTTCAAGCTCTAGTTCGTAGTCGTCATCATCGACCTCCTCAAATCCTCTTTTCGACGACGTCTTCGATACGATCGACAGCAGACTGTCCGTCGAATGCGCATCCGGGCCCACGTCGTCGAGCCCCTGGACCGTGAGATCGCCGGCATAGAGGTCATCGTCGTCCTCTTCGTCAAACTCGGGTTCGTCCTCCTCAGCATGTGGATCGGCGTGGGCCTTTTCTGAGCCACTCGCATGAGCGGGGACCTCGAGTGCATGACCGTCCTCGTCGTCGAGCTCGTCCACATTTGGACCACCATCGTCGAACGATTCGTTTTCATACTCATGGAGGTCGTCTCCGTTCTCTGCGTGCGTCGTGTCAAAAGTCTCATCTGCGAATGCATAATTTTCCTCATCTTGATTTTGTTGTGTCTGTTCGGCTGCATTCTCATGGCTGTCTTCTGTTGGGGAATATGCTGCGTAGTCTATGAAAGAGTCAGAACCTGATGAGCGGATGTGACGTGCGAAAGTGTAGAGCAAAAAGCTTTACCAGTTTCTTTGTTCTCTGTTATGGAGCCAGGCCCCGCATGAGAGCCTTGCGGGGAATGGGAGTGTGCTTCGGCTTGAGCTTGGACGTAGTCGAGCAATCGAGCAGCCTCCGAATCTGTGATATCTGTGCCAGCACCTGGCGAAGAAAGAGCAGATGAGTTCACGTTCACTCCGCAAGCGGGAAGATTCGTAAGACACGCTTACCATCAAAAGCGTCAGCATCGAATTCGTCAAGATCGTCGACTTCACCGTTCTGGTCAGCATCGTCTGTAATTCCCTGCTGAACATCTATGATGGAAGGAGAGAAACACCGTGTTAGATAAGACGGACAAAGAAACGTTGGGGAAGACGTACCATCGATAGGAACTTCCACGCCTTCCTCATCAATGTATCCCTCACCCTCAAATACTGCCTCTTCCTGGAGTTCCTCACCCCCTTCCAACTCAAGGTAATCACCCTCGCTGCCAGCCTCGGGAGCGTTATTGTCCTGAACTTCGCCACCAAAAGCCTCGCCAGGATACTCCTCTCCAACCTGCTCCTCGTCCTCCCGCGGCTCCGTATACTCCTCGTACTCAGTATTATCCTGTCCGACACCAGCAGAGGCATCCGTATCCAAATGCCTGTGAATATCCTCATCGAACTCCTCGATATCCACGCTCTCATCCTCACCCTGAGGATCTTGCTGAGCGTCCTCATCAGCGCCAAAACCATCATCGACCTCTTCAACGTCACCGTGAACGACATCCACGCCCGCAACGCTCGGGACGTCATCATCTCTCAACGCGATCCCCGAATCCTCATACTCGTTCTCATCCTCCAATGCCGTCGCCTCCTCGCCGTCCACACCCACCTCATGATAGTTCGGATTCTCGACCGAATGATGCGCCACATCGACCGCCTCGACCTGAGATTCGTCTTGGCCGTGTTGAGATGGATGATCATGCGCGAGAGAGGATGTGGCGTCAGACTCCGTAGGGTATCCTGGGTGGTGTTCTTGATCGTTGATGAGTTCGCTGGCATCCAAATTGTCGGAGTCTGCGTTGAGGTACTGGGTTTGGGTCGGCGCGAGAGCTTGTTCGCGGAGGATTTGTTCTTGATCCTGGGGTTGCGTTTGCTGGTGATCGTGATTTGGACGATCATCAGTGTCCTCCGGACGTTGGCGCTCATGTTCCGCATCCTGTTCTTCGTGTTGCTCGTAGTCGGGGTGAGGTTGTCCAGCGTATTCTTCATGCGGTTGACTATCGTAATACTCCTCTTCCGTTTGGGTAGGCTCACCCTCTTCTACATCTGGCGGACGAACATGAAAGCGATCAGTATATGCTCATAAGCTAAGACGAGGAAACTGGTGCGAAGAACGGATGCCTACCCTCATAATCGCCATCGCCATCTTCTGCCTGGTACACTTCCTGCTCATGGTGCTCTTGCTCTTCATGTTGTACTTCCGTTTCTTGATCAGCTTCCCCGAGAGTCAGTCTCGCAATCTGGTCTTTCAACGACCGATACCTCGCGATGAATCGGGGCACAAAGGAGGTTAGTCGCAAGCGAAGTGGGCCGGGAAGACCCAAGTTGTCATGCAGCTCGTTCAGATCATGCAGGTTGACCTCGCGTGCGTAGCTGTTATCCTAGAGACAGAAGACGGACAATGAGCCAGTGTGAGAACGACGAACAGGAGAGTTAACAACAGAAGTAGCGATATTAGTTTGGGACTTACCTCCGAAATGACGAGCTGCAAATCGTACGCATCAAACACCAGCTCTCCGTCAAACAATTCAGGTATACTTCTGACTCTCTCCTCATCCCTAAGAGCCAGGAACACGTCCGACAACCTCTCGTAGTATAAGGTCGGCCGACTCGACAATAATACCGTGGATGAGCTTGGATCAGTGCCAGCGGTTGACCTTGATTCAACGGGGCTATGCGAGCCAGATTGTGAGCCCGGAGCGTTAAAGAGGCAGCATTCAGTATGTTCAGACGAGGAGGGGATTTCGAGGAGAACCGGGGGTGGAGGATCTATATAAACGCCTTCGGAGATTTCGTGTGGATCGGCGGCGGCGGCTTGTTCGACGTTATCGTCGTGATCATGGTCTGGTTCGACGTGCTCATCGTACTGCTGCGGCTGATCGGTGGTAGGCTCCTCGGTTTGAGCATGGTCGGCGGTATGGTCGTCTGGATCCTGCGAGTGTTCTTCACCATGCTGCTCTTCGGAAGGGACAGCTGAAGAGAGCGCTTCATGGTCTATAGACGATAGGTGTTCCCGGGCTGGCTCCGATGGCAGATCCTGAGGCGCAGATGACGCTGCCAAAGAGCCTTCAGAGTTCTCAACGTGCGAAATACTCTCGTGCGCTGAGATTCCTTCGCCCTCTACTGACGGTTCGCTCGAGTGAGGAGCATCGGTAGCGTAATCTTGACTAGATAAATTTTCGGGGTGCTCGGTGGCTGCAGGAGCGAAATTAGGATGAGTATACTCTGAGCTCTCTGCTTGGGAATCAGAGTGAGCGATAGCTTCGTGAAAAGTCGGATTTTCCGAAGGATGACGGGTTTCAGAAGACAAAGGGGGAGCCGACGCGTTAGCCTGCGTGGCAGGAATGAGGCCTTCGGACGAGGATAGGACGGGAAGATCCAAATGCGTATGAGTTTCAACTGTTGCCTCTGAAAGTGTTGGGTTACCGGTGAAGACGTCAGTTTGTTGTTGAGAGAGAGAGGCGGAGACTGTGGGCTCGATGATATCAGTAGCTGTCTCCTTGGAGGCGTCGTAGACGTCGACATCGACCGGATCGTCGTGCGTCGTCCCGACATTCTGTTCATCCGCCATCTCGTACTCCTGAGGGCTCTCGTAATATTGATCCATATCAATCTCCACGTCCTCCTGTACTGGGTATGAAGAGGTTGTTGCGTCTTCCATCGTCGCTTCGGGATGTGGCCAGTCATTTTTGGGTGAAGGAGCAGAGGTGTGCATGTGGATGTCGGGGTCCATCGAGTAGTCCATCATTTGGGCGTCCCATTCTTCTATCATGGTCGACATTTTGGACGAGAAAGGGTAATCGTTGCCACCGTTGTGGGCGTCTTGGTCGAAGGTAGTGGTGGTGGTCAAGGGCTAAGTCAGTGCCCTTCTGCGTGACTCGCTTCCCTAATATGAAGGTCACAGCCGGTCACAAAGACAAGCCGCGAAGAGGCGTCATGGAGTGAAGTTGGTTTGCTTTCTGCTTCGAAATTCTAGCTTGTGTCCTTTCCTCTCAAACCTCCCAATCTCTAAGCCAAACATGTCCGAGAACGTACAGGTCGACGAACTTGCTCTTGCTCATGCTGCCGACACTGAATATCTTGTCCGGAGAGGAATGGGTAAAGGATATCAACTGCTCTCGCTCGCGACTCCTCCAATATACGCCGCATTTGTTCTGGCTCGAAAAGGACGTTCGCATTTCAGCATAAATCGTTTCTTGAGAGCAACGTGGGTTGGTGGTGCTGCAGGTGCGTTATCCCAATGTAGACTTAACATCAACTGAAGACGCTGATTTGCCGTGTGGAAAGGTGTGGCGGCGGGCGGTGCGTTTGAGTATGCGAGGTCCACTACGTCGAGTGCGGAGACATTGAGGGCAAGAAGGATACGGGCTGCTTACGATGTATGTAAATCACCAAAATATCAAGCTTTTAAAATCACTAATGACGTTCGTCCGAATACCCAGAACACCTCCATGCGAGCAGACGACCATTCTACCATTGGCGCACTCATCTTCTCTGTCCTTACACCCGCCATCTTTTGGAATCGCGCACGAGCAGCCCATCGTAAGCGTATTCTCAAGATTTTTTCCCTGTCTCCGATCTTCCCCGCCTATCCCGCTTAAATCTGTGACTGACTGTGGCGCTCGTTGTGTGGCACGGTAGTTATCCTCGGCGGAGCTGGTCTGGGATCTGGCGTCGGCCTTCTGACGCACTGGGCGAAGGCTCTGTCTGGAGACGTACCACCACAAGAACGTGTTCCCATCCTGGCCCCATCTTCTTCCGAATCGGCACCATCATAGCACCTTTCAACATACATCTCATCCTGCATTCCACTGTGGCACAATCTGCTCTTACGTTCACCACTCTCACGCCTCTAACGAGAAAATATCATACCTTTTGAGTGTTTGCCATCGACGTTCCCAGGCCAGCTGAACGTGCTGTATACCTAGCACCCTAGAAGTCATTAACACAGCCAAGGACCAACCCCATCGCTGAAATTACTATCAACATCCCTTGTCTCCGACCGTAAAGAGCACAATAAACTGTCCCCATGTGGGATGATTCGCCTATGAGGCGATTAGACCTGGCGCTAGTGCTGTTAAAGAATACACGCCACCCCCCCTGTCAATTCATTTCATCAGGCGTATACCGTCATCCTCTCGACTATCAAACCATTCAAACCATTATGCAGTTTTTGTTCCAGAAGCTCCAGTACCCTTCGCGTCATTGGCTAACCCAAATATGACTGCTTATCTATGTGTCTCTCTTGTCTCGGCTGAAAAAGGATACGTGTTGTGTGGCCTCCTTGTCCTCGCCAAACGCACCGAAAATCAATAGCATCTTAAGCGCCGCCCATATCTTTTAAAAGGGTCTCGTTTCGACTACTCTTTCTCCAACTCGTCGCACTCATACTCTCCGTTGTGGACGTAATTCAACCCCTCTCCGAAGATGGCACTAAATTCTTCACTTTTGCGGCCTGTCCTGGCAGCCATAGCCAATAATACGGAACCTGCCTCCACGCCCGCTGCTTCCAACGATTCGAACGCCACCCAGACTAACGCCACCAAAGCTACACCCTTTGCGATCCCGACTGATATGTCTTCGCTTCTCAGTCGCATCTACTCGATTACTCCTCTCCGCGACTGGATCCGATATGGACTGATTGGCTTTGCGCTAGCGTCTTGTAGGCAGATTTATCACCGTGCATACTCGAGCATCGTCAGCCGGTTTTTTGTATCCGCCACCTTCGACGGTCGTGATATGGTCTATAGTGCGTCATTTTAATTATTATCTGTATAGGTCTGACAGCTTATTATATTAATGTATAATCTTATTCCGACGATAGATTGGATGTTACATTGGTTTTCTCGACATGCGGTCATGAGGAACGTTCGAGATTTAGACATCAGCACCTCAAACTCCGGCTTCAGCGTCGACGAACTGGAAGGACGCAGAAATCATACGCCGGATGACACCGTTTCGAGACGCAGTACCACTCAGAAGGCCAGGTGTATGCCTTCCTACTCCGAAACTTATTCATTCTGGCATAAGGGTAGGTGGATGACCGTGTACGCCGTGAGGTATGAAGATAGCCTGTCACTCAGGATTACGTGCGTATCATCATCCTATTCCTTATACTGTTTTGTGGAGTGGATGGGGATGGGGAATTTACTTTTCTCTTAATTTAATTCATAGAATACTCACTCGAAACCGCGCCGCACTTGCCGAGCTGATCACGGAGGCACAAGAGCTCTACGAGACCTCTCGAATGGACTCGATTGACATTTTCGAGGCAGGCAGCGAGTGAGTGCAGATTTGGACATATAGTGATAGTACTCACTGACAAACGTCGTCATTTCGTAGGTGGTTCGACAGGTGGCGGCTAGCGTGCACTCGCCCTAAACGACCCCTGGCATCCGTCATCTTTGACGTCGGCTTTAAAGAGGTCATTCTCGAGGATGCGAAGGACTTCATGCAAAGCAAAAAATGGTATACTGACAGAGGAATTCCCTTTAGGCGCGGGTATCTCTTGGTATGTACTTCGTTCTACCCACTTCCTCCAATTCGGCCTGCGTGATTAATCTATCCAACGGGCAGCACGGACCTCCAGGGACTGGCAAGACTTCCATCGTGCACAGTATAGCGGGCGAATTGATGCTCGACATCTATATTATTTCTCTCGGTAAGAACGGGACAGACGATAGGACGCTAAACGCCTGCATCGCCAGTCTGCCCGAGCAGTGTATCGCCCTAATAGAGGATATCGATGCGGCCTTCACGAGTCGTGGTCTAGATGACAATGAAGCAGGAGCACAGAACGGCGATCCCGACGATAGCGGTACATATGGTACTACTGACAGGAATAAAACAGGATCGAGGGTCACTCTATCTGGTCTACGTGCGTTTTCGTTCAGATCAGTTCTCCTCCCTTTTCACTTAGAAAGAACGCTATTGTCTCGTTAACAGTGAACGCTCTGGACGGTATCGGTGCTCAAGAAGGCAGACTTCTATTCGCCACCACTAACAGATACGAAGTCTTGGACCCTGCCCTCATCCGCCCTGGGCGAATGGACCTGCATGTCGAGTTCGGGTTTGCGAGCTGTTTTCAGGCCCGAGAGATGTTCCTCCGATATTACTTTCCGGGTGAGACTGGTAATGCTAGCAAGCACGAAACTGCTAGTGAGCACAAGGTTGACGACCTCGACTCCGCGATCCCATCGGAGAGAGACCCTGCTACTACTCTGGACCCTGTGGATGTGGTCCCGGCTCCTTCCTCTGTTCTGTCTGCGTCCGAGTCGATGTCCCCTCCTTCTGCGTCAGCCACTACAGCCGCCGCTCCCAGTGATCCATACAAGGGTCTTAAGCATGATACTCGTTCTCTGAAGGAATCGAAGGGTGATGTAGAGGGTCTCGCCGACGATTTTGCCTCCAGGATTCCAGAACGCGAGCTTTCTATGGCGAGTTTGCAGGGATATTTGATGCAGTACAAAGTGCGGCCTGTTCAAGCGGTTGAGAACGTCAAGGCTTGGCTGGAGAAAAAGCGGAAGAAGGCGGCAGACTCGAAGGCCCAGGAAGTCAAGAGTGCAGATGAGGTGGCGACGACGTCCGAGCCTGTGAACGATGGCCTGGTATTTGAGGTCTAGTAGGAAAACTGTGGCTAAGTGTGGTATCGTTCGTGTACCGTGATCATTTTCTGTGAGCGAAGAATGCAACTCCTTTGTGGTTTCTATATAGGTTCTGAGAACCGTCTGGAGTACATGGTTTATCTGGAATACCTGGAAATACTTGCACTTGAGAATAAATAACGCACAAACGCAGTCTGAAGGCATACAAATGGCAGCGCTCTTCTGAAGGGAAATGACTTCGCACAAAGAAATAACTTATCCCACACCGTGGTATTGCTCTCGCATCTGCCCCAATCAATTAAAAAACCCATAGACCATCAGCATCACCGCTCCCCTCTTCGGAGAAATTTATGATTGGACGAATACCACTTGCCTTTACGCCACCGCTCTCAGATCTATGTCGTTAGGCCTCCCTTCCTCCGAGGTAAACGAATGGATAGCATCGCCACCCTCTACTCTGACCTCGCCAGCTCTCATTTCGACGTCGACCGTATTCCTAGTTAGCGAAGCAGGATCGTCCATGTCATCGATTATCCCAAGGTCGATATCTTCGTCATCGACAGCGGTGCGAAGAGGACCACCTATGTTTCCCAACACCCGACTGCCAGCGAACCTGATGCCAGAAAGCGGGCGTTTATTCTCGTGATCGGCTTCGGCGGGGTGTGGGGCGTTGTTGAACGACTTGAGGTTCAGGTATAGCCGGCTGACGAGTATATTGGGCAGGCTGTAGGCAATGATTAATCCGTTTGCGAGAACATCAGTAGCATGAAAGTAAATGGGTGGAAGTAGAGCGATTTACACGTTGTAGAGCGGCGTGAGTAGTAGGAAGAATCTAGTTCCCAGCCCCCTGGCCTAAGATTAGGGATAAGTATCAGAACCTCACCGGTAGCGAGATCCAGAAGGTGACGTACTGGGTTGGTGCTTGACATGGAATAAACCTGCGTTGTAGTCACGGTGATGCCCAGCAACAATGAAAACCTGAGCATGATAGATTCAGGTTATCTTAAAGCCTAGGAGAATAAAAATCAGGGTCACTTGCAAGAAGTACAGTGCGCCTGCATATAATACATGACTATGAGTAAATTGTTCTGATGGTCGACACATAATCACCACGAGCATTAAGGTTGCACTGACCGTCACGCAGCACGACCTGAACAATGCTTAACTGCCTCAGTCTTCGCATGTCTCTAACATGCCGATACGTCTTTCGGACCGTCAAACCAAAAATGACGGCGTCGAAGATGAGTAGAGAGAGCACGATGGTCGTCTGTACTATATCGCATAATATCGTAAGTTAGCGGCGCGATAACAATAATAGCCTACGAGTGTATTGTCCGAAACTTACAACTGGATTCAATCAACACAGATCAACCACCACACCTCACGTTTATCTCCATCAAGAGTATCATTGATGAACTCACCGTGTGAAGATCAGCAACAAAGTGTTTGAAGGGATGTTTTCACCACAGATCGACCCTGAGCTTGGTATCCCAGACTCGATAACGCTCGTAGATGCCACCCCAGTCAGCATGGACAATGAGGCCTGTATACTTTAGTAGCAGTATGGCGACCCAGGAAAAAGATAACTCACTATGAACTGGGCTCGCCCGGCTACGATGATCACTCCGAGCACAACTATGATAGAGGTTTTCTGTTGGTAAAGCGCATATACACGAAGCGCGAAAAGGCCTAGAATATGATTGTGGGGGTCACCCAAGTGTACACCCCCAAAAATTGAAAACGACTCACAGTGTGTGCATAATGTCTCGATGAACTGTGCAGTGTACGGAGCATACATGAACGAGTGACAGCTGCACCGCCCAAACAGTTGTGAGCAAGAACGAAGTGCCAGAGAGTGAAAAAGAGATTGCTCACAATGACTGTGATCTACCGGGCACCAAGTATATGGCCCCTTGACCCAGAAATTCGAACAGAAAGGCGTATCTTCCGATGAGATAGACCAGTGATGTTAAGTTCCACGGCTTCAACCAAACAAACGGGACCTCCATGGTCAAGAAAGTCAACGTGTACTCGTAAATGCATAGTACTTGTTGTCAACATATATATATACGTCAATTGTGAACCAATATCTTTGTTGAAGAGGTGAACTCACCTGTCGCCGCCGTCCAAATGTACGAGCTCAAACGCCTGTAACCATAACGGAGGTGAGAAAGATGGCCGTCGAAGTAAAGGTCCAGACTTACGATGTCTCGTATTCCAAGACGAGCTCTGAAGGGAGTATCGAGCTGGACATGTGTCGAGACAGGAGATGATGGTGCACTCTGACCGTGCATGTTGCTTATATTTTCACAACGAGAAGGTTCATCAATAGAATTGAAAAGCTACGCAAGTCTTCTTCGTGGAAAGAAAAAACAGACCATGGTGGTGGGCTTGATACGAGGGGCCCGGTGAGGATTTTTTATGCGTACCAAACAAAGCAATTGATCGATTCCACAAACCTTTCCTGGGTGTGTAAATTTGCAGCGCCTTTGAAATGCCGCGAGTTCCCCGCCGAGATTTATCCCCGATTGTATCGGTGCGGTGTTTGCTCATCTCCTGTTTGGCACACACGAAAAACATAAGGGCCGTCTATCTTTCTAAAAATGGCTGGAATCTTCGTCCATCAAGCAAAGCACAAAGCACGCTGAACGATGCTGTGCTCAACACGAGATGCGATGCAGTGGTGTTATTTAAGATCTCTGAGAACCTGATACGTGGCGTCAGGAGTATCTTACCGTTCTATCGAAACAAAACCGTAACTTATTGTGGGTCCTGAAAGTAGAGATCGTTAATACGCGCAGTACTGTACTATTTCGACCGTAGGCCATGGTCACATGTCACAGCGGGCATATGGCATGGCCTAGACACTTTTTGTCACAGGTCACAGGCCCTCTGAGGCATTATTTATTCATTTTTTCGTCCGGGCTTTGCCCAAAACGGTAACTTACCTTCCTTTTAAGGCAAGTCAATCACAAATTTTTCGGGCCGATGGCCTAAGTGCCACCCTTGTCACAGGTCACACCCCGATGGCCTACGGTCGAAATACTTAGTACAGTAGAGGGGGAAAAAAAAACAACGAACAACGATTATATCCCACGTCCATAAATTAGCTTGTCCACCCGTCCCTCAAGGCTGGGAAGAAAAGGTGGAGAGATGGCTGGAATATCTCCGACAATTCGTACAATTTCGCGAAGAACACTGGTTCAACCTGGTTCAACGAGTAAAAGTGCAAGTGGCGCGAGGCGGTGAGGCCCCCGGCGGCGCCGTCGCGCCACATCCCGGCATCGAACGCCACGGAACATCGTCGATCACCGCCTCGCCCAATCCTAACCTGACTCACGACTCGCGCCTCCCGAAATTCGAATCATATATAAAGTAACGCACACACGTCACACACCCCGCACCCGACCACCACCACCACCACCACCAGCCTCACCATCACCAGCAGCCGACCCACTCAGCCTCACACGACTCAGCGTTTCTCTAGACATCTAGACGAGCTTTGTGTCACGGACTGCATATTCACTTAGAAGAAGAACCGACCCCGGATTAACTGAAGAAGATGTCGAACGTCGATTGGGACTCGAAGCTCGTGATTGGGAACAAGTCGAAGGCGCCGAAGGTGACGAAGACGACGTCGGATTTGAACGGTGCGTTTCTCCCTCTGTTTATGCTGCTCGGCTTCTGGCTGCTAATCGCACACTGCTTTTGTCTATTTAGCGGTACGTTTTTGCTTCCTCCCAGCCATGTATCCAGGAGTGGGAAACAAGATAGGAAAAATCTGACAAAATATCTTGATGATCCGTTTGCTCGCTTCATGAATATGATGGGGATGGTTAACAGGCTCTTCGAGCGGGAGCCGTCGTCGCTACGGATAAGAAGGTCACCACCGGATTGAACAAGGCTCATCAAGGTGCGTCTCTCTTCCTCTGCTCATTCCCATCACAGCACTGCGCCACCTGTATCACGGAAAGGCCATCTGCCTTATGGAAACGTGTAACGGATGTTGATTCGTGAATTTTGATTTTGACAGGAACCGACCACCAGCGCATAGCGAAGCTCGACCGCGAGAATGAAGTCGCGCCTCCACCCAAGATCGCTCCGTCTGTCGGCAAGGTACGCACCCTCCCTTCCTTTTCCCTCCTTTCCTCCCACCTCAACCAACTTCCCTCGTTCTTTCATGCCTCATGCCTGTGTTTACGGTACAAGCGCCTGATTATGTATTGCATTCGCATCAGGCCATGTCCCAAGCCCGCCTCGACCTAAAGCTCTCGCAAAAAGACGTGGCGCAGAAGATCAACGAGAAGCCGTCCATTCTGCAGGACTACGAGTCCGGCAAGGCGATCCCGAACCCACAGATCTTGGGGAAATTGGAGAGGGTGTTGGGCGTCAAGCTTAGAGGTGCGTTGTTGCTTCTTCCTTTCGGCGTTTCATGCCATACGTATTATCTGTGTTTGTTCGTGAATCCGTTGCTTACGATTTTTATGTTGATGGGTGTAGGTACGGATATAGGAAAGAAACTGGACGGGCCGAAGAAGTCGTCATAAGCCCGTCCTGGTCCTCTTCCTTGCGACTGCTTTTCCACATACATAGGCCCGTCGTACGCCTTACTTCTTCTCCCGCCTTACTTTTTCGCTTTTGCTTGTTATCGTGTCGTGTGATGTGATGTCGGTGTGTGTTGTATGAACAATCTTGCCTGTGCCCTGTACGGTGCTTTGCCTTGCGATGTTCCACGTTTCACTGTTCGATGTGGTCGAGACAGTATTCGTGGTTCGCCCTTAAGGTTGACTATATCGTTGATATTCTGACAAGAACGGAAAAAATGAAGGAAAATAATAAATCACCGGCACGGTTACCGGTGCCATACCGGTTTTCCCGCAACCGTAGCCGACAGTCGTGCCAGATGGTCGCATGATGTTTGACTAATGAACGGACTTTCCCGTTTCTGCTTTCCTCTCTGCGCTCGCCATGTCCAACCCGCTCACCCTCTGGGCTATCTCACACGAATCTGAGCAGGAACCTTGCTCGGTCGACGTCACGTCAGACAACAACGTATATCAGTTAAAGAACGTCATCCTTCCTATCAAATTCCCTGTGCTGCAGGATGCCGGTATCGCAGATTTGAGACTTTGGATGGTGTGTCCGCATCAGACGCCTCGCAGTCGCGTTGCCACTTACTAAACCTTACACAGTTCAACGAGCCTCTCGATCTGGATCCAGAAGAGACGCTTTTCGATCGCATAACAGAGTGTCGTGCCGCAAACGGGATTACCCAGCTTCGTAATCATCACGAACTCGCAAAGTACTGGCCAAACCAACCCGCGCCTGGACTCAACATCTTGGTCACTCTTCGTCAATCTTCTACTCCTCGAACCATAGGGACATTATTGATAGAAATTTCCAGGTTCACAAAGGAAACGCTCCAATGAGTCGGCGGAGGACGTGCCCGAGGCTAAGCGCCTGAAATACGCAGAAGGTGCGCGTGTTCTCCGAATCAGACTGCGAACAGTCTCTGTCTCCAATTCGTCTCGTTTACGAGGTCTAACTCAAAGCCGCTGCTTTAGTGCCTTCGAGCACCACCCAGCCTTCGAACTCGGCGAATTTACAGAGTATCATTGGTAAGTCCCCGCTGGCCCACTTGGCTCATTCATCAATGAAAACATTGGGCGCTGTTCTTAGCTGCTGCATCTATTTTCTACGACAAGGCGTGGGGTAAACAGTGGCCATATCATGAAGGCATAATACGTGGGGCCGACGTCGAACCCGCCGGTACTATCGCGTCTATTCCTGGTGACGAATTCAAATACGTTTGTTTCGAAGGGGTAGGTGGCATTGCGAAAACTCTCCAATCAAGCATGTCTCTCAGGGATAATCTCGTCGAACGTACCGAGTACCGCACGCTTTGTGGCATGTTGAAGGCAAAGGAGTCCGCGGGATTCGTTGTGACGGGACATCCCGGCATTGGTTCGTAGGGTCATTCTTACTTCTCCGATGTTTCCTAATTTTCGCTTCAGGAAAGACGACATTCCTCCTGTACCTTCTTCTGCACCGTCTTCAGAACCGATGCCCGACGGCGATTCAACTGGATCCCAACTTCTACTTCATCTTCGATACCTTCGGCGCTAAGCTCAATCATATTGAAGAACGCGACCCACGACTCGAGCGATGTTGGGCTCTAGCTGATAGCAATGCCCTCGTCGAGCAGCCATGTCCATCATTCCAGATACTCGCCAAGTGTGTCGTGCAGACCTCATCACCAAATTCCAAACGATGGAAGAGTTGGATAACACAGAAGCAGGGCATGTGCATCGTTTCGGAACTTCCAACAGTGCTTGAGATAGGCGCGATATTGTAAGTCGAATCTACACCGTGCGCTGGAATCCATTCTCACGGAACCCCTCTGCAGGAAGGAGTCTGGGCTTGATACTTCTGAAACGCTAGCCCGTGTAGAGAAGTGGGGGCCCTCGACCCGGATAATCATGCAACTTGCGGAACAGAGCATCAGTGAGGAAGACCTCGAACTACAAGCAATAGCGTCCGCATCACAGATCTGCGCCAACCCCGCATACATAACCACGCTATCAGGCCTTCCCGCATCGACGAGCGAAGGCTCCACCATCGTCTTCGTCAGCCCCCGCCGTTCTGATCCTGCGATCTCGTCGAGGGCGCTCTGCAAGTATTTCATTCCGACGAAATACCTAGCTGGCATATTCGAGGAGCGTCGCGCCAAATTGTCGAATGACACATCCCTCGAGCTCTTCGAGGCTCTCAGCTTGCACTCTCTGATGAGTCCCGAGCGGCTGGCATCACGAAATGCGCATGCATCGCCGCCTCTGTGGCGGAGACAAAGCTCTCAATCTCTCTCGAGGCAATTTTAAGATGAATATGCCAACATCGACCCGTCTCCTTCCCGGCACGGCGGCCGCTCTCAAGAGTACAGATGTCTCTGATGGCTTCTACTGGATACCATCGGTGATTAACTTTCCCGGGATCGACGGTGTCCTTGGTGCATCCAAGGGCAACATCTACGCCGTGCAGGCGATAATAGCAGACAGGCACAGTAGTCCCGACCAGGGACTTCAAAAGATCTGGGACAACCTCCAGCCAGCCGCTCGAAAGCGCCGTCTGTGGCACTTTGTTGTTGTTGGAAAAGAGCAAACTGCTGTTGACAATATAGTGAACGGCTTCTCGGGGCGGTCAGGTGGTCTTGTCATTGGCAGTGTCAAGGTGCAGGTGTGGGGTTGTGTCATTTGAAGGTAGCCAAATCCCCTCGAACGGCAACCGCTATTGCATCATTCTCTTTGCTTTCGTTTTCAGTAGTACCTGTGTAACGGCTATGGCATAGCTCAATCATATGTATTAATTCTCCCGTTATGTCCGTGTGGGTGTGGCCTGGCGACGATGCCAACATGAAATATAGTACAAGCAAAAAGCAAGAGACGATCGTCCGAAACGCGCCCCACAACGTTTATGGGCAGACGCCACCAGCCTGTAAGCTACACAACAAAAAATGACATCAATATGCGCAGCGAGAGGCGTACGCTTGGCATCAAGCTGCAGGTCGACGAGGAGGGTACGGTCTGTGCGGGAGGGGTGCTGCGGAGTGGACGCTGGGGGGTATAAGACCTCAGCTGCAGAAACGGAAAACAAAGATGTTTCTGTTTCACGGCTGAGCACCGAGGTCTGTGGTTGGGCGTTGTTTTTGGAGTACACTTACCTTTTGATTTTGAAATACATATACATATTCGATACCTGTGTAGTTGGGCGGCGAAGGTGAGTGTCACAGTATAATGCTCAGGAGGTGTTCAGGCTCACAATTGCTATCCCTTATTCCTTCAGGATGCCTTCGAATTCGCCGGCTCTCTAATCCCCAATTCCTCAGGAGTCAACACCATGCCCCTCTCCCACCCCTCCTCCAACAGCCTCTCCATCCCCCCCTCATCCAACCCCGCCAACTCCTCCATCTCCCACGTCTCACAAACCTCAATCATCCACCTCATCCTCCGCTTGCCCAGCTCGCCGCCCACCCCCGGCGCCCGCTCCCTCAACCTTTCCCTCAACCTTCCCACCTTAAGAATCGCATCCCCCGCGCCGTCCGGGATACTCGCCTCGATCTTCCTCCGTATGATATTCGCGAGTTTGGGACCTTGGCCGTTGGTGGAGATCATGACCTGCAAGGGTCCCTGTCGGATCTGCGACCCGAAATAAAAATCGCAGAAGGGCGGATCGTCTGCTACGTTCACGGGGATCTTCCGCGCTCGACATTGTTCGCCTATACTCCTCGACACCTCGACATCATCAATAGCAGTAAGCACCATATCTGCGTCATCTAGATCGGAGGGCTCGAATGTCCTGTCGTGGTATGTGATTCGTTCGTCGGAGGAGGAGGAGGAGGAAGATGAAGATGATGAAGAGAGGTATTGAAGGGTGAGGGGGTGCAGGCCGGACGAGGGCGAGACGAGGGTGATGTGTGCGCCAGCACCGAGGACGTGCCCGATGCGCCCGGAAGCGACGTCGCCGCCACCGACGATGAGCACATTTTTGTTCTTCAGCTGCCAGGCGATGAGCAGGGACCCTTCGGATTCGGACATGGTGGTTGTGGCCAGGGTGTTCGAAGATGTGGCGTGCGACAGGTCTCAGCTGAGCTTCGGAACCGAAGGAGCCCCTAACCCTGAAATAGGGCTAGGGCCCCATGGCCAAGGCGACGGACCCGGGAGGGTGGTGTGCGCAGTTGGGTTCTGGTGACAAACGCGAGGTGGTTGTGTTGCTTGTGTTTATTTATGGCCCTTCCATGGTGCAACTGCTTATTCTTCTTGGTGCATGCAGACAAAGGCTGAAAGATATGTATGTCTGCGGGTCTAGAAATAGCGCCTGGGCTGAAGTAGCCATGGATACGGCGATGGGACGCACGGCGACGGGAAGGTCGAGCTGGCAAGGCGAGCCGTACTTTACCATTCCGCCGGGCTCGCGCTGCCCCTGCGTTGCGTGGGATCACGTCCCTGGTGTGGCTCGATATAAGACAAGACTTGTTGCACGGTGCAGACAAGCATCAACGACGCGCGCTCGGCGAGCGACTTTGCGTTAGACGACGGATCTTTTCGTTCGGCCTGGTGAGCATCATTTCTTGTGTTATTATTAATGTAATATAATACAGCATTTCGTGACGTTGCAACGTCGCGTTGCCGTCGCCTGCGATCAATTCCTGATTGGGACAGCCTCCAGCGCTTCTAAACGGCAGCCCTCTGCGCTTTCACGCCTTCCTCTCGACCGCCTCTTTCGTCCTCTCTTTTCTTCTTCATCCACCCAGGTGGTCCTTTCTTCTTCGTGCTTGCTCACCGGCTCGTTCATTTTTTGTTCTGTTCATTTTCTACAGTGCGAGCCACGTAGACGTTGACCGTCCTTTCTCCTTCACACTCTCTATTCCACCCCGTCTTTTCAATCCACTTTCCGATCATCCACTTCGACCCTCTCTGGAAGAGTAATACCCGCACCACGTACGCCCACACGCACGCTCAATCGAGAGTCGTTCAGTCCCAGTCGAGCTCTTCACGCTAGGTGCGTATATTTCCCCGCATCACGACGCAGAACGCCCATCTCTGACCGGAAGCTTTTTGTTCTGTTCTATTCAATTCTAGCCTCACTCCGACTCAATACCCGACTCGAGACCCAACACTAACTCCAAGCACGAAAAGAGAACAACCAAGCAGAAACGATGCTCGGCTCAAAGTACCTCGCAGGCACCTACGCCTTCTTCTCGCTCTGTCTCCTCGCCTCGGGCGTCATCGCCGTCGTCTTCTCACAGGTCTTCCATAAGACGGATGTATTGCTCAATATGGTCTTCAGCTCGTCTGCGCTTACCGGTGCGTCTCGTTTTGAACGTTCGCTGGTATGTATGGAGCTGTGAACGGTTGCTAAGTCGACTTCTCCATATCGTAACCAACTCGTCACTTCCTCGTGTTTCCTCGCTCCTTCATCCATTCGTATCTGGACTGTTCGGATATGAATACGCGCACGCTCGGTGTAACTCTACCTCTCCGACGCTCGCAATCCACGCACCCCAGGCGGCCTCGTTCTCGGCGTCGGCCTCCTCATCACCTGGCTCCTCTCCGTCTTCGCCATCGTCCAGCGCAACCACGTCACCATCGGCCTCGTCTGCCTCAACTGGGTCCTCATCATCGACGCCTGCATCGTCTTCGTCGTCGGCACCGCTATCTGGTTCTGGTCGCTCAGGCAGAGGAACGAGTTTCATACGGTTTATGAGCAGTTGCCGGCCGCTTCGAGGATATATATTCAGGATAAGGTGCGTACTTGCAATTGCCTTGTTCCGAGTTCGGCGTGTGGAAATGGAGAAGTGTGCTGACAAGTGGTTTCATGGTTTCATGGCAATGTCGGGTCGGATGGGTTTGGTGGTGCTATTTTTGATCGCACGAAACGGAAACTCAAACGGGAATAAACACAAACAGTTCTCCTGCTGCGGCTACTTCGCGGCGAACGACACGCTCGAGGTCGGCGGGACGTTCTGCACCTCGCAGGATTTCGCGAACTCGCTCCCGACGAACAACACGGCGAATTTCTGTGTGACGCCTGTTACGACGTTCACGGACTATGCGCTTGAGAATACGTTTACGTGCGTATTTTTTTATTTATTACATTTTTTGTTCTCCTATTCCTTTGCACCTTCTCCCTCTTTAATTCTCCCTCAAACGACTTTGTATTTTCCACCCCACTTGACCTTTGTCTTATTTGTGTTTTATTTGCGTTTTTATTATCCCCTCTACGCCTTCCGTTCAATCCGTATTCTTTATTTCTGTTTCTCGTCATCGTGATCGCATGGAAACTAACCCGACCCAACTCTCTCATTTCCTGCCTTCTTCGACTGCGACCCTCGGTCGTCTCTCTATAATTAGCTCCGTGAGTACCTCTCTCCTGATCCGAATCTTCGCTTGATATGATGTGGATGTGACGTGTGTGATGGGCTGGGAGGCGTTGAGATGCGGCCTGCACGGGCGTCGACAAAGTTTCTTGGATTGATTCCTGATTGCTGGTTACTGATCGATTGATGATTTCTTTTCTTTCCTTTTTATGTTCTATTCCTGGCATTGCAAACAGATCTACGGCTTCATGGCGGTCGTCATCCTCCTCTTCATGGCCTCGCTTTGTGTCATCAAGGAGGTACGTCTCCGATCCAGCACGCTCAAGGGACTGACTGACACTGACGTTTGATTGTATCGTTGTGTTGTGTGGTGCAGAGGAACGAGATCGAGCGGTTCAAGAAGATCGACGCGAAGCGTGGGGGCAGGGGCTTCGTTTAAGCGAGGATACACAGTTTTGTATTCTGTCGTTACTGCTTAGTCCGATCGTCCTCGGTGCATTTATGGAAGTTAGAGCCCTTAGAACGCAATTCTTGTCCCCTCGTCCTCCTGTCGTCCTCGTCCGTCAGTTATTTAAGCGTTCTCAAGTCCATTAATTCATCCCTTCGTAGTGCGTATGTACAGCCTAACCCCTGTCTGTATCTGTGTCCATGCCGTCCTTTCGTTCTTGTGCATTCGAAGTACCTACTCACTCATTTACCTGCCTGCTGTGGTAGAGTACTTGCTTGGGACTCTGCTTTTTGTTCTTTCATTCTTCTTTCGATACACCGTCTTTGTCTTCGGTTTGGGCCTGTTTGTTCGTTTGTTCGTTTGTGTCTTTACCATCGTCGCCGCTCCACTCCATTTGCTCCGTTTTCGTCTTTGTCTGGTCTTGGTCTTGGTCTTTGGATTTTACTTTCTTGTTTCGTCGCTGAGAGTGGAATTGTGAGTGTGGGTGTGTCGATTACAGTAAATAACTGGTTGGGTGTTGAGTGTTGGGTATTTACTCCTTCTGTCCGTTCTTTGCTTTGCATTTGAATTGTGGAATCGGAATTGGAATTGGAATCGTGTATGATGGGTTACAGTTGGAGGGGGTATTTTTGAAGATAGAGAGTGCTATTGATTCAAGATTGGGCGTCGCTTTTGTGGAACGTAGCCGAAATTTAAAGGGAAGAGAGGATGGGAGACCTGCGGGGGCCACCTCCGCGACTTTCGAGGTGGCGTAAACAATCAGCAACAGGAACTCCGGCCCGTCCCGGCCCCGGTCTTTGTGGCACTCGCAAAAACGTCTACCGTTCTTTCTCCGCCACACCTCCAGAGCCCAAACGTTCACCATCCAACCACCATGCCCAAAGCCCGCAAACACAAAATCCCAGTCACGTCCACCATTCCCAGTACATCCTCCTCCGCCGCCATTATCACCACCACTACCTCGAGGACATCCACAGCCACAACCATAACCGCAACTACGAGCGCAACCTCCTTATTCCTCAACCACGACATCGACTCGAATACCGGAAGTGCGAACCCCCAAGCGAGCCGTACCATCATCCGGCGCTTTCATGTCCTGCTTAAACGGAAGGCACAACTACAGGCTCTACAACAACGAAATCAAAAACAACGCCACCGTGACGGTGGGGGTACGGAGACGGCGAGGGAGATGAGGGAGGTAGAGAGGGAGATGGAGAGTATGGGCGGATTGGGCGTGTATCAGAGGATGTCGAGTATTGGGCAGGGGAAGGATAGAGGGGGTGGGAGCGAGAGGGTGTTGATTGGGTGGTTGAAGGGGATGGGGTGGAAGGGTGTTGGGGGCGTGAAGCATAGGTGCGTCCATGCCACGATCTACGGCTCTCGATATCAATATAATAATTCGTTTGTACTCACCTCTCGGTGCATAGGCTGCTAGAAGTCGGGGCGCTCAAACCGGATAATTATGCGGCTTGCAGCTCTTGGCTGGACGTGACGCCCATCGACCTGCGCTCGCGACATCCGCTCATTCGAGAGCAGGATTTCCTGGAGATGGACGCTGAAGAGAACGAGGTAAAGTGGGATATCGTCAGTTTGAGTCTGGTGGTGAATTTCGTGCCGGAGAGGAAAGACCGGGGTGAGCACGCTATGTTGCTCGTGATCTCGTTCAGGCAGAACTAAGTTACTGAACGAACTCTGTTGTTACAGGGAAGATGCTCACGCTAGCACATACGATGCTTCGCCCTAAAGGGCTTCTCTTTCTCGCTGTATGTTTTCCCCTGTCACCAGTCCGAATCGCTTCTCATTCACATCTTGTTTTCATCACTTCAACCACTTCTCTCCTTATTCTTCTTTATCTCCACGGGTCATCCTACTCTGAATACAGCTGCCCCTCCCCTGCGTCCTCAACTCGCGCTACACGACCCACGAATCTCTCAATACTCTCATGCAGCACATCGGCTTCCGACAGGTCCATGAGCGATGGAAACCGGGCGGGAAGATGGCGTACTGGCTCTATGAAAAAGTAGAAATAGAAGTCGAGCCAGCGGGAAGTCGGAATCGGGATGAGGATGGACGCGGGAGGCCAAGATCACAACTTCAATTACCGAAAGGAGATCGAGACCTGGAGGTGGGGAAGTTCGCGAAGGCCGAGGTGTTGAGGACGGGGAGCGATAGGAATAATTTTGCGATTTTGTTGTGAGGATCTTTTGGGCGTTGTTCTACGACATGGACGTGTGGAAGCCTGCTGTTGTATTTTATAGGTCTGCTCTGAGATACTGTATATGTAGGTCGACGCGCACTCATGTGGTCATTACTTGTGAAAGACCTCTACTGGGGTCGACGAGGGTCCTGGGTGCCATTCGATCAACCACAATGCGGGAATATCACAAAGCCTCGAATAAGTACATCACATATATCAATAGTCCAGCTCTTCCACCTCGCGTCCGTCCGCATGCTCCACTCGAATGCCAAACGCTCTCAGACGACGCAACGCCCCGACGAATCTACGACGAGGAACCCCTCTCACCCTCGCAAACAAGTCCTCCGGCGAATCTGCGAACAACTTCTCGTCAGAGTCGAGTTCTTCGGGTGAGATCTCCTCAGGCCACGGCTCCGGTGGGGAGGAGATTGGCAGTCCATCGAGCCCGATGACGGTTCGATAATCCTCGACCTCGTTCTTTAAGAGCCGCACGAGCCGAATGGACGTGCTCTGGATTTCGGGAGCGGCGAGCCAACACACGACCTGCCCGAGTTCTATCCTGCCCTGGGGCTCGTCGTACCGTATGGCAAGATGCGTGACGGTCGTTGGAAAATGGCGGATAATACAGAGCCGATTATAATTCAAGGCGTCGGGTTCGTAGAGTAAGGTGAACGTGTCTCCAGTGGTTATAATAAGGCGTGAAAGGAGCGGACAGTACTGGCCGAGCACCTGAAGGGAAGATAAGGGAGGGTCCCGGGCAGACAGGACTATGCTACCGGTGAGATAGACGGTCGTGATCAGGGGGCCCTGCAGTTCAAGAAAGCGTCTGGTCTTCGGTTCGGCCAATGAGATGTCACCGTCTGCTATATAAGCGGTCGTCAAGGATGGACAAGGTGGCCGTGATGGAGTGCGCATGGAGAGGTGTGAATCGCATTGGCAGGGCCCGCCGCTGCGCGCCCGAGTAAGACACGGGCATGATTGTAAAGAGAGTGCCAGTGGACTGGACGTCACGCCGCAGATCCAACAAGATACTGTCCTCCAGATGTCCATACCGGGTCCAATCGTTCGTATGTGTGGAAATATCCGAAAGAAATCGCGGGCATCGACGTTGTCCAGTCGAAAGATGTTGGACCTTCCGGGGATGCATTCGAATCGACGCAATGTGTGTCCGCAGGTAGAACCGATTCTCTCCCAAAATTCGAGCGGACGACGCATCCAATGTGACGGATGATCATCATTGAACGGGTCCGGAATTATCTCCCAACGCATGGAAATCTCGAGGATTTTGAGATTTGGGAGGTGCTCGAATAGTTTCTCTATGCCGGACAGCACATCTTCCCATTCTTCTCCAGGCCATGGTAGGTCTTTCATGACGAGGTCCAAGCGTGAGACGAACGATCCCAGAGATCGCGAATTTGACCCCGGGACCGAGTCCTGAGGTGGAAGTGCTAGCTTGTGAGCGAGATCGTCCAAGTGGCGACAACTTTGGATATGTAGGTGCCGGTACAATCGTGTTCCGAATAGCTCACGCCAGCGTTTGCAGACGAGCATGATCTGTAAGCCAACTGCGTTTGCCGTCCTCACGGTGGGTTTCCGAGTCAAGTTGCTGTTCCGAGGTACGTTTGGATGGGCGGAAAACGCTGACCTTCTGGCAGATCTCCGATTCGGGCCGAAGTTCAAAGGAGTGTTTTCGTAGGCGGCAGATGGTTGGAATGGGTCATCGTACTCGAAGTTCAAAGCTCCTGGGACGAGGGTGGCGAAATCGAAGACGCGCAACCATAGCTCATTCGGAAAGTCGGCGAATACGCTCGTTCTCGGGGAAGAATCACAGTCTGTATGCGAAATCGTTAAGTCAGGGCAAGAAATGGAAGTCAGAGCTTGCAAGTCGCTGACCTTCCATAATTTGCTATCTTCACCGTTCAACGATGTTGTCTCTGAGAGGACTCGATGGACCTTAGTTGTTGCAATTAAGCCCTTGTGTAGCGTGATGTAGCTACACACTACTTTGTTGTTCCTGAGTATCTTCTGTAGCGTACGGCTTAGACGCACTCCGAGTCTGAGTCTAACGTAGCGTTGGTTTGCTTACGGGTTTCCGATGTGACTGGCGCGACACTCACACTCGCAGTCGTAGCAAAGAATGGTCAGAAGGTAGAGCTGCAGGACGAAAAAGATACACGCCCTTGTAAGAGATAACAAAGGAAGTCGCAGTGGGTCGACGTCGATGAAGGACTGAAAGAGTGGGAAAGAGCACAGAGTCCGGTTCCCACAAACACCCGAACATGTCCGGAAGATCCCGACTAAGTTCATGTTCATCTGCCTTCCTCGCCTCGGCCCTCGACATATCGAGAAAATTCCAGACGGATGCATTCGTCTCATTTTATTACATTGGGAAGGAGAAAGAAAAAATCATCTGCGACTACAAAGTAACAAGCACAACCAAAAATCAAAAGAAAGAAAGAAAGAAAGAAAGACGATTCCAAAACAAGGCAGGAGCAAAGGACGAGACACGAGTGGAAATTGAATGATGTATGTGGATGTCGACAGGCGAATGATAAGATGTGTGGGAGGAAGAACCAAGGGATGAATGAAAAAAAGATATGAATGGCCGGATGAATGGATCGATGGATGGACAGAAAAAATATTTTATGAACGGAGAGGTACAGCTTGAATTGCATTTGACTTGAAAGAAGAACCTAAGTTGCGCAAACGTGAATATGTAAGTGAGTATGTAAAATATGTACCGAGTAACGCGTATGGAGTTTTTAGAGGCAGAAAGGCCACGCAACTACATTTTTGTGAACAGGGAAGACCAGAGCCAGAGCGGCCAATGTCCGTGACGTGGGTTATTCGAGTGCTTGTGTGAAGAGGATGAAGCCATACGAAGAAGAAGCATATGAATGAGGAGCCCTAATTGACCGTATGACTGAATGAATTTGTGTAATGTGTAAAGGAAACTACGTGCGCGGTCCATGTAACATGAATCGCGAGTAAATTGTGTGGTCTCTCATGAAGATAATCCAAAGTGGAGTGAATCGGCATAGGAGAGCGAAGAGAAGAGGAACGGAAAGAACATAACGTTTGACACCGTAGCGGCAGACCTTGAGTAAAGCATAACGACGAAGACAGGCACAATCACAAACCCCTGATAAACCAAAAGAGAAAAAGAAATCCATGAACAAAAGCACCCCAGAAGTCCAAGCCAGAGAAAATAAACATACGAAGGACCTCAGCACCCACGCCAAATAAAAACTCTTCATCGCTTCCCACCTCTCCTATTAGGCAATTTCCTCATCGGTCTCGCTGCTGGCGGCGGCGCCCCCATCGTGAATACCACACCCCCACCTGCTCCTGGCACGCCTCCCGCCGACGGGAGCTGCGCAAACGTCGATGAAGGCGAAGATACTGTTCCAGCTCCAAACGTAAACCCGGTTCCAGGGGCGGCAGCAGGCGTTGTAGGCTGACTCGCTCCAAACGAAAAGCCACCTCCAGCCGCGGGTGGTGCACCGTTCGTCATGTTATTCGTGGTCGAAGTTCCGTTGAAAGAGAACCCAGGAGCTTGACCGAACGCAGGACTAGCAGGCGCAGAGGACTGTCCGAATGGGTTGGTTCCGGGTAGAGAAGGCGTAGGCTGAGCAGGCGCGCCGAATGGGAACGACGAGCCGTTCGTAGCCCCATTAGTCGTCGATCCAAACCCACCACCAAAGCCTGCTGAAACGGGTCTCGTGGGGTCGTTAGCCGCACCGTTTTGCGGAGCTCCGAATGAAAACCCTGAAGACGCCGGCCTGGACGATGTCTGGGGTTGTGAACCAAAGCTGAAACCAGACGACGGAGGTCTGTTGGCGTCTTGTTGCGGCTGTTGAGTCTGTCCGAACGCGAAAGGGTTGGTATTGGTAGCACTTGTCGACGCACTATCAGCGGGTTTCGCCGCTCCAAAAGAGAACGGAGAGGTCGTAGCAGTCGGCGTGCTCTCAGTAGGCTTCGTCACCGAGAACGAGAATCCCCCACTCGCACCCACACCTGCGCTCGGCGGCTGACTCTGCTGACCGAACCCAAACGGCGACGCAGTGGTAGGTGTCGCACCACCATCAGCCGGCTTCGCGCCAAATGAGAATGGCGCCGCCGCCGTAGGGGTAGCACCACCATCACTAGGCTTCGCGCCGAATGAGAATCCACCCCCACTCGTCGGTGTCGTCGCTGTCGAAGCTCCGAACGCAAACCCAGAGCCCGTCCCTGCTGACGTAGACCCAAACGGCCCAGTAGATCCCGGGACTTGGAGTTGTAAGCCCGTAGGTCTCAACGCAGCACCGCCTGTCATCCCAACCGGACTCTCCTCCATCCTCATCTCGTCCCCGTTATTGCCTCCCGGCGGTGTTGTAGGCCTTCCATTCGTCGTATTGGCCGTGGTTGGGGTAGTGGTCGCAGCAGCAGCCGTAGTCGGAGCAGTGGGTGCCACTCCGAATACGAATGGCTTAGCAGTAGCAGGCGCAGAAGTCGTCGCACCGAACGTGAACGGCGTAGTCCCAGTCGTGGTTGAAGCACCAGGTGCAGGCACATTGAACGTGAACCCAGTGCTTACCGGTTTGGCGTCCCCGTTCGTAGGAGGTGGCGTCGCAGGGGGGGCACCGAACGAGAACAAGTTCGGAGGCTTCGCAGCGACATCCTTTGGTGCTTCCGCGGTATTCGGGGTAGTTGTCGAGGTGGTGGTGGTAGCAGCAGGCTGGCCGAACGAGAATGATGACGACCTAGTCCCAAAGAGTGGTTTTGGGGCCTCCGGTGCCGGAGCAGCTGGGGTAGTGGCGGGAGTAGTAGTGGACGGTGTGGCGGTGGCAGGCAGGCTGAAACTGAACGAAGATCCAAGCGAAGGAGTACTTGTCGTCGCAGCAGGTTTAGTTTCCCCAGCCGGTGCAGCAGTGGTCGAAGCAGACGCCGCCGGTGCCGGTGCTCCAAATCCAGTAAATCCACCCGTCGTCCCCGATCCACCGAACAAACTCTTCGGCTGCTCCGCCTTCTTCTCTTCGTCCTTCTTCTCAGTCGGCTTCGAAACGGTGCCGAAAGTGAACGGCGCAGGTGTGGCGTTGGCAATGGGAGGGGAAGAAGCCGGAGTAGTGGTGGAGGTAGAAGGAGCACCGAACGAGAACCCACTAACAGGAGTAACAGGCTTCTCCGCCGGTTTGGATGACTCCGAAGCACCATTTGTCGCAGCTGGAGCGGGTACGCCGAACAATCCTCCCGACGAAGTCGACGATGACGAGCCGGCACCAAACAGCCCTCCCGACGTTGTTCCCGTTCCACCCGTAGGAATAGAAGTCGAAAGCGGAGCGAACGAAAACGGCGCAGTCTTGCCCTCCTCCGCGTCTTTCTTCTTCTCAGTGGGAGGAGGAGGTGTCGTCGTCGTAGGAGGCGCCACACCCGTCTTTTGGAAGATCTTAGCACCTGCGAAGAAGTTCGGAATGCCCCCGTTCGTACCGGTGGAATTGTCAGAGGTTTTGGGCGTCGTGAACGTGAATGCTGGCGCGGTGGTGGGAATTGGAGCGGCGGAGGCGACGGAAGGACGTGGAACGGTGCCGGGCTTGGTGAGTGAGAAGGGAAGAGAGGAGATAGGTGCTTCGCTGGCTCCGGCGACCATGATAGCCGCCTGTTGCTCGATAGTGGGCTCAGGAGAGGGCGCAGCCTGGGCAGACTGAGTAGCCCAATAACGCGGATCAGGTCAATATGCGTTTCGAAGTGAGAAGATGTGAACGTTGACATACCGGCTTAGCGAAACTGAATCCACTCGGAGCCTCATACCTCGGCTGTATCTTCTCTTGTCCAGCTTTCTCGGCACCTTCCTCCTCTTCCTCCTCAAACTTCGCCGAAAACTTGTTTGCACCCGACCGTACCGGGCCCGTCAATCCTCTCTGGTCCCCGGAGCCACTTCCTCCTGCTCCAGTTGATACCGCCTCCCTTCTTATCGTGACCTTCCCAGGCCTATCTCTTTTCGGTCTTCCGATCCTTCCGGAAGAGGAGAGACGTACTCCAGAAGGATCGAACGACCCAAAGGGCTCGTCGGACGCGGACATCATGTATGAATCTTGATCGTGCTCGTCCGTATTCATGGGTGTATAGGTCGGGGTGAAACTCGTTGGAGGTTGGTAGAGTTGTTGATGAAGGGGCTGGGGTGTATTATCGTCCTCCGTCGAATCCATCCTATCATCCTCTTCCTCCTCCCTCACCTCCGCCGCCGTCCCATTCTCGCGCTCGGCCGCCAACGCAACACGCTCCGCCTCCAACGCAGCCCTCTCCGCCTCCTCCGCCACCCGCCCCGCCTCTTTCGCCGCCGCCGCCTCCTCCGCCTCCTCTAATTTCCTCTTCCCCAACAACTTCTTCATCGACCTACTATGCCCCGCATACGCATACGGTTTCTCCTTCATCATCCCTCCCGCTTTACTCGGACTCTTCTCCAGCTCTTTCCCCAATTCTTCGTCTTCGCGCTCCTTCGCCCGCTCCTTCACCTCCCGGATAATCTCAACCTTCACTTTCTTCCGTTCCTCTTTATCCCTCATCCCCAATTTCGGCTTATTCTTCTTCTCCGGAACTTTTATTTCCGGCGCGGAGGTCAACAAATAGTCCAGATTCTTCGCTCTACCCCTCGTCATGAACAGATCCATCGCGCGCACCTGTGCCGTGGCCTTTGCAGTACCAGCACCAGAACCAGAACCGGAGGAGGAGGGCTGGCCCGAGACGGATGCGGAGCTGAGAGAGGACGTGAGTGGGATTTTGAGCAGGTCGTTCGGTTTGAAGTTTGGGTCGTAGGGGCCGATGGTGGTGGTGGAGGCGGTGGAACCGATACTGGCATCGGAGGGGAGGCGGAGGAGTTTTCGGCTGTGGGGGGCGGCGGTGGGCTGGGAAAAAAGGAGATTGAATGTGGATGTGGATGATCAGTATTGTGTTTGAGATGAAGGTTGATTATTGTGATTTGGAAAAGAGAGAAGTAGGAAGCATGAAGATAGGGTGAAAATATTTCAGAATGTGATAACGATTTTTGTGTGCAATAAACACACTTGGGGGATTTATCGAATGCAAGCTCTTTGTGTGTGGTGTTCTGAGCCGTATGAACGCAACCCGGCATGAGCCTGTCCTATGTGGCTGACAGCACGAAGGGGAAAATCATGGTGACGCCAAAGTTCACCCGTCGACATTGTGCTATATGACCATGCGTACATCCCCATTCAGGTCTCACAAGATAACGGCAAAGGACATCACAGACGACGGCAGAGCTAAGCCAGCCAAGAAGCGCTGAAGAGCTCATGCCCGACCAGCTGGCCGCCAACTGAATTGACAAGGATACGCGCCCCAACCCGGGCTTCTACATTTACACGTGTGATGGTCATCTACGCGACTATTATGTTCCGGGAACTCGGCGCAAGCCGTGCTCGCTCATGCAACACCACGCGATAATTACGTAATGTGTAACCATATATGGAACAAACGCGAACAGTTCGCTCTCGACACAAGGAAACTTGCGCTGCCCTCTCTTCCCCTCTCTTCCTCTAAAAAACAATTCAACCGTTGAGAATCCCGAAAACGGGGAATGAGGTGCGTGTATGACAGGCCACACCCTCGATAAGAAAAAGCGAATGCATCTTAGGAGAAGAGGGGGGCACGGGGGAGTGAAAAGGGCAGCAACAAAGCAAGACGCGTCGTGAAGAGACATAGACTGGTAGACCGATGGTGAAAATGCACAGAATAAACCACTCGACTTCCGTCGTATCGCGCGATCTAGATCATACATCAGTCTGTAAAGCCCATCGGGCCCACATGGAAGCATCAAGTTTTCTCGATGTCCATGTGCTAAGGTGATAAAGGACAAGGGCCCCTGCGCATCCCGATGCTCGCGCGGAGCGGACAGCGACGAAGAGGATGGGAAAGCGAGAAAAGAAAGATAATGGAGAAAAAAAGGAGGAGTAAATAATACATACCCCTTTCTTCGTCTCGGCCAGACTGCCTAGTGTCACTTCCTGTTCTCCTTCAGTCGCCGGCTTCGAGGTTTCGGTGCCCTGCTCCTGCAGATCTTCCAACCGTGGACGCTTGACGAAACCTGTCTGGCGCTCCCCCGGCAAGGTCCTTTCTTGCGACTTTCTCTTGGGTTCAGGGCCGAAGCTTTGGTAGCTTTGGTCGGTCGGTAAGAGTGCATCGTGATGGCGGATGTGGAAAGCGCGGCCCTGCTGGGATTGGGAGAAGGTGGATTGGGACGAGGGAGGGCTGGTCGGTCCGGGAGAGGAGTGGTCTACAGAGCCTTCACGAGAGACGGGCAACGGTATGTGTGAAGGATCGTGGAAGGGGTACTGAGGACGGCGAGGAGGGTCCTGAGCCACCAGACGGTTGTAGACGTTATTCGGTGGGCGAGTCTGAGCACGGGGGGCGGCGCCCAAGGAGTAAAGGTTATTGGAGACGGAAGCCTGAGGAGAAACGGTACGGCGCTTTGGGTTGTCTGAGATGGGATGAAGAGGAAAAGGAAGAGAAGAAGCAGGACGAAGAAAGAGCGTGGATGGTGGGTCGTTGTATCCTTGCTGAGGCTGGGGTGGCGGACTGTCCCTCCTGACGCGCTTCATGCGGTGGTTGTCGTCGTCGTCCGCGTTGTTCATGCCTGACGGAGGTGGCTGCTCCCCGACACGCCTACGCTTTCCGCTGACATCGTTCTGCTCATCGCGACTGTCGACACTGTCGCCATTACTGAACCAGCCCATGGGGTCATTGAAGATGTTCTTGATCGTAGACAGAACCGACTCCTCGCGTGCAAGCTTTCGAGGACGGACGTAGGGGAGCTGCTTGCGCGTCGGCTGGTTCTGGCGCTGACTCTGACGAGGAGAACGGGGGGGCTGCATCGGAGTGGCTCTGTGGCGGGCTGCTGGAGACGGTGTTTGTGGCTCGTGGCTGAGGGTGGCTGAGGGGAAGAGCCGGAAGGAACAACGCGTCCTCAGATCATCTCCCGTTTGATATATCGCCTGTGAGCCTCGGGTTAGGGTTCGCCACACGCGTCCGATGACGTCCTTCTTCCTCGATGCAGTAACAAGGCCAAAACCGAATTCGAAGTGCTCCTTGTTCTGTTCCCCATGCTATGTTGCGCTCTACGCCTTCTCTTCTGAGGTCAACGGCTTCAGTAGTGGCCAGAAGACCAGTCCGTACTGGCAGGGTACTTGTGGTGAGAAAGTACAGCCAAGACAACGTTACAGAGGTTACCCCAGTAGCGTCGAGTTCGAAAGAACCAATACCGAATTCGAGCGTATGTCTTTGGTTGTTATTCATTTTGAACACGCAGGCTGACATTTGTACCTTTGGATAGAGAAGAGAAGCGTGGCTCTTCGTTGACTCTGTATTCCCCATCACCTTTGCTCGCTGGGAGTGAGTCTTCTCGTTCGCTGTGGCGAGCAAGAGTCGTGTGCCACCTACCCGTCCCGACGTACTAACTGTTAGATTGGATCTTTGACTGTAGTGTCCGTTACTACTGGTCCCTCTTCCGACAAGATGAACTCCTCTCTTCGCTAAAACGTCTTCTGTCCGACGCTCAAACACACGACTTCCGGCCTCTCTCCCTTTCTCCACAAGTCAAAGACGGTGGCGTGTTCGTCAAGTTCGAGTATTCTGGACCGGACGGACAAGTCGAGAGTACGCTGAGGAGGATAGAGGAGGATCTGAGAGAGCATGTGAGCAAGAATGGTGGGATACCGAATTCGTTGGGTGTCTTCAAGAGGGGAAGCTTGTGGGTTGTGAGAGGTAGTCCATGGCGTGAGGTACGTCCTCCTTCACAGAGTCTATGATGCCTAGAGTTGACAGAATATGTAGGATATGTATAGGTTCGCATCACCGCTTCTCCGAGTGATATTCGAAGGTCCAGACGTCCAAGAAGAAGCCCTCTACAACATCTTCCGCGTACGTCCCAACCCACCCTCTCACCCACCCTCCCATTCTTTCATCCCACCTCCCATCTAACACACACCCAACCAACCAAACAGCCCTACGGCCGCATAGTCGACCTCTCATCCCCCTCCCCCCTCCCCGGAACCTCCCTCCGCTCCTCCACCATCTCCTTCTCCAAACCCACCTCCGCCGTAATCGCCCGCAACGTCGCCCACGGGATCAACGCCGGTCAAACTCGACTACGAACGGTGTTTCAGCCGCCCGTGCAGGCGCATGTGGTGAGAGACTGGATTACGAGCCATCCGAAGATTATGGGACCTGTGTTTTTCTTTTTGATTGGGACGATCACTTACACGGTACGTTTTATTTTATGATTGTTTTTCGTTGGAGAGTTTGGGATGGGGATGTGGATGTGCGTGCTTATTAGATGGAATGGGAATGGTGTAGATATTCGACCCGATCCGTGCGTTCTTCGTCGAAGCCAAAGTCGGCGACTGGCTCGATTATCGCGGTACGTCTTCCTTTTTCCTTTTTCCCTTTTCCCTCAACCTCCAAACCCTCTCCCCCTTCAGTCATACTCACGTTTCCAACTCCACCTGTTTTTTCTTTCGTAGAGTTCAAAGCCTACCAATGGCTCCGCGCCACCGCCCTCACCCGATTCTCACTCGGCGATAACAGCAGCAGTACCACGAAATTAGAAGACGCGGACGCGGAGGGGAGTTGGCAGACGAGGAAGGACGCGGAGGTGGCGTTGAGGAATTATTTGAATGATTTGCCTAGTGGGTGGTTCTTTTCCTGTCCCCTGTTCCCTGTCTTGGTTCTTGGCCCCTGTTTTGGTTCTTGGCCTCTGTTTTGGTTCTTGGCCCCTGTTTTGGTTCTTGGCCCCTGTTTTGGTTCTTGGCCCCTGTTTTGGTTCTTGGCCCATGGTCGAGGTCGTGACTGTGCAACTGACGATCCTTGTTTGTCTGGGTTGGCGATGAATAGCGACGGTGGCGTTCGTTCATGGACCACAGGGGAGCGGTAAATCCAGGATGCTAGGCCGCGTATTGAAAGACGTCGAACGGTAAGTAACCATTTCACTCACTCTCACTCTCAAATCCATTCATTCATTCATCCACGCGCTGTGCTCACATCAAACCCTCTCACGACTGTGCTCACTACAATCTCCCTCTGAAAATACCTCGGACGACACAGATCAGCACTCGTCATCGACGTCTCCGAACTCCTCAAAGCGAACTCCGACACCCAGATGATCGCCTCGCTCGCGGAGCAGACGGGCTATTGGCCCGTGTTCAGCTTCTTGAATGATATCAACCATTTGGTGGATTTGGCGAGTGTGGGGTTGATTGGGCAGAAGGGTGCGTTTTCCTGTTTCTTCCCCAGCCTTTGCCTCATTCTGCGACCCATTATGGTTTGGTTTGGGCTGATGGGCGTGCGAATGTGGACGTGTTGTTGTAGCCGGCTTCTCGACCTCCCTGACGGACCAAACGAAAAATATCCTCGAGATCACGGGTACGGCGCTCACGTCCCTGCAAGCCTCCAACCGTAAATCCTTCGAAGAACAATCGAAACGCAACACTCGGAACAAAGATAGCGCGGCGAAAGGAGGATTGGTCGGCCGAGTGAAGGGTTGGTTTGGCGCGACTAATGAGAATGTGGACGGTGCTGTGGGCAAGGAGAAGCTGGAACGGGAGGTGAAGGAGAAGGTTGAAGAGACGACGGAGAAGGGAGAGGAGGTGGAGAAGGCTGAGGGGGTGTTGGAGGGTGTGAGGAGGAGTGGACAGGACGTTTATAGAGTTGCGACTGGGATACCTACCGGCACCGTGTCCAAGGTGAGGGAGTGGGTCGGGTACAACTCGTCCTCCGAATCCTCCAGCGAGCCTGCCAAGGACGACAAAGCTGAAGAGGGCGGGAGCGGCGAGGCGAGCAGGAACGAGGACGATGTGCATGCTGTGAAGGCGCTGCCGATTGTGGTGTTGAAAAATTATAATGCGGGGAAGAGGGATGATGTGTTGGATGTGCTGGGCCAGTGGGCGGCGGGGTTGGTCGATAACCAGGTGCGTTGCTTATCAATTTATACCATTGGAAGGCGACTGACTGGGATGCACGACACGTACACTATCCTAGATCGCCCATGTCGTCGTACTCTCCGACAACCGCGAAAACTCCAAACGTCTCGCAAAAGGTCCGGTCCCACTGCCTCACTGTCATATGATTTATGAACTCATCGCTCGTTTTTCAACACAAATAGCACTCCCCTCTAAGCCACTCAATAGTATCGCCCTCTACGACGCTGACTCCGCCAGCGCTCTCCAGTTCGTCAAGCAGCGGTTACACGAGTCTGGTATCGATGCCGATTTCTCGGAGAAGGAGACGGCGTACGTTGAGAGGCTGGGTGGGCGGGCTAGTGATCTTGCTAGTGTGCGTTCCCTTCTCTGTTTCCCCGATATACTATCTTCAACATGTTCCATTACCCCATATTGGGCTTTACTGACATTAATTTCCCTCAGTTGATTCACAAAGTCCGCGGCGGCCAACGGGTGGTGGACGCAGTAGATGATATCGTCCGTCGTGGTGTGAGCGAACTCCGAAAGAACGCGTTCGGGGACGATATGGAGGATGCGAAGGCTTTGCCCTGGACGAGGGAGCAAGCTTGGGCGGTGTTGAAGGCGTTGTCTGGTGCCAACGAGGTGCGTCTTTTTGTTCACCTTCAACACGTGGAGTTGTTGACTAAGGGCATTTGGTACGTATGTGTAGGTTCCGTATCATGATGTGCTGGTGAACTTCCCGTTCAAGGGCGATGAGGCAGCGTTGAGGGCAATGGAGCAGGCGGAGTTGATCACTATTGGGACGCATAACGGTAAGTCATCCAACGTCCCATCACACCCTCTACTGATCCGTCAACTAAAATGTGTGGCAGAACGACCGTCTGTCATCCGTCCTGGAAAGCCCGTGTACCACTACGTCTTCGAGCGCCTCGTCTCAGGTAACTCTCTTTCCTTATAATCTAATTCACCGCCCACGAATTCAAATCTCACCTCATTCTCCATAGACCCGATCTTCCAAGCGACCCAAGACCTAGCATTCAACACCAAGCTCGTCGAAGCCGCCGAAACCATCGTCAAATCCTGCGAATCCGAGCTCATCGCGCTCAAAGAGATCGCTTCGTTCGACCAGGGCAGCTGGAACCTTTTGGCTGGTCCGAGTCCGACAAAACAAAGGGCGACGCATTTGTTGGAGAAGATGCAGGCGGCACAGGAGAGTGTGAGGAAGTTGGAGAAGAGGAATGCGGAGTTGAAGGCGGTTTTGAAGAAGGGCGGTTGAGTGAGTTGATAACGTTGTAGAGGAGCCAGGGATCTCAGAATGACAGTCGTCTGTGTGCTGCGCAATGTAAGACCGTGACTCATAGCATAGTGCAGGATGACGACGATAGCAAGGTAGAGTGGCGGCGAAACCCCCTTAGGCTTGGGGCCCGCTCCCCGATTTGCCTGGAGGCAATTCACGACGTCTTATAAGTCACTGACGGGCAGTTCCGGGGCTGTTATTTTCTTTCTGGTGACTACATCCTTACTTGTGTTTTCCTACCATCTGCACCCGAAGTACTTATATCCAAGGAAAGTAAGTTGGGCTCATAACAAGCCTACAGTTTCGAAACTTGTCTGCTGATTCAATGTAACGGCATAGTATTTTGCACCTTACAGAGCAGGTCGAGGGGTTTTCGAGGCCCATGTCGACGATGTCAGAGGGCGTGACATCAGAAGATATTGTGAGTTTCTCCCTTCCGTATACGATGTGGTAGGACTGAACTGACATTGCTCCGCATTGACATAGCAGACCGAGACTGTGTCGCCGAGGACGGTATACGGCATTCGCCTGGTTGAGAGCATCCCAAGGGCGAAAGGTGAGAAGTTTTCATGTCTTTCTCACATCAACCGCTACTGATCAAGTGTTCGACACTACTGACGATCATAGTCTGCGGTGCTCTCACGTCTGGCGGAACAAGTGTTGATATGCCGAACGAGCTATGGCTCCATGTCTTCGGTTTCGCCACCTTCGTCCCTGGCGTTCTGGATATCGCATCCGAAGATCCATTCCAAGCCTCTCTCCCCTACGGACCCTCTAGGCCCATGTATTCGGATACGCAGCTCGATTCCGTTCGTCGAGACGTGAGGACATCGATCGCATTCGGCCTTCAGCTCACGCTCGTCTCCAAACGATGGCATGACATCTTCATCGCAAGACTGTACCGGCATCTCCATATCCGTAGTTACCGTCACTTGGATGCTCTCATCCACAAGCTAGCCCGTCCCCAGGAACTGAAATCACACCCATTCTCTTCGCCCTGGCCCCTCGGGAGCCTGGTTCGTCGCCTAGATCTTGCCATAACGGACGTGCCGTGGCGTCATGGAGGTTCAGTAAACTTCCTGGCGCAGGTGGAGAGACTATTTGAGCATCTACCACAGCTCAAAATTCTCGAGATCTCCTGGTCCGTGGACAATCCTGTGAGTTCGCGCCAGAGTTTGCAAGCACGACGGAAAATACAGCCTACCCTCGAATTTTGGGAGACGGTCAGCTCTTTCTGCGGAGGGTCGTTGCGTCGCCTCGACCAGACCCGGACACTATCTGAATCCTTCCCCCCGGCCCTGGGCATGCGCCCCCGCGACTTCTTTCAATTTTTTCCGCGCATATGTACAGACGGTCAACTTGCCCGTGGGAATCGCATTTGGCCCGTATTGTTGGTTATGCGACGCGACATCTCACCCGCCCGAGACCTTGCAGTCAAATGCATACCTCGTTCTTCAAATTATATCTGAACCTTGCCAGTGCGACCTGCATTCCGCCACTGCTCAACCACCACCTTTTCCATCGCTTACCACGGCTATTGTGTCCGGCGATATCCTCAGATTTGGAACAAGTACGACCAGTCGGTTTATTCGCCTTCAGGGCCCACTCCTCACGACCATCTACCTTACGGGCAGCATATCACCACTTGAACCACAATATCCGAGCTTTGCATCGTCATTGCAGACCCTTGGTCAACATTGCCCACGTCTATCGCGCCTCGTTCTTGCGTTACAGAACATGCTTGACGGGCTCGGCGAGCCTACCGTCCTGAACGAGAGACGGCTAGACATCATTCGCAGTATCCCTACAACTGTCACGCATTTGGGTGCTTGGTACGGCCATTATCCCTTATACGCTCGGACAGACCTGAGGAGGATCATTTGTTGGCTCGCCACACCAGAGATCAGACGTACTTCCATCCGCGTCGTCCGTATGTTTGATCAAAAGACCCCGCAGGGCCATGCCACAATGCTTCCTCCATTCTCCGCCGGGACGACAGAATCAGAGGGGATACGATTCGCGAGTGATGACCTGGACCAGGAGTTATTGGAAGACTCCCCGGAGGACTTGTTCGCACAAGAGAACGGGGTTCCTCCTCATAGGTTCGTCGGCGCGTTGCGTCGTCTGAGCGAATATGGCATTCGGGTAGAGCATGCGGACGGACGCGAAGTGACGGAGTTAGATCATTAACCTAGTAGAGCAATTTTCGAGTCATGATGTTGGATTTGCGAATGCTCGTCAAAGAATGTTTCCCGTCGTCTTGGTCCCTATCCTTGAGTTTCTCGTGTCAGGTTTACCCCATGGCCGTTATAGATGGACTTCGTGCGCCTGAATGTACTTGCACGGCTACCTTTACATTGGCTGATATAACTGTTCCATAAGCCGATACTTTGTAGTCGCTGTTTTCTTCAGGACAAAGTTTCTAAATGTCCTTGTCATAGCCGATGAATGAACACGATGCTGGTGCCACACACTCCATGAAATTTTCGGATACAGAAGCATGCGACGAAAAACCATACGATGAAAGCCAAGGCGACAACGCGGACACATTCAACCATACAACCACAATATTGGGCGACATTTCACTCCTGGAGTGACTTCACCCATACCTCACCTACAACATCCCACTCCTTCAACACCCTCACCGTCTCGATCTTTCTTTCCTCTCCATTACCCACATTATCCTGATCCTCGTATCGATCCCCGACGAGCACCACCCGCAGACCCCCAACGTTCCAGAACCCAGCCTTCCTGGGCAAATACTCCAACTCAAAGTCCCATGAACCTTCCACCCTCTTACCAACGCCAAGGCCATCCTTGTTTACCTCACCTTCACCTTCTCCACCTCCTTCGACACCCACTCCGGGTTCACGCACAGGTACTGGCGCAGACAACCGAAGAGGAGGGAGGAATATGGCCGAAGGACCGAGGTATCTGACATATGCTGATTTACCGTATTTCTCCTCGTCTTGTGGCGCAGGTACGGGCTGCGGGAGTGTAGTGGAGACGGGACGTTCGGGGAGAGGAGAGGTTTGTTCGATTGGTGAACCGACGAGTGTACGTTCGTTCGAGCTGAGCATCGAGATGGATGTCTGGCGGCTGAGGGGGGTGGAGGTTGTGGATGGTGAGGTAATTGTAAGAGCTTGGACGCGAGGCGTATGCGCGGTTTCGGTGGCGGTAGGCTGTGCATTTGTGTTCGAGGATGTGGACGAAGTAGCAGCAAGCATGGGGAGTTGGACGTGTTGTACAACGACGGTGAGGACGCGTTCCTTCCCGGCGGGGACGGGAGCAGCCGAGGAAAGCGTGAAAGCGACCTTGAAGGGTTTCTCCACGAACACGTCGTCCCTCGGAATCTCTCTCACGACCAAATCAACGTCCACTGCGTCGCTGCCTAGCGTGGATGCAGCCTGCCCAGCGTCACCAGCTCCAGGGCTCATACCACGGAGTGCAAGAGCGTTCCCTGCTGCTCCGAAGGTAGTTACGGGACTCTGAGAGCGTGGAGGTACGGACATGGGCCTGTTCTTGAAGGGTGAAGTGGGACGATAGGGTGCTGGAGTGCCACTTGGGCCAATGGGTGGGGTACTGGACCGGGACCCGGGGCGCGAGTGACTTGGGAGAGGTGAGTTGGCAGTTGTGGTGGGTGTGCCGCGTTGGAGATATGGTGGGAGAGCAGACGCTGGCTGGCGGGGTGGTGATTGTACTGAGGGTACTGGGATACGGCGAGAGAGCATCTGGTGATTACGAGAGGTCAGAGTGCGGCAAAAACTATGTTGATGCAGTAAAACGTACTGAGGTCAACAACCGACCAGGTTCACCGAAGGATGACCTCCAGGATATATCAAGTCTACCCAGGGGGATGATGCTTCCAGGTGTGTGCTGGATCGCAAAAGTCGGCAATTTCACAGCCGCTAAGATATACATATATTGTCGTATATCCTGTGGTTGCATAAGCGTCTGCGAGCCAGTGAATAGACTCTCTGGTTCTGTGGCGTCCGGATCGGACGGAGGAAGTACGTTTCCCTCTTCGACTTGCCAGCCTTGAGCGGGCTCGAAGAGCATGCGTTCAAACCACATGGGTTCTTGGGTGAGATTCTGGATATGGACTTCGAGAAAGACTTTCTCGCGTTCACTTCGAGAGAGGAGAGCGGAGGGAGAACGTGGCGTATGGACTTTAGTTTTGACAGATAGAGGGTTTGTGACCTATCATTACTACCAATCAGAACCTTTCTTGACAATAGAAGGGGGAATGCCACGCGAGACAGTGGGTTAAAGAAGTTTTAGGCAGGACACCTTGGTGACAGGACAGAGTGATATGATGCCTGTGACGGTTTCGCTCGAGGTGCCACAGCTGCTATTGGCCAAAGACTTGCCCGTACTTGTACATCCGCCCACACAAAAAAGGCATAGATATGAAAGAGCAGTGTCGAAGACTCACCGCAAACTTATAGAATTTCCTGAATGTCTGGACATCGGGATCTCCGTTCTGCCCATCGAATGGAGGCTGCGGCGGTCGCGCACCTGGAGGGAGCTGATAGGTGACCGTGCAGGCCAAAACGTGCTGACCCAGCTCCTTAATCTCATGATTCACAATGGTCTCCAGCGTATCTCCGGCAACCAGACTCTGTGTTGGACCTCCCAATTCCGCGAGAAGGACCTTGTTTGTGGCCGTCTGCATTTCGATCTTGAGGTTTACGCCGTCGACTGCAACAACGGTCTCGTTGTTGATCGCTAGAACCCCCGAGAAGGTCTCACCCAGTTGGATAGCCCCAAATGAAGAAGGAAGAGTGAGGAGTTCGGTATCATTGTAGAGGTCACGAAGCGTCTTCGGATGACCTGGTAGGGGTGATTTGCCTTGTAAAGAGAGTATCGAGGCCGTGGAGTGCGCTGAGAAGGAAGGAGAGCTTGAGTAAAATGGTTCCCAGGCACTTGCAATAGAAGGTCGCTACTAAGAGCAATTTCAGCTCTCCAAACCCGTGGTCAATTAAAGGACTTGATTCAGATGAGTACGCACGGAGACCCGCATCACTTTGAGAGAGAGAAGGTGTCCCTGGCCGTCCATACTGTGAGAATTTGATTTTTCCTGCGAATTTTGTGTTACGATTTCAGAGCGAGGGAACAGCGTAGAACGAAGATGGTAGTACTAGTTACGAGCAGGCCACACCTTTTCGGAAGCGTTGTGGGGGTTGTTTGTATGTGTTAGGATCACAAGCCATTGGCTTCTTCATCCGGTGCCACCGTGCCAGCCAACCGCGCACTACGACTTGACTACAACGATTATCTTTTCCGATTTTCGCTGTGATCTACTTGTTCCAAACTTGGGCCTTGAGCTTTGTTTTTTTGTTCCAACGTGATGACTGGTTTATTAGTGACACTGGCACGAAAGCAACTGCCGCGTGGCCTGACGCGGCTGAAAGGACAATGCAACAACGACAAAGCGTTGCCAAGTTCTTGTCTCACCAACCGGCAAAGAGGCCTATTTAAAGGGATGTTCGAGATACGATTGACACCATCTTCCTCGCTCTATCTAACCGGACATGTCTGCTTCACCAATCTTCTCTCCTTTCATCCCTCCTCCTCCTGACAGCCCTCTCGACTGCGAGTTATGCGCCGCGGGGGACTCCGTCGACTCTATACCCATCGCAGAGCTATCCCTGTTGGACAAAACACTGCAACTCACAGTAGGTTTACTCACATCTTCTGTAGTATTTCAATCTTATTTACGCTATATCGATGTTCAGGCAGAACCAGAAGACGTTCGACACGAACTTGCAGAGAAAGTCGCAAAATATTTTTCCGCATCCCTCCGCGCGATGAATATCCCATACGAATGGGAAAACCTCTCCGGGCTTGTCGAACATCTCATGGTCCGCTCTGGTATGGGTCGCGCCGCCGTCTTTGCCGCCTTATATCTCCTCTGGCGCCTCAGAAATCTGCCTCGTTTCGAATGGCAGTCGGACCCGGACGCCGCCTATCTCTTCACTGCCGTTGTCTTCATGCTAGCAGAAAAGCAACGAGAGGACAATCCCTACGAGAACTGTTCCTGGCTCGTGATGTTCAACAACTTCCTCGAAAAAGTTGGACTATTTCGGCCAGAGGCAGCCCATACAGCTGTGGAACTCACCTGTATAGAGGTGGAGCTCTTACAGTATCTGGACTATAATCTGGACGTCATGTTCGCCTTGCCGATCTTCCAAGAATTCAAACGAGCGTTAAAATCAGATACTCTGTCTTTACTGAAAGTCTCCTTCCCTGAGGACCTTCCCGCCTCTTCGCTTCCCGACTTACCCTGTCCATTTCCTGTGTCACCACCTCGAAGAAATCCTCCTGCAAATCGCACCAACGACTGCTCTTGCACTTCTGTCAGACAAGCCCCGCACATTCTACTTTACTCGCTGTCTCTAGACCCCTACTATTCCCATCCTACTCTTCCAGTGTCTCTCCCCTCTCCTGAATCATCATATGCCTCATCTTCCTCTTCCTCTGCATTCTCCTCCTCCTCTTCCTCGTGCACAGGCTCCCACGTCATCATCGTGAGCACTGCCATCCCTTGGGAACCGACCAAAATCTATCAAAGTTGACGTGTCGCCTCTCGTCGTTGGTAATGAATCGAGCGACTCAGGTCGTGTAGTAAATAGTGAAGTTGAGTACGTGTATTTCTAGCATTATTACATCCCAGTTCTGTGCATATTCATGGTCTCTGCTTTATATATCCCTCCCTTTTCCACCGAACTTATAGGACGCGGAATGCGTGCACAAGGCGACGACGGTGTTCCTCCCTCTGGCAAGTCTAATGGAATGTAACGAGCATCGCATGTACAAAACGCTCAAATATTGAAACAGTTCTTCGTGCACGAAATAGTGTCGAGGGGAAGAATCTGGGTAGCGAAAACTCTCTGCTGTAGTGGCGTCATTGTTTGTACTTGTTAGGATCCGAAGCCTCTGCTCAATAATTGTTCGATACCGTCCGACTGACGCAGGCCGACACTCACCATCTGACACTAAGTGCACAGCCCTCCAGCTTCAGACATTGAACTTTGAACGAAGATCACTATGTTGTCTTCCCCGAATTTGGCTTAGTGTATTGATCAAAGAGGTCTACCCGCTAGGGCCGGCTTCGTAACGACAACGCTTTGTTTTTCTTCATCGATCTCCTCGGGCCCTGCATCATCAATCTTGTTTGTACCATCGATCGAATGCTGGCACCTGCGACGTGCCACCCGTCCCCTTTGGCACAGCCCACGAACGAGAACGGACTCAAAAGAGCTCAAGACATCGAAATCACGGGTGAGTGCGGTCCGCTCTGACGACTGGTTCCTGTCCGAGCCCTGCATTACGAGCGTTGTCTCGAATGAAACAAGTTGCTCTGGTTGGCAATCAGAGGGAAATCGCATCCTTCCTTGATCCACGCTGATCGATGTTGTGCCAGCGTGGTGGCTTTTTGCCTATCTGAGACGGTCTTTTGTGTATACCCACGTGGGCCTAGGCGCCCGCGACCGAAGCGGCACCCTTGAACCTCCCCGAATGAGCCATCGTTTTGGTGGCGCAGTCAACAATGCTCGTGAGGATGGGATATAAAGCGTCTCCTTCCAAGTAACCACCACAACCCACAACTCTGCGTCCTAAGGGAATCCGAGTCCTCCTGAGGTCCTCCTCGAAGCCCGAAAGAACTCTTCGTCAGCACAGGTTTACGGCCTTACATTGGTGCATAATGCAACGCGCCATAATTCTCAGGGTGAGTCGTTATCCTTATCGACAGCCTGCGTTATTATTTATGCTTGTTTACTGGTTATCAGAGAGAGCCAGATGACATCCGGCAGGTGTCACAGTTGGTCATAGCACATTTTTCCCCGGTATTCAGCCACTTTACCTTTCCGCAACATGACCAAGAGAAGCTCATCAAGTTCGTGGATAAGTGCATTAAAGGCCTCAATCTGGACCGCGGGGTTATGTTCACCACTCTCTACATCCTTGCGCGTCTCAAAAACAGAGAACGCTCACTCTTCCTTCCATGGCACTTCACTCCCGACGCTTCCTTCCTATTGACCCTCGTTGTCTTGAAGCTTGCACTCATGTCCATAGAAGACGCAAAGTTTCTCGTCAAGGTCTGGATCCAGGCACTTGGGAAGGCTATCGATCGACCAAGCGATGCATTACCCAGCACGCGACAAGTGATCGATATCGAGGCCGAGGTTTTTCAGTATTTGGACCACAATGTGGACGTCACCTTCGCTTTGCCCGATTTCGTGCGCTTCAAGCAGTATCTGTCAACACGTCCAGACATCCTTACAACCCTGAAGGTCGAGTTACCTAACAAACTACCTCTCATGTTGCCTCTCCCCAAAATCAGTCCATCTTACTGGCGTCCCAGGAAGCCGAAGCCACCAGCTACTAGCCCGTCGCATCCTCCTGCTAACCCCGTCCAACCTCTCGATGAGTCACAGCCATCAGCATCTAATAGTTTTGCACGCTACGCGCCTTCGCAATGGTGATCTCACCGAGATTGAGTTGGATCGCGCTATGCCGGAGGCTCCTCATCTGTTGAAGCTTGCTCGTGAGACTCAATTCGGCGTCTTGTGTTTCAAACCCGCCAACATCTAGTAATGTTTGGAGGGCGATATAGTGTGGCGTGTATGTGGCGGTGCAGAGCCTGTTGAACTTGTTTCGGATGTGTTTTTATGTACCTCTATTAAAGTAGGTATACGTAGTAGAATGTTAAAGTGATCTGCTTCCTCAGGCCTGCTGCTCCTCTGATAGGAAAAGAGAGGTTTCTACTGTACTGTTGAAGCGGATTGCCACAGTGGCACTTATTTGGCCTTGTTAGGAACACAAGCTTTCGTCGTCGGCCGCAGCGTAAACGAACGTTGTCGTGAAATCTCATCTCGCATACCAGACAACCTGGACAGCGCTACTCGAGGCTTTGATCGCATCAAAGAGACAGAATGGTCTTTTCTCTCTCTCTTTGCCTGCTCTGGACGGGCCCCTGTTTGCAAAATTGTACTCGCCGGCGGTCTGCCTCTGCCTTCGAATTTCATCATGGGCCTTCGAGCTTTGATCGCTTTATCTTGTGCCGGTGCCAGCGGAGTGCCAACGACGCCGGCACCTGCCGTCCAGTCGAGCGCGGGCGCGAAAACTTCGCCTTCGCGCCCTTTCCGTTTTCTTCGTCCCTTTTCCTCAGTCCTCCCCGAATCGTCGAATCGTCCGCGCGCTCCTCCGCTCTCGCTCAGCTCTGCGTAGCTCACGGCATTCGAACTCTGCTGCAGCGCACGCAGACGAGACTGGATCGGGCCAATCTGAGCCCTCGTCCTCCAGAAGATCATTGACGCCATCCGAGAAATGTTTTTTCCGTGTTAAGTACGCCTTTCTGCGTGGCCGGGCACAAATTGCGTTCGGTTGGTTCAATGGGCCAAAGTTCCACCTATCTTTGTTTCTAGATCTGCTACCTCAGAAAAGATTTGCGTTGTGTCCCCATGAGTGAGTCATCTCAGTTTTGATCCTTCGGGGCTTATCGCTTCTTATCAAGCCGGCACCCATCAATTCTGCTCGAAATTTGAAGGAAGAAGGGTGATCAAAAAACAAATGCCATTGTTCCATACACGGCAGCCATGCCATATCGATCGGTTGCTTTGTTGTACCTGCTTATCACAGGGTGGTACAAAGCTGATGGCATACCCCGAAAAGGATAGGGCTAATTGTTGGCCTTCTTGTCTATTGTATAAAGGGTCGCGATAATCCGCTCCGCCATTCACAACAACCCCCATCTTCCGCTATATCTTCTTGGGACGCATCCGTCTCTCTAACCGCCTGGAAGAGTTGCTCCGAGTTACGCTTCGCACACTTCAAGATCAGGATGGATGGTAATCACAGACTATTACAATCGCCTGTGAGTACAATTGCTTGGAGTGCGGTGGTCTTGTACTTACTACTCGCAATGATCAGATTGTGCTTGACTCCGACACAATCAACAGAAGATCACGTCTGGCTGCATCTCAGTTTGGACCAGCCCTCCATAACTTCAAACTTCGTATCGACCTAGCGAGTCTGCAAGAATTCATCGGCTACATCATATACCGAACTCAGTTCCGCGGCGAAGTCATTCTCGTGGCGATCTACCTTCTCTGGACGCTTCATCAGGAGATCAGACCAAGCCTTCCCGTACTTCGAGACAATGGTCCAGATTCTGGTTATCTCTTCGTACTTGCATTCTTTATACTGGCCGAGGCACATCTCGGCGACACGTATTATGGTTTTGCATCTTGGGTCAAGGTGCTCAACTCTTGGCTTGTCCCGGAAGGCCGCCCTCCAAGAGGGGTCCATCAGTCGAACGAAGCTCTGGCAAACGTACAGCAGGATATACTGAAGCTTTTGAACTACGATCTCGATACCCGATTGGCCAAGCCCGCATACCCCAGTCTCCTAGCATTTCTTGGACCTCACGCGCTTGCGACTCTTGGCTTACAGCCTTCTGGTTTGCCCCTCGTCACACCGCCTACTCTCTTTGCTGCTCCAAATCCTCAGGCTCCCTCAGGTCATCTCTTCCATCCACGACCTTCGAGAGCCAACTTTGCTGGGCACCGTTCGCCACAATATTCATCCACTTATCCATCTTATCCTCAATGAAACGAGCGTCATTACCCGGTCGCTCGAAAGAGAGAAACGGCAACGAAAGGAGGAACTAAATACACTCCCGGGGCGATACCTACAACTTCAACATCACTCTGAACCCCACGTTATGCCATACGAACTACAAGTCTATTCCGTCCACATGCGTTCTTCGCCGGGAATATATGTAGAGTAGATGATGGGTGTTGCAAGTCAGTGTTCTGAACGTCGCGAGAGTTCGCTCTGCTGATACGAATCCCAGTAAAAACCCATTTTTTCCCAAGCTTATATCTCCTTCATGCTACATAAATACATAATATCTGTCATTACATTTCAGTTGCGAAGTGGTGGCGCCTACGATTGTTTGTCCTTGTTATCAAGTACCTCCGATCTAGAGCGATCGTGTGGCTGCGGGTTTCGACCTGTTCAACCATCAACTCTTCCTGCACCATCGGCGTCGGATTGGTCTCTGCTGAACACACCTATTCAATCTTCTCGCTTTTCATAACATAAACCAGGTAATCTAGGCTGCTTCGATCATTAGTACTGAAGAAAAGCTGGAAGCGACGAGAACAACTTGATCAGTCCTTCGCTTTCCCAGTCTGCAGCGTTGATCTACATCGCTGGGAATCTGTCCGCACAATGCCCTCCATAGGCCCCACTGGAACTATTCTAATAACTGGTGCATCTGGATTCAGCGGTGCATGGGTCTCACGCGCATGTCTAGAAGCTGGGTTTTATGTGCGTGGCACCGTGAGAACCGAGGCGAAAGGGCAATTCTTGCAACAGCTTTTCAGCGAGTTTTCCGATCGCTTCAGCACAGTTATCATTGATGATATTTCCAAGGTATACTGGAAGAAACCACTGCTTCGTGCTTCGATCTGACTCAATCGCATCCGTTATGCAGCCGGGCGCATTCGATACAGTACTCAACGGAGTTCAAGGAGTCATCCACATCGTGCGTCACAATATATTAACGCCGTTACTAACGCTCTTCACTAATCGAACAAGTAGGCAGGACTCACCTCACAAAACCAAGGCTCTCAGATATTGTTGGCCAATCTTGATGGTGTTAAGAACCTTGTGGAGAGCATTCGTGTGCATGGGTGCGTTCATTGTCGCCAGACTCATCTGTCTTGTATACATCACTAAACATTGGCATGGTGTAGTATTGATGTTAAACGAATAGTGTACATGTCTTCAGCCAGAGCCCTCCTCGATGTAAAGACGACTCAGCTTGATCGATCTTACAATGAGGTGAGCACATCGAGACTCTCCCCAACATACAGCACGTCGCGAATATGTTGCAAACTGGAGGCAGCTACTTCAGTCTTGACTAAAATCGCGAAATTGGCTAACAGAAGCATGACACAGGGAGACTGGAATAATTTTGCAGTGGAGGCTTACATGGAGAAAGGAGAAGAAGCAGACTCGACAACGCTGTACGCAGCTTCGAAGGTATTATCTGAAAGATATCTATTAGACTTCGTCCGCGATTATCAAGTGCCGTGGGACGTTGTAAACATTCTTCCTACTTGGGTAAGCCAGCCGATCTATCTGACTCTGTCTTTCGTGTACTCACAGCATTGTTGCGCGCAGGTCGTTGGTGTACGCCAATTTCAGTGAAACCCTTTAGCTCTAATCTGACCAAACGGTGGACGACTTCAAAAACAGCCCGTCATGCAAGAGGTGAAACATCAGCACAGCTATCCAATAGCTCCTTGTGCTGACCTCGCCTCAGTGCAATTCTTTAGAGGCTCTGAATTTTTCTAACAGGCAATTCTACAAATGGTTGACCACGGCCCCCAAGAAGGACACCTTGACGCAATACGCTTTCGACTACATTGACGTGAGAGATATGGCAGAAGCCTTCGTCAATGCTTTGCGGGTCGAAGAAGCAGGAAACGAACGCTTCATTGTTGACGCTGGTCAGTCTTCGCTCCGGCTCCTGGCTATCTTCTGTTATAACACATAGGCACTGACTACTACTCAACGACTTCCTCTATATCAGACGCTGTGACTCTTCAAAATTTATGTGAGATATACCACAACTTGAAGATCACTTCACTACTAATTATTCACCTCCCTCATCAGACGACGAAGTCCATGCACAGGGCTCAGATATGCCACAAGTTCCTGTTGGTGAGCCGGACGCGCCAAAATTCTCCTTCCCTGGACCGTTTGCCAGCTCGGAAAAAGCGAAGACCGTCCTGCGGTTGGGTGACTTCAGGGGACTAGGGACAATCTCACGCGATTTCATGGCAAGCCTACGGGAGAAGGGACTGTGCTGAAGAGTGCTACAAAGAGCGTTTCTAATTGAACAGTATGAGAGAACTCAAGGAGCTAATTGTTCGGTACTACCACCTTCCGTTGAGCAAAATATATATCATCGGCCGGGTCGCACTGTGTGCAACCCTGTCCGCCGGGTGGCAATGTTTTCTACATCTCCCAATGTATTAGTCTATCAAATGATCCTTGCGTTATCACCTCGCAGTATAAGCTTCAGTCAGTCTATTACATCTCCGCCCGCGGCTTGCTCAATAAACATAGTACATCTTCCCATCGACTTTGTGGGGGTGCCACACGTTGGTCACGGTCTTTCCAAGTTCAGCGCCAACTCCTCGGGCGGGTGGCGCTCTCGGCAGGTTACGCGGCGTCGGCTTCCAACGGTTGAATCAAACGCAGTTTGTGCACCGTTCGCCGCTCCGTTCTATAAAGGCGGTTATCGGACTTAATTATCTGGGATTCTCGAAATCATGATCACGGCCGACCACGTGGGGCCATGAGATATCACGACCGACAGACCCCGACCGGTCCTGACCGGAGGCGATCCTCTTCACTGGTACAACCTAGTACTTGAACACCTTCGATGTCGGTTACCGGACAAAACTATCTGTTTATGCTGTTATGGGTGTGATCGTCCGCGTCCGTGGTCTCTCGACGGCTGTCACGATCCATCACGGTCCATCACGGTCCATCACGGATGGTCACGGCCGGTCATGGATGAAAGTTCGATGATTTTGCTTTTCGCGGAAATACCACCTCGTGTGGATTTTGAGGCTTGACATGGGAGAAACTACGCTCGTTTCGCATCGGTGTCTCTGTCGATCGAGGTCATCTAATTTCTGGGCAAACTTCTCCACTTATACATCTCTTTCTGCTTGTCTTTCTTGTGTAGGACGTTCCAGGAGATCATGTCTCATCACGTCTCATCACGTCTCGTCCTTTTGCGCGTCAGGCTACTTAGCTCTCGAGCTTGGACTCTGCTGCGACCTTGCCTTCGCTCTCCTGACCACGCTTTCCTGACCATATACTGCTCGGGATGCCTACTGAGATTGGTGCTAATAATGTTCGCTGGAGGTATCACCACCTCCAGGATCGTGTTCGTAGGGCTCTTCGAACGCAGTTGGGGGATGCTCAGCAGCTGGGTATAGTCCGCGCGGATGCGATGTCGATATTGAATGCCGCAGCGCAGGTGCGTCCTCACCGCTGCCTTCATTAAATCCCAGACGTTAGTAGCGCTAACCTTGCTATCTCATCAGCACGTTACATTCTTCGCTGAGGATGAGTATCGAACTCTGCAAGCCAGTCTTGCATCCATGGTCAGCGACCTAGACGACGCCGTTCACCTATCCTCCGACCCTCCCGACGCCCCTTCTCTTGTTGTGGCTCACCGCGTTCACACCGGTCGTCCAGGCCGTCCTCGTATCCACATCGATCAGCAGTTTCTCTCCTTCGCTCTCGGCGTCCAGGGTAATACGGCCATCGGCGAGCTTCTCAACTGTCATCCTCGCACCATTCGCAGACGCGCCCTCGAGTACGAACTTGTTGATGCCGGTACGCCCGTCCGACAACAAATTGCCCATTCGGATGGCTCCACTTCCATTCAATACACGTCAACGGCACCACCCGTCTCTACTCTCTCTGACGATGAGCTTGATCAAGTCATTCAATCCATCCTCGAAACCTTCCCCGACCTCGGTCAACGCATGCTCAACGGTCACCTTCGCTCCCAAGGCCACCGTGTACCATTCGAACGGATCAGCCATTCTTATGTCCGTGTAAATGGGGGGCCTGGAATCTTCAACGGGCACCGGATTGTACGACGAGTCTACCGCGTGCCTGGTCCCAACTCGTTGTGGCACCACGATGGCCAACATGGTATGGCTATCTCGCTTTGATCTCAACTGTCTCTGATGCTGACGAAGTTCGTTATCTGCATAGGCCTCATACGTTACAAGATCGTTATCCACTGTTTTGTCGACGGCTACTCTCGCTTTGTCACCGGCATACGTGTCAGCAACAACAACCGTGCGTCAACCGTACTCGACTTGTTTCTTGATGCGACCCGTCATCATGGCCAACCCAGCCGTGTTCGAGGAGATCACGGTACGGAGAACCTGAGAGTGGCCGAATATATGGAGGATGTCAGAGGCTTGGGACGTGGATCGTACATATGGGGCCGGTGCGTATCTTGCTTACTTTCTTGCCTCCTTGCTTGTCTCTGATCCAGTTACGCTGTTCTATAGAAGTGTTCACAACACACGGATTGAGCGTCTCTGGTTCGATGTGACAAACGTGTTTGGCTACAAGTGGAAGGATTTCTTCCTCGACCTCGAGCTTAACTGCGATCTCAACCCCTCCTTTCCCGCTCATATTTGACTCATACACTACCTCTTTCTCGCCGCTATAGAAGAAGATGCACAGGAGTGGTCTGAGGCATGGAATGCCCACAAGGTTCAGAGGCGTCGGGCTCGCCAGGCGAGCCCTCGGGAGTTGTTCTTGTTTGGTATGGTTAGAGAAGGTCCTCGTGGTTTAGGTCATGTTATGGGAACTGGGCCGAATGATGATGATGAAGATGTGGGGAATATCGAGGAGTATGGTGTCGACTGGGAGGCAGCCAATGATACTGCTATCATGGCTCATCTTTTGGAACACAATCCTCAGGAACGTGTCACCTCTCAGAACCCGTTTGCGTCTCGTAATACTCCCGCCGAGCTATCTGATGTTCCTTGTGAAGCTCCCCCTTCTCCGCTATCCCCTGACCAGATCCATGCACTTCATACTTACCTCATTCACAACTTTGATTTGTCATCACGTAATATGCTCACTCGTCGTGGAATTTGGGAAGCCGCTCTGTCTTTTTCGCGTACGCTCTTTCAAAATGATTTATAGGCTCACTGTCATCCCGTCTTCAATATTTATGAGTTCCTCTCAGTACCTTAAACAAATTCACACATG